GGTTGATGCGAATGCGACCAAATACATCGTGACGTGTTTCCAGTCTGAAGTCGGCACGGTGCCTTTCGCCCGTCTTCTGAGAGACGAGAAGCCGCCGTTGCTGCAGAAGGAAGTCGAGAGCACGGATTCAAAGGACGAAGCCAAAGTGGACGTCGGCGTCCTCGAAACGGTAGATTTCACACACAAGTCCGGCGAGCTCGGCGACAAGCCTAGCAAGGACATCGGCGAGCGCAAGCAATTGGACAAGAAGAAGAAGACAAAGACCTTGAGCGACGTACTGTCAAGGATCAAGAAGGAGCCCGTGGAGATGAACGATCTCACGAGGGAACTGTTCGAGAAGAAAAATGACGGCTTCAAGAAGGAATGCGACAGCGAGACGAAGGCGAACAATAACATGGGCGAGCATTTCGGCAGCGGCGATTCTTCGAAGAACGACGAGGACTCGCTGCCGACACAGAACGGACTGAACGACTCGACAGCAGCGGCGGCGGCGGTAACGACGAGCAACGTCGACATGGACAAGATCGAGGTGAAAACGGACCCGACCGAAGAACACGAGATGTCGATGAGGGACGACAAGGAGGGACCAAGATTAAAGATAAGAGATCCAGCCGGTACTCTGAAACGACGGCGGATAAGCGACTACGAGGATGAGAGTTATTCCAGGGACGAGGCGAGCCTTTACCTGGTAACGGAGACGCAGGACAGTCTGGCCCGCCGTTGCGTGTGCCTGTCAACGATCCTGAGGAATCTCACCTTTATCCCCGGTAACGAGGCCGAGTTCGCCAAGAATGTTACATTTCTTAGTCTGCTCGGTAAGTTGTTACTGCTGCATCACGAACACCCGGTCAGGGCGCAGAAGACTCGCAACTACGATCGTGAAGAAGACGCCGACTTTGCGGACTCGTGCAGCAGTCTGCAGGGCGAGGGAGAATGGTGGTGGGACTTCCTACACCACGTGAGAGAGAACGTTCTAGTAATGGCCGCCAACATATCCGGCCATATGGACCTCAGCCAGCACCCGGAGGAGATCTCGCGACCTGTCCTCGACGGTCTGCTCCATTGGGCCGTCTGTCCAGCAGCACACGGCCAGGATCCCTTCCCCACGGTCGGCCCCAACTCCTCGTTGTCGCCGCAGAGACTTGCGCTGGAGGCGCTGTGCAAATTATGCGTGACCGAGTGCAACGTTGATCTGGTGGTAGCGACTCCGCCATACTCCCGACTACAGAGACTATGCTCCGTGTTGACCAGGCTGTTGTGTCGCAGCGAGGAGCAGGTGCTGCGCGAGTTCGGTGTAAATCTGCTGCACTTCCTGTCGGCTGCGGACAGCGGCGTCGCGCGCACCATCGCCCTGCAGACGCCGTGCGTTGCGTTGCTCGTCGCGTTCATCGAGCAGGCCGAGTCGAGCGCCCTCGGGGTGGCGAATCAACATGGCCTAGCGGCGCTGCGCGACAATCCAGAATCGATGGGCACCAGCCTGGACATGCTGCGGCGCGCCGCCGGTACGCTGCTCAATCTGGCCAGGCATCCGGACAACCGAACTCTGCTCTTACAACACGAGTCCCGTCTGCTCGCCCTAGTGATGAGCCAGATTCTGGATCAGCAGGTCGCCGCGATAGTCGCGCGTGTATTGTTTCAGTGTTCGAGGGGCACGTAACTCTTTTGTCGGTCGGGACACAATGAAGATGACGCACTACGCGGATGTTTAACGGTGCCGGCTTAGACGACGACGATATAAGTAAGACGCATGCGACGACAATGACGATGATGACTACGTCGTCGTTGTGATGGTAATATACGCTGTGTACTGACTGCTAGTGTGTAAAAGGCGAAGAGGGAGAGCGGAAGATAGTGACAAGGAAAGAGGAGAGAGAGAGGGGGGGGAGAGAAAGTGTATGTGTGTGTGTGAGATAATGAGAAGAGAATGATATTTGACAGAGAGTTAAGAGAGGATAGAAGGGAGGAGGGAGGGAGAGAGAGAGAGAGGGAGAGAGAGAAGAAAGAAAAGACAGGCAAGAGACACGCGCGACGAAGCAGCGCACGAGTGAAGGAACAAAAGTGCTGAAAGGCCATGGCAGCGCAATTGTAGTTTTATATCGATTAAACAAGAAATAAGAAAGTTTAATTATCGGTGTTAGAGCGTGTAGGTATACTCGATGCAATCTCCGCCCATCGGTATACCTTCCCTTCGTGAAATGAATAATATCGATAGTGTAAGATATTTCATAGTTAATGAAAGAAAAAAAAGATACACATGTAGACACGCGTACACACACGCATACATGCGCGCTCGTGCGCGCGCATATACACACACACCACGTATATACACGCACACACGTACATACACACATACCACGCGCATGAGAAAACTCTCTCCATATAGAGAATCCAGTAACAGGCAAACACATATAGTCCCATCATACAAATGTATACACATACACACATATACACGCAGCGTATATATACAAATACGAATACACACGCATACATACGCAGTAAAGATGGACTTTCAAGAGATACACAATGGTCAGCTGCATAATAATATATATACCAAGAAGTATGTCGGCGAACCCTAATGGTGCGATGTGGAACGATATATCGGATGACGAATATATATAAATACTAAACGATAATATAATGCAAATTTTTATATTTGCATGTTTTGTGCTGTAATTAGCGAGTAATTAAGATATTTTGTAGATAACACACACTTCCATTGAATCTTATTCGATTTTTGTGCTACGGCTATGGTGGCGCAAATATGTTTGCGGTCGTAGGACCGTAAAAAGTCTCGACTTTAGAAGCACAGGCAGAACTAGAACTGAAGAAAGACAATGCTAGAAGAGAAAAAAAATAATATGACGTGTGATAACGCCGCTGCTTGAAAGAAAGAGAAAGAGAGAGAGAGAGAGAGAGAGAGAGAGAGAGAGGAGAGAGAAAGGAGAGAAAGAGAGAAGACATGCGAGAGAGAGAGAGAGAGAGAGAGAGAGAGAGAGAGTGTGTGAGAACGCGTGTATGTATGTGTAGCCGTATGGATTGCATGCATTATGGATGTGTGTATACATGTATGAGATGGATGTATGAATTTGCGGATTTACATATATATGTATGTATGTAAGTTACGATGAAAGTGATCGGTTTAATTTTTTTTTCTTTTCATTAAGTAAGAAAGAATTCATTAAGTAAGAAGAAAAAAAATATATAAGCAATTTTGTGTATAGGTTTGTTACATTATCATGCGACGCTTTGCGACAATATTATGAGTTCAGTAGCTTTTAATTATGCAAGTACAATTATACAAGCAATTGGTGTGTGTGAAAGAAATTTTTTAGTCACAAGAGAATTAAGTACTTTCACCGTAACATGTATACATATATATTCTCGAGTTTTACAAGAAGAGAGAAAAGAGGGAGAACGGAAACGAGAGAAAATATTCGACATATGGAGGAAGAAAGCTGCAAAAGTGCCGAGGTGCACGTTTGCGCGCAAGAAATGCGTGTGTATGTGTGTGTGATAGGTACGAGCGTGATGTGTGCATACGCTTCACTGAGTGTGTGTATATGTGCGTATCCCTAATGTAAAAGAGGGCTTTGCAGAGGAAGAATACGGGAATGCGTGCGCGCGTGTGTTGTGTGTACGTACGTGTATGTGTGTGTATGCACGAAGGATGGGGGTGCTGGTAGAAAAAGGGGTGGGGATAGTGTCTGTGAAAAGAAAAAAAATATATACACACAACATAGCTTACGAAATTAAGTAAAGTAACGATTACTTGTGAAGTATAACAGATTTCGCAGTTTCAGTGAATTTCTTTTCCCTTTCTTCTTTTCTTTATTTTTTTTTTTTTTATGGCTTCCTAAAGAGAGATTCGAAAGTAGCGATGTCTAACTGCAATCTTTTTGAAATAAACATATTTATAAACGTAATTAAATGCCGTTGTGATAATAAAAAAAAAGAAATAAAAAAGGACGAAGCGGAAGAAGAGGGGAGAGAAGAGAAAAATAGCGGAAGATACGAAAACCGACGTTATAGAAACAGATGGAAGAACGGGTTCTCTGGGCGATAATGTAGAAATGAATATATTAAAAGGATAAAAAAAGAAGAGGATTTTTAAATTTAAGCTCGATCGTGCCATTAAACGATTCTAATGGGATATATTTATAACCAAGATTTTATGCTTTTTCAAAGCGCGCATATGTTATTGTAAAACTAACAAATACCGATTGTCAGCTTGCACATATTTTGAGGATTCTTACATACATACATACATACATTTATCTAATGTAAAATCCCACTCTCACGAACATCTGCGCAACAGGTAACAAAGAAAGAAAAAAAAAGAAACGCATTCGAATTCGTCGTCGCACACCTTCCACTGATATACTTCCTCGTTTCGTAGAGAATGGATTCGAAAAAGAAAAAAAAAAGAAAAAAGGAAGAGAGAAATGTATATGTATATACACACACACATATATATATATATACATATATAGACAGAGAATGGGGGGGTTGAATTTAGTTTTCACACACGACGTGTAACCGTTTAACTGACACTCGATTTCGAATTCTCGCGGAGACTATTAGAACGTACGAGATATAAGTTAAACAGAACACTTTCCCTGGTCCCAGCTTCTCCCCAACCCCAAAGTATCCTACTCTATAGATATCTAAATACATGTAGTTCTTAAATTATTTACTTTAGTTCGAGTGGAGATGCCTGTAAGTGTAATTTACTAAGACTTTTTGTAAATAAATTATGAAATAAACTAGACGTACTTTATCCAGACGAAGATGCGATCTGACTTTGGCAAGATACAATGATAATAATAATAATAATGATAATATTGATGATAATAATAATTATTATTATAATAAACGAAGTATAGGGCATTAGAAAGTCGCTTCCACCTTTCTTTTTTGCATTCACCGTAGGCTTTTATTATGCCGAACTAAATGCTGTAAATACATTTAATCTCTATCTTCCTCGTTCTCTTGTCTCATTCTTTTTTTTTTTCTTTACTTTTTCTTCGTCCTTCTCGTAGCACGTTACGGGGGATTCTCATTTGGAATAAATGCTGCTCTCCATGTTCAGGATCATCGCGCTGTTCATTTTGCGACACAGCCACTCCAAAATATCCGCGGCCTCGCTCTCCACATACCAATCCACCATAGACGATGATGCCTCCTTTTCGTTCTGCGGGCAACATTCCATACAAGCCACGTGCAATTAATAATTCGATTTCTTTTGTTTGTCAGCTCTACTCGGTAAATCGGGACGCGCCCTAGCGAAACGGTGTTACCTTCGTTACGTGCAAAATAAGCTTATTTTTAGCGACAGTTGGCGGCGACAGCAACTGATTGGTTTCCAGAGTCCACTTCACATTCCACGATCCCCAGGCGCTTCCTTTCTCGACGTAGTGTATCCGTCTGAAAGTCCACGAGAAACGATTCTTTACTTTTCCCGGATAGATGGATGATCACAATGCGGGGAGCGTCGTCCGACTCGAGCGAGCTCTCTCGATACGTGACTTTAAGACACCTCGTGGTGTCGATGATCATCGGCGGACTTACTGCAAAGACACGAGGGTGATGTACTTTCCGTCGTTGTGGAGCGAAGCGTGGCCCCAGTAAAAATCGTTCTGAGCGCAATGACCTTTGCTTATAGCGTTCAACAAGTACGCTCCCTTGGCTTTGTGCGTCGAGAACAGCTCCACGCCCTGGAAGAACGATCTCATTAATAAACAGGCAACGAGGAAGAATGTCAAGCGAGTCAGCGTCTCTACTAAATGTGCACTCACGAAGTGCGGGTTGATGTACCGCGGTAGTCGCACTCGGGATACGAAACCATGCCCCATCTCTTGCGCCCTACGGGACAAGCGACGGTTCGTTTTTTCAAGTGCAAACGAGAGCAAATGTAAGCGCCAATGTAAGCGTCGGTACCTTTTCATTATATCTGCTACTACTTTCGAATGACTTTTTAAACAAGAACTTTCTGCCTTGAAAAACACGGACGTTTTCTTGCCCAGTGTTTTGAGGAAATACCTTAACTCTTCTCGGTGAATGCCTGTCATTTTTGAGAGATTTAGTAGTGGAGTCGAGCACACCGGGAACACGTGGACGACACGATGCTCACGAGCGGCGGTCGAGCGCGTATAAAGCTAACAGGTACGCAGTACGATACGTATGATTTCATTAACATCGACTTGTACGTTACGACTAGCGCAACGGTCTACTCACTGTTCGTCGACGCTGTGATCAAGCCGGAGACCTCCAGGTCGATCTCCGTGAGGAACGAGTGATCGATTGAAAACGCCAACGGCGGTACATCCGGATTCGGGTAACTCGCATCTTTCACCTAGAATGAGGCCTCAAATGCTTTCAGAAATTCTGCAGAAACTCTCGAATAAAGAAGCGTGTTCTACCTCACGCCAACAACCACACCTCCTTAACCGAGTTATTTTAATAATTTATACACTTTAAGACAGCGATCCAAGTTTTTAACTCTTTGAGTTCTGGTTCCTCTTGTTGGAAATTTAAAATCAGGGAGAGGAATTACAAGTTTTATTATAAAGGATTAAAAATTGAGAAAATAGAAATTGTTTTTCACAGAATAAGCAAACTATATATTATCAGATCTACCAATTGACGTAGATAATTAATAAAGAATATTTTTATTTTCAGTGATACGTATATCATATCCTTGAGAATATGCCAGGACACAAAGGGTCGACTATCAAAACCTTTATAATAAAAACATGTAAAAATAAAAATTATCTATCTGCTTTTTACTAAAAAGATATCAGCGATTCCAGGACATCTCGCATAGCTGTGACGTGTATATTTACCTTGGGATGAAGAGTCGCGGGAGTGTCGTGGCTGTTAAAGACCTGCATGCCGTCGTGCGTAACATAGCCTAACTCACACGCGACATCGTGCGCTAATCTCTCCGCAGTCTCGTCACCGTAGAGCAGTAGCTGCAAGTGTCGCACATCGCAATGAGCACACTCGAAAGACACTCGACTCCTACTCGAGTCTTGTAAGCTTACCAAATCCGGCTCGTAGAAGCCACCGCCCGGCAACTTGAAGTTGTAGCCGTACTGATTCCCCAAGACAGTCGTCAGGCGCACCAGTACGTGAAACTGTTCCATGATCTGCGCCATATAAGTGCGCGAAAGATGCGAGAGGAATTGCTTATTGTCGACGACAATGAAACTTCTTCGATAGCCGGGCAATCTGCAGAACCGAGGGAAATGAATCACCGCGTCTACGAGCCTCGTGGGAACCTCCATAATCGCATACCTGAACTTAACGTCCCTCTCGAAGACGCCCTTCTCCGCGTACTCGAAGACGAACTGCACGATGTTGTGATAGTCCGCTACGTCGTCGAAATTGCGCGCGTTGCTTCCTTCCGTGTTAGCCAGTAACTTCAAGCGCAACACCATCGGGGAAACGTATATCTGCTCTATCAGATCTTTCCTCTTGCCGTTGGTGTTCTGCAGGTTACACGTGTGCGTAAAGAAATCAAAGCGAAAATCCGAGTCAAAGAGTAGAAGTAAAAGATCAAAGCGAAAAATCCAAGTCCAGAAAGGCGGAACCGCGACACAGTGAGACGTGACAGCTTTTACGTCAACGGACATTTACATTACTGATTTTGTGAAGTGAAGGCACGCGCATATTGGAGACGTCTCTCCTGAGTTTAGCAGCGATCGAGTGCTTGGTCTCCGGTATCTTGGGTATCAGATTGATGAGGGAGTAGAGGAACGTCTCTTCCAGATTCAAATTGAACTCTCTGACGATCACGCATATCCCTCTGGAAGAGGGATAATTTGGAAATTGGTACATAACAACCGCCGCGTATCGGTAGTAGATCGTAGAAACAATGGCGGGAATTAAGCGTGTGTACTTGTAAATAGTATTCCTCAGTTTGCGTTGCTTCAGGTATGAGAACTCCAAGCAGTGCTTCAATCTACGACCACCGGCGTAATTTACGAAACCCTTCTGTAAGCTGGGATATAAAACCACCGGAAAGGTAGCCTCGCTTAGTTGATTATCGATCTGCGCAAGCGGGAAAGATGTTACGGGAGTATTATCGCAAACTGATGGACACGTATGAACGTACCTGTATCCTGTGAACGTATCCCTGGAGGTAACAGAGTGTCGTGGATTCCCTACGATGCAGCCAAATACCTGGCGAATACGTTCTTCGTAGCTTTCCGAAAAACGGTTTAGTCATCTGCATCTTCGTGAAGTCAACCTTCAAAATGTTGGGGAAAGATTGTGTCAAAGCTATGCGTCTGCGCGAACACGGTAATATATCATTGGTTCAGTCGAGAAGTTTGACTCATTTCTGCCTTCTTAAAGAGTATAAACCGGTAGAAGTCTTTTATGAATATAAAGTGATAAAAATATATAAACGCTGCGAGAAGCAAAGAATCGTAAATAACGAGGGTGATTACTTTTGGTCGATGAAGAATCAGTTTCCACCGACGACAAAATTCAATTCTTTACTCAAAACTCGAGCTGGACTTCCTGACTGACCCGATGAAAAATAGTAATGAAAGTTCGAAAATCGCAATCATACGTCGATTAAGTTTTCCAGCTGAGCTCCCTTCGCGGAACTCATGTATTTGTTTTCCAGCCAAGCGCTTAGCTCCAACGACAGGCTCTTCCACCGTTTGCTAAAGTAAAGCTCCCAGTGCGCCGACGAATCGATCATACTAGCATACAGCAATTCCCGTCTAGAACTGTGGAGACTGACGCTGGACTCTTGCACGACCTAGAGGAAGAGAACGCGATCGGTCTTCAATTTATCACGCTTAACCCCTTGTCCTACAACAACGAGTGAGACTCGTGGTAAGAGATTTGGGCCAAAAACAATGAGCACAAGCCTGGCTCGTGGTACTTCATTCGGGACAAACATAAACAATACGAGTCAGACTCGTGGTTCAGTTGTTCTCGATATTTTCTTACTTTAGTTACGTGTAATTCTTCGTTACGTTCACACGTTTAGGTCATAATTCCCTAAAAGAATTAAACAACCCTTATACCTATCATGTCAGTAAAAAGAAAATCTAATATCGATGATAATTCCTTTCGTTGCGCCGAAATATACATGTCATAAGACGCATACATTTTGCGCAAGTTCGAGCACACGGCTAAACAGCTAAATGGCTCGACGCGTGACCGACCTTCTTGTTAATTGTGGCTCGAGTAATCGGGAGTACAAAGTAAACGGGTAGGACAAAGGATTAAAACAATCAAACTGTAGAATAATTTTTAGCATCTGCTCACAATGCTGATTCCGATCGCTGCGATCGACAAGTACATCTCTCTCTTGCTGGTTTCAGGATCGATAATGCTCTTCGCTTTCAGGAACACGCTCTCGTGCTGCGTGAACAGCAACACACGTTGCTCGCTCTCCATGTAGCTCACCCAGTAAACCTCCGCTTCGTCTTGTCGCATATTCTCCAACGTTTGTGCTTTCGATTCGGATTCCGTGTTAGCAAGGTGAGTGGTACTTCCGCTCGTATCCTCCGACCACGATCTCGCGTTTGACAGCGACTTGGTATTGATGGAGGAGTGCATGGACGCGCTGTTACGCCGTTCCACAGTTAGAAACGACACCCTCTCGTGCCCGCAGCCGTCCTGGAAGCAGGCAGAAATGTTAACAATATACAGGATGTCCCTAAGTTTAATGTCCCACCCCAAATAACTCTTCAGTATTGAAGTTTCAAGGAAAATGATCTGAACAAAAGTTGTAGGGATTTAAGTGAGCTACCTTATGATGACCTTGACTTTGACTTCTATTTTCAAGGTCATTTGAAGGTCAACTTGCGTTTTTTAAATGGGAACCCCTATTTTCTATTACACTGTTTTTTTCTATCAATTAATTTAAACAACTTTTGTGTAAAACATTTTTTTATTTCCCTAATATTTTTTGAGATATTTGAGGAAAACTTGATAACTTTTTTAATATTTAACTTACGATATCTCCCTAACTATTTATCGGAAGAAAAAGCGACACTAGACTTTCTTGCTTTATTTAGTCTCAAGAATATATTGTTACAATAGTGCCCTGATTTTTGTTATTTTGATGATTTTGAAATTTCCAAAAGTCAGTAAGTTAACAAAAGTCAGGGCGCTATTGCAACAATATATTCTTGAGACTAAATAAAGCAAGAAAGTCTAGTACCACTTTTCCTTCCGACAAATACTTAGCGAGATATCGTAAGTTAAACATTGAAGAAGTTATCAAGTTTTCCTCAAATATCTAAAAAAATATTAGACAAATGAAAAAATGTTTTAGACAAAAGTTATTCAAATTAACTAATAGAAAAAAACAGTGTAATAAAAAATAAGGTTTCTCATTTAAAAAACGCAAGTTTTTTTCCTTCAAATGACCTTGAAAATAGAAGTCAAAGTTAAGGTCATCATAAGGTAGTTCACTTCAATCCCTACAACTTTTGTTCAGATAATTTTCTTTGAAACTTCAATACTGAAGAGTTATTTGGGGTGGGACATTAAAATGAGACACCCTGTATAACACACTCGTCCGAGCGACGAGTGACGATAAAGTCATTATTGCAAGAGTATGCCTGAGTATATGAGAAAACTAGGAATAAAAACACTTTCGTATCAAGTTGATTGAAAAATCTTTTCACCGAATAAATGTTGATACGAGCGTAGTATTTTCTTTCAAATAAAAATATGCCGACAAATGAAACGTACGTCACGTGGCAAAAGCATGAAGCTAACATATCGAAAGAAAAACATCAACGTGATATATTCAAAGAATCCACTTGATGTACGCTACCGTTTCGAATTCTGCTCTATAGCCGATCGCGTTGTTATTGTAAACGTTCCAGATCAATTCCCTGGTCTGCGTAGGGTCGTCCCAAGTGTACAGCAGGCTTTGGAACGGTTTCAGCAAGGCGACCTGGCCCAAGTTGACTTGGTTCAGCTTCAGGAACAGCTTGTCGCAGAGATTGTCCACTCTCACGGGTATGTCGGCGGTGTTATACTTTCGGAACATGATGCGATATGGAGTATTGATGCCGCCCTCGATCTCCACACACAATGCTGACTGCAAGTACGTAAAGTACGTTTCTCAAATATTTCAAATACTTCAAAGGATAAGTCAGCAAGTTCTTTGCGAGAAATTTGCTGAAAGCTTGACCATTGTATGACTAATAATCATTAATCTCTCTCTCTCTCTCTCTCTCTCTCTCTCTCTCTCTCTGTCTCACCCCGTTGTCCATTCTGAGCACGGTCTTGCCGGCATGCGTGATGTCGAAGTGCTGCGAGACCAATTGACTGTTCCTCCACTTGATTCTCATCTTCATGGACTCGGTGACGGGCCAGAAGGACATTTCCTGAGCGGGCAAGAGATCGTTCCACAGATCAGCCTCTTCATTCTCCTCCATGAACCTCAGGGCCCTCTTGGTTTTATTGCAGATGAGGAAGTACGGGAGAAACGTGATGATCTTTGTGAAGAACGGCGACAAACGAGAGCTTTCCACCTCCGTTAAGATCTGATACTTTCTTCCGCGCTCGATATCTCGACATACGACCAAGGACATCGACGTGATCCCGTCCAGTCCGAACGGCATCGACCACTCGGACTGATGCGCCCTTAATCGCACTGTGTTTTTTTTATTGTTCTTCTGAGAGAACACCATCAGCTCTTCTTCCGGCATCTCGTAAGTTGTATGAGTGTGACACTCCTAGAGGGGACATGATATTAATAAACTACCATACAGAAAGCTAAAACAAAACAGTCTGTATCTAATATTACTAAACTATTATGTTGATTTGAATGAACAATCGTTACTTATTTCTTTATCAAACTACGTTTGGTTATCGAGAAGCTCAACGTCGTTGTTACCTGAATAAACAGCGGTAAACCAGACTTGTTAATTATCCAGTATTGCGACTGTACAATGATGTTCCAGCTGAGCATCTTGCACAGTTCTATGCACAGCAAGAAGGGCTTCGTGAGATCCGACTCGTTGTCTGTAGACATTAGTACAAACTTTCGTTCCAGATTCATATTCAGTTTAACCGTGCCGATCCACGATGTGCCTAAATAGTTGTGTATCTACATAAAGTGAACGGAAATTGCGTATAATTACAACACGTTGACGATACGTACGTTCAAGTCACGCCTACGGCAGTTTCCGTTAAATATTAAGTTGATTCGAGAACTTTCTCATGAGCATTGAACGTGAGTGTTGCTATGAACGAAGCATTTTTCAGGTAGAAATGTGACGACAACGAATGAAACACGTATTCCATGGGGAAAAGACTGAATCAACCTAATATGATGACTCCTTTCTACTCACCTTGAAGACAAACTGCACATTACTGTTACAATTGAGTGAGTGCATATTGATTTTCTCCCCGGGTTCGATTTTCACTTCGTAATTAATGCTAGGTATACTGACATCGATGACGAAGGGTAGCTGGTTATTAAAAATAACGGGTGGTATGATATTTATCAAGTAATTCGGCACTTGACAACCGGAGGGTCGGGTCGTTAATGGGACTTCCGTGCATATCGCCCTGACACAGAATACATTACTATTAATGTCGTCTTTCGTTTCGCAGCATACGTCTTTAAATGCATTTGTTGTACCCCTCAAGTCTTTCCAGTAAATCCCATCATCGCTAACTTGATATTTCCTGTAATATATGATCGATACGATAGTTCTTCTCTTAATAAAACTGCCTGTAAACTAATAACCTATTGGCAATAAAGGAATATAAATATCATTGATTTAAAGAAAAACCGTGACATTTTTGTAATCTTGTTTTGACTTTTATAAATTCCTTAAAATGCAAACAATAAATTTTGCTTACTCTAGATACGCAGGGAGGACGTATATCGAACAATGATAAGCGATGTACAGAGGAATATTGTAAGTCGAGTCGGGTTCAATGATCGCCATTCTCACGTTATCGTCGAAGGGATTTGTGGTCTCGCCAGCTGGTATCAGACCCAACTTGTCTACTACCGCTTTCTTATAATAGAGGCCCAGCGCGTACGACGTTTCGTTTCGAAACTGAAATATGACGTTCCATGAATACGAATGCAGGTAACGGTAAGACAAAGTGGAGTAACATAAGCGGGTCAAGCTTCACCTGCAGTGGAGATCGCACGCAAATTGTACGGTGCAGATAGCTGTTTATCGACGCTTCTATCACCAAGTAATAACGAACTTCATGTTTTACAGGGCGAAGCGATACGAGATTACGCGTTTCTTTCTTCGGGCAGTACACCAACACTTCCTCGAAACCTGTATAATGAAAATAAAAAGAATTATCGGTTAATCGCGCGTGTAACATATATCTTAATGTTTTAATAGTTCATCCCGATATTTTCATGCATTCTTCTTTCGTTGCAAGTAAGAAAGAAGAAACGTCACCTTCGAAAACGACGCGAAGAAGTTCACCGGTTATCGATTTGTAGATGTGGACCGGCGAGTCTATGGGAAAAGCTTTGCATTCTGGCATAACAAGATGGATATCCTTGCCGACCCACTGAGGACTCGTGAAATCAGTCTGCGTTTCATTTTCTGGGCTGCTGGGTACGCTGATCGGCGAGCTGCCATCGTGGAAGTTATGCGTAGCGATGACGCGTATAACACTGTTCCCATCAACCTGTCGTTGAGAACATGTACAAACGTTTAATTTTCAGCGAGTAATATATTTCAATCAGTAGTAAAGAAAGTGCAGGTGCAAATCGACAAATAATCCAATTTACTTGATATAAATGATGCTTATATTTACTATATCGCTATATCGCACATTATGTGAATGTTAAAAAAATCTAAAGGATCAAACGAAACTGTATTCAAACTCTCTTAATATTCAATCGCTACAAATTAATTTTGTAAAAAATCTAAAAAACCCAAGTCTTGTTTGAACCATCTGAACACCTCATGTAAACGCCGAGAAGAAAGAATTATTTTACCTGTTCTTGAACAAGCAGTTCTATTCGGCTGGCATGACCGATATCGTTCAACACAGTCAATCCCCGTGTGTTAGTGGGCACAAAAGGGAGTCCACCCTTGGCCTGCACGAACGCGCTCATGATTGCGTTCCATGTTTCGATCATGTTCTGCGTGACAGTGATGTTAATCTTCTCCTCTGTATACAGAATAATATGCGGCGCAGAGAGATTCATCTTCGCTGGCGCAGCGGGGTGACCTACGCAGAAAATATCGATAAATAACGTTGACGAATAACTGAAATACAATACACCCGCGATTCTCCGAGTTCACATACAAGACTCAGCGTTACAATCCAGCACAAAGTCCAATCCCTCGTCCTCGTTTGTGCTCGAGTCGTCCGAGTCGCTTTCTTCTTCGTCGCTGCTGTTACTATTGAATAAATAATTCGAGATCCTCGCTAGCTTCTTGTCGCTCTCATCGTCGTCTGTATCGGATTCGTCCTCGCATGTAACGTAAGTCTCAGGCTCTGCTTTTTAACAGAAACGAATGCAACTTGTTTTTTGAACAACCGATTCTGTTTTATGGAACAACAAGCGGTCAGAGTGCGAGTAATCTCACCATTCCTCGTGGACGAAATCGCATCCACGTCAGGTCCGATAAAGACCATGTCCATAACATCTTGCCCATTATGTCTCATATCCCTCTTTTTTACTTTCATTGGATCTTGCTTTATGTGATGGTAAGGATCTATCCAATTAGAATTGATCATATTCGCCTCAGCTTGATACGTCTGCGAAATATGTTGAATGAAAAAGACGGTGATATCATAAAATAATGAAACATAGCAACAAGATATTACTTTAATGGTGAACTCCCACGGCTTGTAGTTCACGTCGTCATTTGTGCAAAATTCCACAAGCGGTTCCCAAGACTGATGTGCTCTATTGTAGCAGAACGCGTGGAGCTTCACATTGGACTCGAGATGAAAACTGTTGTGCCAGTCGTTGACGGTAGTTGTAATGATGGCTTCCATTCTCATTACCGGAAATCTTCCTATTGAGTATTCCATCTCCAGCAACAAACACACCAACACGGGTTTCAGGTTGAATATTACATGATCATGGCGACGACAAAACAGTTCTGAATCGCCTGAAATTTACAGTACGATCAGTATAGCAATCATTTAAATGATTCACAGCTTGATCTTTGAAGCGAATAATCCATAATGCTGTGAATAATAATGATGCGTATATGAGACACTCGCCTTCGTCGGTTTTCTTATATGGTATGCTAGAAACTTTCCTCGGTGTCCAAAGATTATTGTGCATGTTTGTATTTTGATTGTTGCTACCGTCATCCGCTTTCAAACTAATGCTGTTTAGAAAAATCGACGCTTCGTTCAATATCTGGAATTTACCGGACGGTTTATGACGAGCAGAACGAAGTTGAAGGTAGATTATATTTCTGTCAATAACGGTTATTGTACATCAAATTTACATCTGTGTCGCGCACAACACCATGATACTTACATCCACAAAAGTGTGCACTACTTCCGCTGATAGGTGTATATTAATACTATTTATAGCGACGGTAATCTCCTCATTACCGCTCGATAATTCTTTCTTCTTACAGATTTCTATATCACAGGGACGTAACAACCAACATGGGGACTCGTAATTCCCCTGCCCTTTAGTTTTGGCATTGACATTGGTCAGAGTGCAGACTATCGACGAGGAACAACTGTGCCTGCTACTCTCGATAAACACCTCCGCTTGCATGCGTATTACGTGGGTGTTGCTTTTCTCTAAATCGCCAAATAGAAAGATATCTGGCTTCTGTATCCTAATAGACACGGACGTACCTGGACACATCAAGATTGTGATCAATGCCTTTTACTTTCTACTTTTTAGGGTAAAATTATACACAATATCATAGCGTAACACTGCACGTATAGTATAGCACTGTTGACAAAAAATAAGTGAAAAAGCGTGTTACATCCAACGTATATGCGTACAGATGCCAAATACCTGGTTGCTCCTTAAAATACTGTGAACGATTTAATTTGTCGGTTTCTGCGTTCAAAGCATTCCGGTTCTTGATTTAAATCAGATACTTTGGTCAAATATATTTGTATGATAACGTAAAGAAATTCTCTTTTACTTACAGTCTGATTATTATTATCGTATCCATGATTGATGATTCCTTTCTCGATCTGCTCGCCAGGCAAGGAATCCAAGAAATACCGGCCCAAATGCATCAGGAAAGGAACGGATAAATTAATTCGTACATCTTGAATGAGAACATCGAGACACTTCTCCTCCGCTTGAGTACGACTATACGTGACATCGACTATAGGAGACATCGATACAGAGATACAGGATTCTAAATTCTTCTCTAAGGATATCGCCGGCGACTGTATTATTCTGAAACGTAAGGCGAGGCTGTATAAATCTCGATATCGACGATGTTTTGTCGTTTCTCGAGCGAACAATAATACGAACTTTCTCTCGCTAACGGACTCTTTGCGAGTATCTTGCAACAAGCAATTTTGCAAAGATAACTTCATTTTCAAGCTCTTGTCACTGTAAAAGTCCCAGGTATTTATTGTTTCACCGAAGCTCAGTTTGCATAGCCCGTGATTCAAGTCGCGTACGGGAGAACTTAATACCTGCAACATAATAAAAATATAACGTATATAAAAAGATTATATATATATATCAAGTTTTCCAAAAGTAACGGACCTCCCCCTCCCCCTATCTGAGAATCTATGCATTATAGGGAAAAATGACTCGAACAAAAGTTTTAGGGTTCATAAAGTTCTGTTTTTTGTGACCTCAAATTTGACCTTGATCTCGACCTTGAAAGTCATTTGAAGGTCAACTTGCATTTTTTAAATGGGAACCCCTATTTTTTATTACACTGTTTTTTTCTATCAATTAATTTAAACAACTTTTGTGTAAAACATTTTTTTATTTCCCTAATATTTTTTGAGATATTTGAGGAAAACTTGATAACTTTTTTAATATTTAACTTACGATATCTCCCTAACTATTTATCGGAAGAAAAAGCGACACTAGACTTTCTTGCTTTATTTAGTCTCAAGAAAAAATTGTTACAATAGTGCTCTGATTTTTGTTATTTTGATGATTTTGAAATTTCCAAAAGTCAGTAAGTTAAAAAATAGGGGTTCCCATTTAAAAAACGCAAGTTGATTTTCAAGTGACCTTCAAGGTCGAGGTCAAATTTGAGGTCACAAAAAAACAGAACTTTATGAATCCTAAAACTTTTGTTCGGGTCATTTGTCCTATAATGCATAGATTCTGAGATAGGGGGAGGGGTCCGTTACTTTTGAAAAATTTGGTATATAATAAAACTCAAGTATTAATTTAGATGAACAGTACCTCTTCCGTGTCTAAGAACAAGTTCAGTTGTAATCCTTCCAACGTGAGCTTTACATTCACCTCGCACAAGGCTGTCTCGTTATGAGCTAAAAAGTCCTCCAACTTCTTCACCATAGCGTCGTCGTGCTTGACGTTCTTTTGACAGCTTAGCGTTGACGTTCGATCTTCGTTCTCGCCAGCTTTCTTAAGCAAGAGAATCTTGGAGATATTATCCTGCCACACTGACATGAGAGACTTGAGATCTCTCTGGCTCAAGTTTATATTCACGATATCGATCGCTCCCTGCACATTAAACAAGCCATAGGCTTGAAGCTCGATGATGCTACGATACTCCGTTTTCCTCTTGATGTCAAACTGGATTTGAATAGGTTCGATAATAGGTTCCTGGAATCACTTTCTATATAATAGTATTCTCTCAACACTATTATACTACGATATCACAAGCATTTTATTTGTAATTTCTTACCTGAACCTCCAAGTCTCGAGTGAGAGTCATAATTGCTCTAGATATAGTCATGGATTTCAGTTTCACCAGAATATTGTCGATTATTAGTTGATTGACGTCGCTGACGGACGCTTTATTTGATTGTGCCGATTGACCGCTCTTCTTGAAGAAGTTCTCAACCGATAGTACACCTGGAAATAAACTCTATAAAAAATATTCCTTTTCAGCTTGCAACTACATTCTCCTCGAGTAGATATACCTGTGTCGAAGACCAAGAGACTCGGAGCGTCCTTCTTCTGAGGTAGCAAGAATGTAGGTCCTTGTATATCAATAAAAATGTGCAATTTCGTCGCGCTTCTCTTAAACACCTGAATGCCCCCGACGAATTTGTCTCTCAGATAGTTCAAGAAACGCGTGTAGTACACAGAAGTGAATGGCGTTATGAAATTCTGCAAAGAACAGTGAGGATTATAACAGCGTTTTAATGCGGGTATGTAACACAATGAAGAAAATCTACCGCACCTGTAAATCATATAGAATTTTAGAAATGATTACGCAATTTATTCGTCCAATGGAAAGCTTGAAAGTGCCGTCTGACATCACATCATCCTGATTTGTATCGATATCTGGGCACTTGTACAACCTTGGCATGTGCCTTACATATTTCAGGTCGAAAACCTTATCCTCGTCGGTTGTCAAAATCTTTAAAAATAAAACGATGAATATACAAATATGTATTACACACATAGCGATGTAAAGTCCATATCTTATCCCAGACAATTACTTTGGAGTAAAGCGTGTCGTCGTTCAAATCTTCAGCGAATATGCTCCGAAGATGTACGCGCAACACCATTCTTTCGTTCGCATTGTAGATGCAATCGTTCTCTAGACCCGCAATCTTGATCTCCATCAGATCTATGTCCTTATCACAGAATCGCAGAACCAGCGAGCTAAGCCTGGTGGAATAATTCAGTTTGATGGCACCTGTAGAAAGAACGTCATCGTGTTAGACGTCAGTCGTGTGTTACATTTTGTATTAAAAAGAGTGCGTCTACCTGGAGGGATAGGCGGGTCGTCGCCCTTTTGTTCCCGTTTCATAATATTGCTGCACACTTTCTCGGCGAACTTAAATAAAATCGTACCATGGCAAATACTGAAATAAAAGAATTAATATTTCCGTCTGCATCATATTATCTTCCAGCGCGCGAAGATACGCCACTTACGTCTGAAATCTGTGCCAATAGTCTCTCATCTTCAATAAAGCGGATCTATGGAAGTTTACATTGATATTCAGCAGATTCACAATCAGCGAGCGTTCGATATTCTTGAAGTGCGACTTGAAGTCGGGGCAATTCGATTTGACCTGAGGATAAAATAAAATAAAATAAAATAAAATAAAATAAAAATAGAATAGGATAGAAAAATAGATAGAAAAAAAATAGAATAAAAAAATGAAATTAAATAAAATAAAATCGAGGATGCAACGGCTCTAAAATAACTTTTGTGCGTATATCTCACCTTACGGTATGATACAACGAAAACCTCGTAAGCCTGATCGGTAGATATCAATTCCAAGTACGACCCGGTGACGCCAGCGTTCGTCTTATCGACCAGAAGAATGGACCCGATGCCGAATTGAACAGCGACGCCGTACTCCATCATCGCTGTCTCATAGTACAAGGTGTGCAGTCTCAGGTTCAAGTAAGGCTGCTCTCGATTATCCACCGTATGCTCCAGGTTGATGGAAAACTAAATTTTGAAGATACCGATATTTAACGTGAGCTCACCGTGCAATAAAATTGCGAATGCTCATGAAGGGAACACTTGCCTCTCCTATAGCGAAGCGTAGTAACAAATTAATGTGATTGCACGGTGATATATTGTCATCAAATCCGGACAAGTTGATCGTCTTAGACAATAGTTCCAGGTCCTCCTCGCTGACTTCCGACGAGACAACACTCCTAACGTGAACAGAAGCATACTAGATGAAGTACTCAATCAATGCTATTTCCAATCAAGCGTCATTATAATCACACATTACCTGTCAAGCTTCGGCACACACTTCGGCACGGTCGTGACTTCTTTGACGACAGATTTAAAATCACTGTGCATCATTGTAACGGACGGCAGACATATACTGGACTGCACTCTTATCAGTTCTTTCGCCGAGATAAAAGCCATGTTCGATTTCCGCTCGACAGCAGAGCCGTTCAGGACGACTTTGTATTTCTCGACATTGTCTTGGTATAATAGTAGCAACTTATTCAAGAAGTACGCCATCAGCCGCAATTTACTTTCCGACAAGTTGAACTTCACGTTCGAGATGTGCACGTTGAGCTTCGTTCTGCGAGAGAAAACCACGTCACAACCGTGCGTATAAAGATGAGAGGGCGCGATGTAAGAATGCTGATTACCGTGGCAATTGGCGATATTCGGGCTTGATGCTGTACGAAAGCGTCGCGTTCGCTTGCAGCTTGGGCAGCAAATGGTATTCCGAGTCGCTGCGCTTCCTCGCCAAGCGCCAATCGTCGCCCGAATGACAGAACAAAATTTGCGCGCCGGAGAATATCATGTTGAGTCGGTCATACAGCAATTCCTCCAACTCCATCAGCGTGGCATCCTCCAATTGCAGATTCGTCGCTTGAAGTTCATTCGTCAACGTGATGTTGCCGAGATCCAAGACGAGTATGTGTCCTCCTCTAAAACACAAACGTGTGTTAGTGGCGCACATTGTTTTCGTAACGTTACGACAACGTTGATAATGCGTACTTCTGAATCGATCCGTATTCGGGGAATATAATGTACGGGCTTTTGATGTCTATCTTGAAGCTGATCCTCAACGTCTGCGAAACGATGTCGTCTATGAAGCTCAGATATTTTCTCGTGATGTAATCCCACAATTTGTACAATCCGAGGACTGTGTCGTGGATGTAACTGATGTTAAATTTGAAGAAGTTGATCATCTCCACCATAGCGAACTGAAAAGCAACGTAGAGAAAGAGAGAGAGAGAAAGAGAGAGGAGGTTCATAATGACACTTCGAGAGACTATTCGGAATGATATCTGTGTGTTTAAAAACGCTCTTACATGATGATAAGTCACTTCGATAGCCTCCAGTTTTATAGATACTTCAAAAATAGGATCCATGTTCAGTCTATTCTTCTCGAAATCTATCGCCAAGAAATATGTCGATACGTTTCCTGCAATATACGATAATAATAATGAGACTGATAACAATCTCATTATAATTTCTTATTTCTTACGTAAGTGGACGTACTACCTGTTAACACATTATCCACCGTAACCAGAGGAATCAAATCACCATCGGATGATATAGCTTCGATGACAAAACTTTCAGCGCGAGCGGAAATCTTGAAAGCTAACAACGTAGGTCGTGCCTCGATGCTAGTGAGGAACTGCGCGACTGTCACGACCAGCATCTCTTTACCCTTGTTCAGAAGACTAAGGCAACAATTCGCCAAAGTAAAGTTTAATTTGTAATCTGCAAATGTACAAGAAAGATTGGTCAGATGTAAGCAGATGAAGAGAATATACTATCAAGTATTCATTGGTGTTGGACGTGCTTACCGATTTGCTTCAGCGTTTTCTCTAATTTCTCTAATTTCGTTTTGGAGCTGGATGAATTTTCCGCTACATCTATCGACAACTTTTGACTTTCGCTTTTACTGTGGTCCGTTGCTGCATTCTGCATCTCGTCGTTGCTCGTTAATATGCTCTCTGCGCTGACGTCCTTCGAAGGACTCGCTGCGATGATTTGGCACTCGCGCTCGATATCCTTATTTCGCAATTCTTGCCTAGCGTGCTCTCTTGCTATCACGATATTTAGTATTGTCAGACTGTCCTGGTACTTCTGCAGGTCCAACTTCAGCTCGGTATCGTTCGGTCGTTGCAGACTTTGGATACACGCCTCTTTGTACTTCCGGTAATTTTGCCTGTGCTCGACAATGTGCGACCAAGTGTACGGTTTGACATAATAATTCAAAATAGAATTGTACGCGTATTTCCACCAAGACGACGGTTCCTCGTACACGCTCCTCTCAGGGCGAAATTTCAGATGTGGCCTGCGAACGTTATACCAATGACAATTTGCCGAAAATATAACATACACTTACGAAGCAAGTAAACGTCAATAGTCGCCAATAGTTCACCTGTTAATTATCGCTCGCAATAAGGAGTCGTGGATGTGACAAAATGTGGCATATTGCGCCTCCGACAGTTGCATCGCCACGTCTTGCAGAACAATATCGACTAGCATACGAGAAGCTTGTGTCTCTGTGCCTTTGTGTATAATGACCTTGATCTTGGCTGTGAAAGGCTTTAACACTTTTAACAGAGAGAAGAATGCCATTAGAAGCTCGCGAGAACAAAAGTGAATCATAAACTTCTTTCAAATGCATTTACGACATTACAATCGACGAGAAAGATTTCAAACGTACGAAACTGAAAGTCTTTATTCTTCATCCCGAATGTCTGCAGGGCTCGATGCATCGCGCTCTTCCATGCGAAAAGATTAGGCATGTCCCAATTACACGGAACATTTATACAGGATTCCGTATCATGGTCCATGTACACACTGAGTGATTCTGCGCGTATAAGCTGGTACACAGTCTGCGAATTCGTGGCGCATACTCCAGGCTTCCATTTGCTGGAATTCATAATTTTCAATGATAATATAGAGCACATGTGCAATTAGTGAAGAACATGATAATATGCATAATCAAGTTACTTGTTTGTAGTTGTTATCGATATACTTTGTATACATATACCACAGGCACAGAGGAAATTGCGCAAAATCTTCTCTTCATATCTAATATGTACATTATTTATAGTAATTTGGAAGTTCTTTGTAACTGACGCCAATAAACCATCAAATAGTTGAGGAGGTAGACCTGCAATAAGAAGCATCAATTTAACTTAGGCACAAATGAGCAAACATTTGCAACTGTTTCAGCTACTATTCCTACAATTGTAAAGCATAAACTAACTGCATATTAATGGAGAAGAAAAGTCTCAGAGAGGCATTTGAATAATAAGTATAATATCCCATTGATAAAGAAATGTTTCATTACCAGCTCTAAATATTTCATCATCCTTTAAATCCTCAAGTATCTTCTTTTTCTCGGCTCTTATTAAACGTTTCTGTATCTCTGGGTCGTAAGGACCAGATAATGCAGGTACTGCAACTGCGTATATGTCCTAAAAGAAAACAAAGATACCCAAATATAATATAACATGTATATTTAGTATTTTAACATGTTGTGTTACATTGTATTATTGTACATCGATATGTTGTACTTTTGTCTCTTCTTAGATGCATTATCTCATACCTCTATGCATATCACAATAGGTTGCGAGAAGAGTCCAGACCATGGTATTTTCAAAATAATTTTCCCTATCAGGCCAATTTCTACTCTAATAGGTAATCCCAGTTGATACTGAAAGAACAATATTGCACACGATATGATTACGTTTATATCGTGAGTATTGTTTATAAGTTACGAGGAAAATCAGTCGATGCTCACCAAAGCCTCTGGCTTCAATTTCAGATCGGTGAGGCATGTATCCCCGGAGAAAATACCGACGTTAAACTGCTCCGTGTCTAGGTCCTCCACATACCTGCCCAGCAGGCGGTTCAAAAATGCCGCTATAGCCCCCTCGAACATCGTCGTGCTTCTTAATCGAGGACTGTCACTGTGTCGCTTACGTTTGTACGGACTTCGCGCGAGCTAGAAGACAGAATCAACTGGAATCAACCTGGCCCCGGTCGTCATCATAACCTCAAGATTGTTACAATTCGCAAGACAATTCAGTCATGCGCGACGCCGTCGCAATCTTTATTGATCTCGAATTTTGTCGCCGCAACGTCGTCACGGAGCGGACTTGGGCTGGGCGATAATCGACCGATAAATCAATGTTCCAATTTTTTTTTTGTTCTTTTGCCATTTATCGGTAATATGATTTATCATTATGTGTTAAGAGGACTTTTATTTTTTAGCAATAAATACGGACAAAAGTTCATTCGATCCGCTTTATACGATCGCGCTATCGAAAAATGAAAACGCTCGACTATCCCATCGTTGAGTTCTACTACTGGAAAATAAGATCCGTTGCTCCATCCTTGAGCCGCGTATTAAGCCAGCGGCACACGGTGCTTGTTTTCGTGCTGGATTGCTTGCTGGATGAAAATATTGCATTATGATTGGTACATTTCTGAAAATGGATGGAAATGCACCAATCAGAACGCAGTATTTTCATCCAGCAAGCAATCCAGCACGAAAACAAGCACCGTGTGCCGCTGGCTTTACTCAGTTCCTCGGTTTCTCGTCGAAGACAGCGCCTCGTAGCGGGGATTTTAGAATAGAAATAACGGGTCCAATGATGGGTGAGGTTTGTGTTTGGATTATGGGGTCCGTCACTTTTGTTAATCCAAGTTTTCCACTACGAGCCGCCACATCTTTGAAGGAAAACCAGGGTCGTAATTCGACTCAATTTCGACAGGTCAAATGGACTTTTAAACCCATACACATTCAATTACAAAATTGGAATTTTTTATTTTCAATTAACACGATTCAACGAAAGATTACGTATATAAAAGGGATTCAACGACGAGAAGGCTAAACGGCTTCTTTATTTTCAATTAGACTCGCAGAACGTGCTTAATAGTGCTTACAATATTGTAAATAGTTTATTACATAAAATATGCATATACAATATACAATATACAAGCAATGTGTGTGTGTGTATGTACGTGTGTATGTATATACATAAAACGTTACCACTTCCAGGTTCATCAATGATGTACAAGAGTTGAGATGATATTTACAGTAATGATACCAAATTAAGAAAATTTAGAATATACTTAGAAAATCAAAGACCGTCTCATAAAGCATAATGATCACTATCTATTCACTACCTATACACTAACTACTCGAGTGTTATCATAATATTATAATTAATAATGTATACGAAAAATGATAATGTCGAGTTGGAAAGAAAAAAGTGATTCGTAATATCTCGTCGTGAAATAATTATGTATAACTATACATTCTAGTTGATTTCTGTCGCCCATACGCGTGACGACATCTAATACAGTTTTCAGTTTTCCTCAACAAATGATATCCTCTCTCATGTTTCACATAGAAAATTGCATGTATAAACTTGTCGTGATCTATTCGCCGAGTTACGACCGAGTAATTCAGAGTTCACTTTTACACGGTAAGATGCTTGGTCTCGCCAGTGTTCGGGTCGACGATGACCTTCTCCTTGAGGACGTTAATCGTTGAGGAGGAAGCGTTCAACGACGAGTGAGAGTTTAAGGACTCCGCGAGCGGCATAAACCTGCCGTCGGAACACTCTTTAAAAAGCAACTCCTTCGCGCACTGCTGCTTCTCCTCTTTGCCGTTCGTAGGCGTCTTCTCCATCATCAGTGTCAGCAGCTCGACGATGAGATAAGACTCGGGCTTGTACAGTCGGGTGAAGTGCAGCCTGATGTGCTCGCCGACGTTTTCGTCCTTACGCGGCACATAGTCGCAGTGCGGACACGGCGGTGTCATGCGTTCGATGCCGTGTCGACGCTTATGCGCGTCCATGGTTTCCTTGTCGGTGGTGGAGAAAGGACAGCTCTGGCAACGGATCGTCTCGGGCTCGATCTCGCCGGTCGACGAGATAATGCCCTTCTTCTGCATCAGCAACAAACTCTGCTTGTCTTGATTGGAGGGCTGCAAGGCTGCAACATTGTTATTGCACACTACACTGAACGCACCGTTGTTGGCGGCCGCAGAGGGATTCATCATTAAGGAGTGAACAGCGCCGGTGGATCGCAAGGACTTGCCGGAACGTGGCGTTGGAGCCATGACATCGCCCTCGTGCTCTACCGAGATCCGGTCGTCCTCAAACTGCCGGCGCGACGCCTGCGCCTCCGCGTTCGCCAAATGTTTCTTCTGATGCTGCGCGTAGTTCGCGTAGTACTTGACCGAATAGTCGCAGGTCTCGCAGCGGTAACGCTGCTTCGCACCGTGCAGCGTCAGGTGCACCCTGTACTGCTCGCGCTTCTCGAACGCGGACGGACACTTGTGGCATTTGTAGCGCTTCTCCTTCAGACGACCGTTCCGCAGGTAGCCCGGATAAACGAAGTTGGGATTGCCGCGCATGAAGAGCCCGAACTGCGGGTCCGGCGACATATTTTGCAACGGCGACGCGGTGGCTGAAGCGGTGGCGGTGATGGAGACGTTGGCAGTTGGCGACACCGCCGACGTCTCGCTGGCTTCATTATGTCGCCGATGAACCACCTGGTGCTTTACCAAATTCTGCGCAGTCTTCGACGAGTAATCGCAGTCGTTGCACTTGTAACGATTATTCGAGCCGTGCAACGTCATGTGGTACTCTAGAGCGTCCAACTTGAAGTACCGCGCCGGGCATTTCGCGCATGTGAACACTTGATTGTTGGTTCTCTGGCTGGCTGATGCGCCGTTGTCGCTGTTGTACGAGCTACTGACGCTCTCGTTGACCTCGACGACGATCCACGCGACGTTGCTCAACTCGCTGTCGTTGCTCTCTTGATTCTCCGCTTCGACGCACGCCGTCGCCGGCGGCGGGAATCGCTGCGAGTGGTTGTACACGGACAGCAAGTACTTGGTACGCTCTTGATACTCCGATGAGTGAGCCTTCTGATGGGCCAACAGGTGCGACGGCTGACGCGCCGCGTAAGAACACCACTGACACGAATACGCCAGGTCTGTGGTGTGATACCGCAGGTGAATCCGCAGCTCTTTTTCACACAGGAACCGAGCCGGACACTTGTCGCAGCAGTGCACCAATCGAGAGTCCTGTAGATCCGGCTCAGCGCCGAGTACCGGCGAGTGGCTCAGCCCGAGTAGGGTGCTGAGGTCGCTGAGCTGCTGGGAGTCGGGGCGGGACTCGTCTACGAGACAGTGAACAGTGCCCAGGCACCCGGCATGCATATCTGTGTGCGCGATCATAACATCCCTGTGTGAGCAAGTGAAGCTGCAGTCTGTGCAGGGAATCACGGACTCTTCGGTGGACGCGTGCATCGCCTCGTGGTCTTGCACTTCGGCACGTCGCGATGACACGTAGGGGCAATGACGGCACTTCAGCATCTTCATCAGGGTGCCATCTGGCCGCGTTACCCAGACCAACGGTGCTTCCGGAAGGGAGCGCGTGTCCAAAAGGAGCGGCGGCGGCGGTGGGCCTCCAGCGGCCTTCGACGTATTCGACATTGATGTTACGCTATTGCGCGTGGTTATTTGAATCACTTGCTCGATTGACGCCTCGTTCTTTGTCTGGGAAGTGCCTGTGACGTGAAGACGAGCGGATCAGCAAGATCATGCTTTGGAGATCGTGTCCAAAGGCGTCGTATGCTGCATTGAACTTACCGCTGTTGGAGGTCAATACTTGCTGCATTTTCGAGTTGGGTACCTGCAGATCCGTGCTCTGCTGATGTACAGCCGCCAGCTCTTCCCCGTGAAGCCTAGCGTGCTCCAACAGTTCTCTACGGCATAGCAGAAGGCAGTTATTATATGTCGCATTGTGACATCGTGAGGTACTTCGTTGGCAAAGATTTCAATAAGAAGGTAAACGTTTCGTAAAATATCATGTAAAATCGTATCGTACCATGAGAAAACTGAACCGTGAATGAAATTGTATTTTCGATTTCGAGCGAGAATGATGCAGCATTTATGTTAACAAAGCACACCATCATGATACACAAGACACATACGCCTTTGTACTAACGTAGTATGGACAACGGTAGCACTTGAATATCGCTTCCAAGTTCGGCCGATGGTGCATCCTGTGCAGGGACAGAGTAGCGGCATCAGGTGCTGAGAACGGGCAATCTCCGCAGCCGAATGGGTTCTGCGAACGAGAAGGAAGTACGTGAAATTCGATTTGTTACTGTGTCATATATAAAATTGTCGCGCGGTCGACACGAAGCAGACGCACACGTCGACTAACATGGTTTAAGGCTGATGATAGTGCTTTTAAATATTCTTCCATTACGATACAGGTGGTACGTATCATATCGAGAACACTGTCACTTCAAATATATTAAAGATCACTAGATCTTTAATATATTTGCTACCATATTTTGCTTGAGAAACTTTTAACTCGGCTTGTATATATTTTAATGGCAGTATAAAACACTCCCGCAGTTTGTACGAACATAGAAGGAACAACTATTAAAGTCATGCACATATGACGCTGGTCTCTTATGAGAGACGGGCTGCTAGCGGATGCGTTGAATCGTCTCGCCCAATGTTTATATTTCATTCCGTTTCAAAGTCTTAAGGTTTAAGGCCAAGAGAAAGAAAGACGATTCTCTCTTCTCTTTCGCGTACAAGACTTACCCTTTCTTCAGTAGACTCTTGATCGGTGGATTCGTAATGTGACTTGACGTGCAACAATACGTTGTCCTTGTTGGAATCCCGATAGTTGCAACGTTTACACTTCCACTGAGTACGTTTGCTCTCGTCTGCCGCGATCGTTGAGGATATGGTGACCGCGCCACCGCTGGTACCGCTAATATTTTGCACGCTCATCGTGATAGGATTATTCTTGAGCAAAGACTGCCCGCGGGCCCTGATCGCCGCTTTGAGAGGCGGCGGCGGTCGCAGACTCAGGTCCATGTTATGACTACTGTTCCGACTACTGTCGGTCGATGGCAAGATCGTGACTGGATTTGTCACCTGACTGGCGCTAGGAATGTATTCCTTATTGTTTAGGATCAACACCTTCGTCGGGGGCTCGTTCACACTCGTTTCTCCTACGCTACGCTCCTCCATGTGATCCTCGTCCCATGTTTGCTGTTCTACCTGCGCAGAGAGTGCAGCACACTGTAAACTATCGTTACTCGCGGTACTCGGCGAGACCTCGAGTATGACATAAGATAAAACGAGACTCTCGCGCCGCTACATCGACAGAAAAGTTTGTAACTGCGATCAGTGAACGTCTCGCGATTGATATTCACAGACACGAGTGAAGATTGCGGTAGGATCTGCGGAAATACCGAGGGCGCTTTCGCGAGGAGAACGCAGGATCGGCATTTCCCGTCCACTGATTACTAAGAATATGCTTATGATGAGTGTCACAATGCAACAGTGATCAGGCGTCCGAGCGCCGAGTGGCCGAATTGCTGTGAAATTTTCTTTCGCTTTCTTTCCCGCCTTCGAGACCGGTCGAGAGCGATCTCGTCCGAGCGAAGTCAGAATTGAACTTAAATATATATATATATATATATATACATCTCTCGATGTGAGGAACAGATAAATGTTTATGAATTATATTCTAGATAACTGAGATTCATTATTTCACCTGTGCGAGATATTTGTTATACTTGGAATAATTCCGTCGACCAGTCTCATCCGTCATGAGTACTCTGGCGGTGATATGCACTGCGTCTTTAGCTGCTTTAAGCTTAATATGTTTTGTGATGTCCCATCGCCAGTTAGAACGATACGCGCACATAGAACACTCGAACGGCTTCCGGTTTAAATGACCGACTATATGAACGTGAAAGCGACTTGCGGTGGAAGCCCAAAATGGACAATGGGGACATTTGAACACCCGCCGGCCGCTCGTTTGTGTCGAACCACCTTCAACCTGACAAAAGTTTCGTGTCGTAACAAAGAATTGCCAAAAACTGATATAATACATGTTCGTTACAACGAACTGCTAGAGAAAATAGATGCTTGACATCCACTATATGCAATATGTAAAGCACATTCTTAATAATAAATGAATAAAAGAAAAAAGGACAACACGAGGTTCCTTCTAATATCTAATAATAATCAACGCTCGTGTTTCGTGATACATAGGCTCTTGCATACTTCTACAGTTCGATGAACATCAATTTGCGCTAAGAACATGTATAACAAGTAAATGTCCAACTATTTTGGCAGATACGAGGAGTCACAAAACAGCCAAACTGAAAGAAAAAGGAAAAAAAAAGAAAAGAAAAAGATATCCATGTAACAACGAGCTTGTATCGCATAAACTCTGCGCTCACAGACGCGTCCGCGTTTCTTGCTTGCTTTTTGTAAAGTTGCAACATTACAGCGACTGCTTCTAGTCTCAGATCTCAAGAGAATTCTCGCGAAGACGGACAATTTTTCTCTCTCTCTCTCTCTCTCTCTCTCTCTCTCTCTCTCTCTCTCTCTCTCTCTCTCTCCCTCCCTCTCACGCGCGCGCGCGCGCGTTTCTTATCGTATATACTTAGATTGTTGTTTTCAAGCACCGTACCGAGGATCCAGACGAATTTAGTCTTCTGAGATTCGCGTCCCAATCCAGTTGCGATGGAAAAGCGTATTCACCACGGTACGGGGTCATGCGGACGTCTGAACGGTTCGTTATTTTCTCTAAACTACTATCGGTGGTGGTCGTGTCGTTGCGTGTGTGGCAATATTGCATATGCACTTGAAGGTCTGTTGAGCTCTTGCAACGTCTTCTACACTTAGGACAACGTGTTGTACCCACGGATACGCTGAGAGCAGTGTGGTGTGTCTGTTTGTGACAAGCCAGCTCTTCCATGCTACTAGCTTTAAACGTACACCAGCATTTCAAGTCGTTCACACTACTTACGGCTACCTCCGGCACGCCGTTATTAATCGACGTCGCTGTCGTTAACTTTTCCTTAAGCTTATCGAAGAAGGAGGCATTTTTCCTCTCAAATATACCGGCGGCGGTATTGAGATCCTTCTTGGAATTCGTCGCCTGGAATGAAAGCACGACATGTCAAGTCACACACGTCGTGACAGGTCGTGTTATATTTTGCATTCACTAACAACGACTTCAGCTTACCTCCTTATTTCCATACATTTTAGCCAGCTCGGTGTCTCTCGCGATCTGCGCCAGTTCAGGCCTGACTCTGACTCGTGGAACCTTCAGTAAAGTCGTGGGTGGTCCACTGTTGGGTGCGCTGCTGATTGGCCTGGAGTTAGGTGTACTCAGTGGAATTAACATTGGCAGTGGTTTTCTTGGCTTGGATGGAATGACTGGTGCATGACACTCGGCTAAATGACGCTGCATCTCAGAATCCCAGGCAGTTATGAACTGACAGCCCTTCTCCTCACATTTCAACGCGATGCATTCAGCGCTGGCTATGGCGCTTCTCTTATCATCCACTAGAATTATCGACGAGTCTGATACAAACGTCTCAGAAATACTTGACGCCACTGATTTATTCAATGTTTCTCGAAAGTCACTCGCTCCAACCTACACAGATTTAAATACACACATTATGTCTACATATTGTCGCATGTTCTCTTTGGATCATTTTGAGAGAGACAACGATACACATGCTTATATTACCTGATTGTAGCGTTTCGGACTATTTCGTAGCTTACGTTCGAAAGGATTATTACTCTTGCGGTTGGTCTGACCCATAGGTGGATCATGATGATTAGTTTCGTGCACCGTCAAGCTCTGTCGAATATCAGCGGTAAAGTTACATACACGACATTGGAAAGCACCTGCACCTCCGTGATTCCGGGTATGCCTATCTAGATTCCACTGAAAATGATGTTGACAATACACATTCACTTTCAGAAGCGGTCTCTCAACGCAATGATCTCAAAAGCAATCTAATTCTCTTTGAGCATTTAGAAAGTTGGCATGTTGAGAATCATACATTTCTGCGGAACCAAATAGAATGAGGGACAAACCTTATACGGTGTACGAAAATCACAAGCATCACACTTGATCATTGGCATAGAATGATATTTAACATGCTTAGTATAACGAGCTCTGACGTGAGTCACGTAGGAGCATTTTGCGCATCGAAAGAATCTTCTTTTCAAATGATGCACTCTTTGGTGATTTTCGAGATCTTTCACGTTCAAAGCAACATACGAACACGCAGGGCACCGATTTTCGACTGGACTGTGCCCACTTTTACCCTAAAAATTACAGTAAAACATATTCTTGCCATCTATGAGGGAGAAAGACTCATGTATGTTGTGATGAATTTTCCTAAAAACCTCTGCAATATCTTCCTCTTTCGTTTGTCCTCCTATCGAGGTACTTGCCATTCTAGAGAAACGCGACAATCAGAATCAAACGAATAAAAAAGAAAAAAAGGAGTAAGACAAACGCATATGACATAGATAGAGATAGATCAAGAGAGACAAGGAGAGGTAGAGAGAGAGAGAGAGAGAGAGAGAGAGAGAGAGAGAGAGAGAGAGAGAGAGAGAGAGAGAAAAAGAGAGAGACAGAGACAAGAAGAAACGTAAAACGAGCCGGCTCGGGGATGAAGTAAATAGAGGTTGGGACAACAGTAGCCTCGATGACTCACCTTGTGCTTGTGTTCCTTCTGCGGATGCCTGAAGTAGTCCTTCATGTCGGGTAGCACTTTCGTAGGATTACTCTTGCAGTCGTACGAATTCCGCTCGTTCGGCTCGAGATCGATCACCTCCTCGGTTCTCCTCGTGACAAACTCGACATTCCTCAGCGGCTGCCGCACGTCCTTGTCGGCGGCCATCAGCCCGTCGTCGTTGTTATCGTCGTCGTCGTCGTCCATCTCGCTCGCCATCGCACTCGCGACCGTCTTTGTGTTGTTGGCCGCCTTCGCATCGGCCGCCCTCGCGTCGCGTCTCTTCGCGTCGGCGACCCTCTCGCTCGCGGCCTCTTTAAGGTTACCTTCCGGGCTGCAGGACGCCTCGTCGGCTACCGAGAAGTCGGCGAAGCCGCTACTCTTCGCCTGCTGCTGTGGCTGCCGCGGCCGCAGTATTCGCAACCGGGGCGGCCTTCCCGACATCTTGGACGACAGCCGCGCGCTTCCACGATTTCTCCGCTCGCCCTTGCCCGCCGCAGGCAACATAGCGCTCCGCTCCGCAGGGCCAATAATCCCGATCCTTCACAATCCCAATGGCAGCCCGAGCCCCGCCGTTAGCTGTGTCATTGTCGACCTGCACGCGGGGATTCGGAGATGTTTGTACTCGTACAGCCGCCGCAGTTACTGCTGCTAATCTCGCGGCCACCGCCGCTGCTGCTGGCGCATCCGCGCGAACACGGCGCGATGGGGCAACACGGCGCGCCTTGAACGCCTCTTCTCGAACGTTCGCATGCTGGCTCGCTGATAGCCTTGACTTATAACGGAGCAATTAAAAACCTTTATCGGAAGCGATATCACGAGAGATCCCCATCAACGTCAATGCGAGTCTGCTTCCTTTTTTCTCATGTCATCGTCATCGTCGTCGTCGTCGTCGTCGTTGTCGTCATCGTCATCGTCATCGTTATCGTCACAATGGGTACCGTCTTTTTCGGTCACGCAGTCGTAGCAAAAATTCCGGTCCCTCTTACGGAAGTACCGAGATTCCAGCGGGCCTGCGTGCGTGCGTGCGTTCGCTCGCGCGGATCCTCACAGTGGAAGCGGTTGAGACGCGCAACGGCGGCGGAGGTGGCGGTGACGGTCCGCCATGTTTTCTCCTGTCGTTGTAAAATTATCTCTTCCGACGCGGACAGGAAGGTCCTCACGACGTCGTCGCGGCGACGCTGTCGCGAAGGCGGCTCACCAGAGGTGCGACATCGCGTTCTCTCGGTTTCCGCGAGTCTCTCCTTCTACTCCACGCGCACCTCCTTCTCTTCCTCCTCCTCCGCCGCCGCCTTCTCTTCTTCTTTTCTAATCTCGCGACGATGCGCTCAGATCTACGGGCCGATGTAGCCGTCGCCGGGGGATTCGATCGCGTTGCGCCTCAGGAACGAGGAAAAACAGCGGCATCGTCCGAGCTCGTCGTGCACACTGCACATTCGCGTGACGTTCAGCACTGGAACGACGTCGTCGTCGTTGTCGTCGTCATCGTCATCGTCGTCGTCATCGTCGTTGTCGTCGTCGTCGTTTCACGGCGCGATATCACAATTCGCCAAACGGGACACGCGAAGAGACAACAAGCTACGCGGAATTTTGCGCGCGCATACACGTGAACGGTCACTTTACGCTCTTTCCTCCGCCGGATATGTGTATCTGCATTTTTTTCTTCAAACTCCTGCAAAGGTACAGGAAGAAGCACGTGGCCCTCTCTCATTAGCTCACGTGCACAATGCGAGTACGAGCACTTCCGTTTCCGAGCCCGGCATCTCAAAAATCCGACCCGAGACGCACGGATTTACGAAGCAGGCACGCGTTTATCGTGAATTCCAGGCCGTATCGCGAGGCGCTGATCGTTCTGATATCATTCGTCGAGAAAAGCCAGTCCGAGCGGCTGATATCGACGAGCGTTCGGTCTGATAACGTCGCTCCTTCCGATCCGCCGCGACCGCGTCTCGCTAACGGTCATCGACGCCATTATTCGGAGCTCGACTTGATGTTTTTTGTTTCTCAGTTGCACTCCGTTGCACTTTTCCCCCTGAATTAAAAATACATTTGTCGCTATTGGCCGGTGGGCGAAGGGAAGGCTCGCAGCGATAAGTGGAAAGAGCATCTAACGGGAACTGATATAAATGTCCGTCGGCCGATAGGACACGTGCGAGACTCGCGAGACGTAGATCGAATTTAATAAAGTGGCTCTCATGGCCGCGAGAAATGCCACTGTGCTTACCACATGGCGCCATCATTAACCCCGCGCCGCTGACGCGCTCGTCACTCTTCGCGATCCCGGTGGCGCCCGCGAGCGTATCTGCGCTCCGCTCGTCCGTTTGTTTGTTCGATCAAACTGAACGTCAGCGGCAGATAAGTTCCGAGGAGGCTGCCTGGAGAGGGGAAATTAGTGTCGTAAGAGCGTTTGAGAAGCGTCTAAGTACATTGAGATACCAGTGACAGGCATATCTGCATATCTGCAATTTGCAACGTGCAGTTTCAGGACGACGCGACCTCCCAGAACGGCACGAACGACTAAGAGGCGTTTGAAGGAAAGTGGAACGTCCTTCGGACGTTCGTGCTGTCTGGGTCGTCGCATGACCCGATGAGTTAGTGTTCTGAAAGTTTCTAATGATACTTCGCGCTTTGAAACGCTCGGGAAGGGAGCATTCCGGACTCCCCAGTGAGAACTCAGGGCAGGTTGTTCCGACTCCTTGGTAAGTTAACTGATAGTTCAATCATATATCCGTCTTCGTTTAAATTGAAGGAAAAACAAAGGTAAGCATGTGATTTAACTGCCAGTTAATTTAGCAAGAAGTTGAAACAATCGACCCCAAGGTAGATTGTTCTAACTCCTTGGTAAGTTGACTGGTAGTTCAATCATATGTCCGTCTTCGTTTAAATTAAAGGAAAAACAAAGATAAGCATGTGATTTAACTGCTAGTTAACTTACCAAGAAGTTGGAACAACCGGCCCCAAAGGCAGGTTGTTCTAACTCCTTGGTAAGTTGACTGGTAGTTCAATCATATGTCCGTTTTCGTTTAAATCAAAGGAAAAACAAAGATAAGCATGTGATTTAACTGCTAGTTAACTTACCAAGAAGTTGGAACAACCGGCCCCAAAGGCAGGTTGTTCTAACTCCTTGGTAAGTTGACTGGTAGTTCAATCATATGTCCGTCTTCGTTTAAATCAAAGGAAAAACAAAGATAAGCATGTGATTTAACTGTCAGTTAACTTAGCAAGAAGTTGGAACAACCGGCCCCGGAAGTGAGAGCCATTCCCGCTTTGCAAACGTATTCCCCGGGATGTTGAACGAGAGATTCGTCTACGAAAGGGCACGCATCGGCACGTCTGACTTCCGTCCCGTCGGTCGTCCCGGCAATTTCCGGTGAAGAAGAGAGGGTAAGAAGAGGAGGAGGGTGGGAGAGGGGGACAACGTGTGGGCGAGATGGACGCGATGGTTCGGCTCGTGAAAACTCGATGGATGTTCGCGGGCTGCACGTGCGCATGCAATATTTCAGGTCGACGCAAAGGAATCGTCATTGGGTGACGCACTCGACACGGTCGATTCGCTCGGTCAACGGTTTCACCATCGTCGATTAGCCTGGGCGACCTTGGTTTCATCGACTCCTCGTCTCTCTCCCCTCGCCGGGATTGCATTTACTGAAGGAAAAGTCTCGAAAAAGCCGCCGCCGGATCGGATGGAAAACGTGCGCGCGCGACGAAGAGAGAGAAGGAGGGAGGGAGAGAGAGAGAGAGAAAGAGACAGAGCGCATCGTTCCTCCGAGGGAAAACGGATGACGGGAAAAGGCGGCCATTTTGCGGAGCTATGGATCCCCGCTATGGATCGCCGCGGCGCGGCGTATCGGCAATCCGTGAACTCTCGCGTGCGAATCTCTTTTCTACGTCTATGTATTTTATTTTGATCGTCGCGCGCAACGCGCTGTCGGCTATTAATAGTCGCGAATGTCGCATGAACTGACGACGTCGGCGAAACCGTCGTGTCTCTACTTCCTCCCTGGACACTTTTGCGTCCCTCTACTACTGGCTCGCGGTGCTACTCTCTTTCACCTTCGATTTTACCTCCCCCTCCACGGCTCCTCCGGATGAGAGAACTCGTTGGACCTTAATTGGGCAGCAAACCTTCGTCCACCTGCGCCGCTATTACCAGTCTCGAGTAGGTTATCTTGCTACTGTACGCGATCGTGGCGATGGCCGCGCGACGATTAATGTCGTGTCATCGGCGACGATCGGCGCCGATCGCTCCAATCGGCCGATTCATCGGGGGAGCTATGCGAGGACCCACTGGTCATACGAGCCACGGTCCCATTCGTCGATCTGTCCATCCGTCTTGTCGATACTCTGTCCTCGGAGTCTCGACGGCGGCACGGAAGATCGTCGCGACGTCGTCGTAGGCGCTCTCTTCCTCTTAGCTCCCTCTGTTCCCCACCTTGTATGCTTTTCCCTATCCCTGTCTTATCGTTCTTTCGCTCGCTCTCTCGCTCCCTCTCTCTCTCTCTCTCTCTCTCTCGCTCTCGCTCCCTCTCTCTCTCTCTTTTTTCTCCCCCTTATCTCCCACACTCCGCTCCAACCCGCTCTCTTACTCTACCCGAGCGCTTCCGTTCTCTCCGGCTACCGTTCAATCGCGAATACCTCGTCGTCAGCGTCAACACTGGCCGACGGAATGGAGAGCGGATCGTAGGAAGACTACGAGGAGGCGAACGAGCGCAGCCCTTCCCTTCCCTTCCCTTCCTCCTCGACCCCTCCTGCTGCGCCTCGCGGTCGACCGACTCAACTGACGGCGACGACGACGGCGACGGCGATGGCGAGGTGGCGCAGGTCGGGCGCCATCTGCAATACCAATTCCGACACCAGGAGGAGAGAGAAGCCTGGCTTTTGCCTTTCCTCTCCGCTCTTCCTTCGAGTATCCTACTACGCTTCTCGGAGCCCGGAGGCTGCAGGAAGAGCGGCTTTCCGGCGACTCGAAGACGATGACGATCACGTCATGATAATGTTCATGATGATGATGATGATGATGATGATGATGATGATGATGATGATGGTTGCTTCGACCACGACCTTCCGTCGCTGGAAACTCAATGATATAACCACTAGGGAAGATATCGGAACGCCCTGTTTTCCGGCCGCCGCTCCTCCATCGCGATTCGCTTGTGTAGTTCTCGAGACGATCGAACAGCCTTCGACGAGAAGCGTGCGAGCGGAAGATCGGTTCCGATCGGAATGAGACTATAGATGGCTCGCATCGCGACCGGAGAGAACCGCTATCGTGTGGCTCGTCAGTTGGCCGGTTTCTGGGAGAGGAGAGACCGACGATTGCTCAAAAAAGCACAGAGCAACACCGTGCGAATTCTCCTTTCTTGCTGAAGCCGTGAATAACGTTATCCTTGATTCCTCCTCTTCACGATCACGTCATCTTGCCTTACCTTATCTAGTTTTCGCATTGAATAAGTGCGATCTCCCTTCCACGAGGCCGCAACTTGTCCTCGTCCTCGTGAGATACCATCTTGAGGTCTGATCGTGTCATTCTGAATATCGTTTACTCTTCGCTCCACCCGAGTCTCTCGTATTTGTCATTTTCTGAAACTTTCCGCGTCGCGCGCTTCGATTTACAAGATCAGCTCTCTTCGCACAGGCCGTCGCTGCTTGTTGTGCTCGTCGGCTCAGGGTCACCTACTTTGCGCTAGTGGAGGTGCACCCGTCGCCGGACGACGGCTCTTGGCTGTTCGTTCGACTGTAACTCGAGGCGAATGGAGCTACGAGGCGCGGAAGCGGCACGCCAACGTGTTTCAGTCTTCAGAAATCTCGTTTCCTCCGTGGAGAAAAGCGTGTCGATATACAGGGTGTCCTGTGGGAGTTCTCGCTCTTATTAGAGCGAGAGCCGAGATCGATGTCACGTAGGGCTGGTTGTTCCAACTCCTTGGTAAATTAACTGATAGTTGAATCATATCTCTGTCTTCGTTTAAATTGAAGGGAAAACAAAGATAAGCATATGATTTAACTATCAGTTAACTTGCAACAAGAGGTTGGAACAACCTCTAGACCTGTGAGCGAATGCGAGCTTTAAAAATGCAAAATGCAATGCGGATCATCAAGGATGTAGCGGCTCGTTTGCCTATTGGTCATTCCTCAGACAGCAAAAACTTCCGAGAGTTATCTCGAAGATATGTGTTACGAGAGAACTCGATAAAAAAGTAGGACGTCTCTCTCGCGGGTCTATTCTGGGTCTTTTCTGATTTTTCTTTCGCGAAGTGTCGAACGTACACGGTGATCACAGCGCAGCTGCAGACGTGCAAAGTGGACAAGTTGCGTGAAAATCGCGTGGGCGACCGAGAGAATGAGAGGAACAGAGGGTATTAATGTGAATCATCTCACCCAGTTGTCAATTATTTCTGCTTTCTTCTCTCCTTTAACGCGCTGCTGCGAGCGCGAGCGCACAGACTCGTCGAGATAGAGGCGATCTTTATGGATGCAGAGTATCACGCGCGATTACCACAATAACAACTTTGACGCGTGCGTATAAAATAGTGAAGACGTTATGCAATGTACGCGCGATGTCCGTACTTCTTACCTATCGAGAAACGCGTATGCATCGCGCGCTGCCATCAAGAGGAACGCTCGAGGAAATTCGAGGAGATGGCGGCGCAAAAAAAGACGGCGCGGTGTCGAGCGATAAGTTATGTTAAATACACGTATGGTATTTCAACCACTGAATCGCACAAAAACTGAATCGCTAAATCAAAAACATCAACAATTTCGTAATAGACTGGCGATAACGGCGATAAAACTGTCACGAGACAAAAAAATGCGAAGGCAGTCCCGTGGAATATCAGCGTGCTGCGTTTCTTGTTGATCTTTATCTTCAACAACGATCCCGGGGAAGCGTAAATTAACGAAAATGTATCGGCGAACGAACGTTCAGCCTGATCTACACGAGTCAGAACGAAATTAACGTTGAATAGGATCGTGTTGTTAAAAAAATCCATGTCTGGAACGACTGTTCCCTGCATTCACATTTGCAAAATAAATCTCTCTATGGATTACGTAACGTAACACGTGAAGCGACGAGAGACAATTTTCTAAATGACAGAAGTCGGAAATAATAATAATAATAATAATAATAAATGGTTACACATAAAAATACAAGCCCCTGCTTTTCTTAATTCTGAATTCTTTCTACCTTTTTATAACGTCACTCTGCTTCCCTCCACTTCCATTTAAATTTCAAGCTTATGCTTCACTTTAAATGCAGATGAAGTAACATAAAACGCAACTAAAATTAATAAATCATTCATTACGTTTGTAGATAAAATCAAGCGAATGGAATATATCGATAGCCGATAAAGTAGCCCATTGACAACATCGGAGGACGTTAATGTGAATTTATCATCCGATGTTACATATGGATAGGTGTATTCTGTATACATATATAGTTAATTAATGTGATATGTAGACTCGCATACATTAGGTTACATAAGATCGTAATACATATGTAGGATCAGGAAAAATATACGACACATGAATAATTTCAAAGGATACCTCGAGAAAGTCGACGAGTTCACAGAGGCCATTGCGTTAATCAATGCAAATTTTTCGTTATAAACATCTTCATTAAAGACTGAATTCATTATTAAGAAATACACTGATTTCTTTCTTACATTAAAAAAAGAAAAAATATATATATAATTCTCTATACAATTAGCATAATTACTCGTATAATTATTCTTGCAAATCGTATTCTTTCTACGTTTCATCCTGAAGTACATTTTCTTAGACTTGAATAGCAGTATATTGACTTCGATATAGAACAAATGGCGGTAATCGCTATCGCGTAACAAATCTTGCTGATAATGCAAGTAACGATCATTTATGACTTGAGAAAGCATACAACAGTACAAAAAATCGCTGACAAGTCACGCTGTTTGCACCAACTTCGCGAAACTTCGATGAAAATTTCTATCTCGATGTCGTAACATTCCGTAAGTGTCCTTCGCTCATAATGATAACCACATGCGCGAAATTAAGCAACCGCAAAAGCAAGCTGATAAACGAAATATTCGACCACGCGTTTGATATCCGTAGCGTCACGAGTGAGATAATGTTATTTGCTGGATACGAAAAAATACGATATACTAAGGCCACTCACAGGCTGTTATTCGTTGTCAGCATTGACGTTAATCCACGATTAACGCGATAAACAGAAATGATGTCAAGTATTAACAGCGAATAACAGAACATGGTTTGATAGAAGATTTGCAAGAAGTTCCATTTCACAGTCGCTTCGCTCTTGCAACATACGAGCGATTCTAATTATCTATATTAATGCGTGAAGCGTTTCGTGAGTACAAAACATTTATTGCAAAATGTACAACATCGTACAATCCTTTATTCGATATAATAAAGTGATAATAAATTTCTCTGTGTAATATAATTATATTATTTTATTCGCTTATATATTATTATATTCGCTTATATATATATACATATATCTTTTTTTTTATATACGTCGACGACGTATATAAATGCTGAGAAATGATCTTTAAAAAATGCCAAGTTTGTGTCGCTGTGTCGATTTACACTCGAGCTGCGCAAGAACCGGCATGACTCTCGGCATGGAAATTACAAAGCACAATGGGCGAGTTTCATTTGCATCGATAATCATTTCGCCGACAACCCGATCGTTCTATATTTCATTATCTTGGGTGTTTACGCCGTTGGTATCGATTTACATCGTCGTCGAAATGCGAGTGGAAATGCAGCTGCTAAATCGACCGACATTTCGAATGTAAATCGAGCGCGACGATGATAACGTAAAGCATAAAACCAACAAATGTTATGCATGCACGCTTGCATAATTGCAATAAACTATCTAAATTATCATAACATTCACCGATATCTCTGTCCTTTTCCCCTATAAGCCCCTTAATTTATAGTTTCTTATTTTCTCGCTGTTTCTATAAACGTGGACTTGGCTAACAAGTTCATGCTTTGCTCTTCACGTCGATGCGCTTCTTCAAGTTATCAGCGAGTTTGTCCATGAATTCGAATGTCTCCAAATAGTCCGACCTGATGACATTGTTCATGCCTTTGATACATATGGCGAGATCTTTGGTCATGAAGCCGGACTCGATGGTGTCCACGCAGACCTTTTCCAGCGTCTCAGCAAAGTGCTTCAGGCTGGGGTTGTTGTCGAGTTTGGCGCGATGCAGCAAACCTTGCGTCCACGCAAAGATCGAGGCGATCGGATTGGTGGATGTCTCTTTACCCTGCTGATACTGACGATAATGCCTGGTGACGGTGCCATGAGCGGCCTCAGCTTCCACCGTGCGGCCGTCTGGGCATATGAGCACCGAGGTCATGAGACCCAGAGAGCCGTAGCCCTGCGCCACTGAGTCTGACTGTACGTCACCGTCGTAGTTCTTGCACGACCATACGAAGCCGCCATTCGACTTCATCGCGTACGCCACCATGTCGTCGATCAGCCGATGCTCGTACCACACTTTGCGCGCCTCAAACTGCGACTTGTATTCCTTGTCGTAGATCTCTTGGAAGATGTCCTTGAAGCGGCCATCGTATTTCTTCAGAATCGTATTCTTCGTCGACAAGTAAAGCGGGTAGTTACGCGAGAGCGCGTACTTGAACGAGCTATGAGCGAACGCGCGAATGCTCTCGTCGGTGTTATATTGAGCCTGGGCGATACCTGGGCCCTTGAAGTCATGAACCGTATGCTGAATTTTCTCGCCAGACGCGCCGGTCCAAGTAATCTCCAGCTTGCCAGGACCTGGCACGATAAAATCCGTAGCCTTATATTGATCAGCATGAGCATGTCTGCCAATGATGATGGGCTCGTTCCAACAGGTCACCAGACGCGGAATGTTCTTGCAGATGATCGCTTCACGGAACACTGTACCACCCAGAATATTACGGATGGTACCGTTAGGGCTCTTCCACATTTGTTTCAACTTGAATTCCTCCACGCGCTTCTCGTCGGGCGTGATGGTAGCGCACTTGATGCCGACGTTGTAGCGTTTGATCGCTTCCGCGCACTCTACAGTCACCTTGTCGTCCGTAGCATCGCGATTCTCTATGCCTAAGTCGTAAGTATGCAGTTCTATGTCTAAGTAAGGCAAAATGAGCTTCTGCTTGATTGCGTCCCATATGATGCGGGTCATTTCATCTCCAAGGATGTCAACAACCGGTCCTGCCTGAAAGAGTTACATAAGAACATTTAGAAAGTCTTTGGGTTTTAAAAGGCAATTTTTTTTATTTTACTTCTATCCTAGGGGCAAAATTATTCAAGATAGTTTTTTCAAGAATCCTTTTTCAATTCAAATTCTATTAACAAACACAATGAAAATCTTTAGAAGATACATTCATACAACAAATATGTTCCTTTCCTACCTGAAGAAACTTAAGAGTTCCTATGCCTGAGACATTGGAATTTGACCCTACTACAACTGACTTTCATTTTTATATCCAACATATATAGTATGCCATTTCATGACAAAAAAATTAAAACCAATTAAAATCAGTGTCACCTCGACATCAGATTTCAATACTATAATTAAACCATGGAAGTGATTTATAGTATTGTATAATATTTGCGATTTGCAATAAAATATACCTTTTCATATCTGTAGGAGTGTGAAAATTAACTTTACCAGGGTATTACCCATTCTTGATTGACACGTTATTTTTCAGATAACAGCAACTCACCTTTATCTTCGCCATTGTCGCAAATGAGGCACCGAGGGTCTTCGCAAGTGATTCTATCAATGGATGCCGAGGATGGAACTGTTGCGCGAGCGACGATGATCGTGATGACGTGATACCGTTACTCGTCGACTGCAACGAGCGCGCGTTCCTTATCAAATGTGCGCACGGTCGTAATACACGGTGGGGCGTAAACATGGCAGCCTTAAATATATATATATATAGTATCACCCACCTTACATTCCGTCACAACTCATTGATGGTTTGTCTAGCTGCACTATGTTATTTTTTTGCACCTGAAAGGGAATGGATGCATATTAGGGCGTTGGAAAGGGCAAGGAATGCTATAGTTGCTATAGTTGCTATAGTTCCAATATTCACCACCAATACTGGATCTAGAGTATACGTGACATGAACTATAGATTTTAGTACTGGCAGTGGATAGTGCGGAACGCAACTGAAGAAAAAGGACGAAAGGGGACTGAAAGAGAAAGAATATCGGAGGTGCAGGAAGTGCAGCTGCAAAGAACGTATTTACTATATTCTCTTACCATTCTTCCGAGTTCTTTACCGATCCTCTTATCTTACTCTTACCACTCGACGCGCGTGTCAATTTGCCTGTCGATCGCTATAATAGCAATTGTACTGTTCGTTGTTGAGATATATACATGTATACATATATATATATATATATAATTTTTTATTCCACATCCATACATACATATCCACGCAACACATCAATGTGACGTTGTGTCGTAGCTTCGAATGAATTCAATCGAAAGATTTCAACTTGCGTAATCGACTTGCGTTATCTCGGAGATGGAGTCTCACGTTATCTTGTACAGTGCAGAGCGTTAATTGAGTCCTTTTCAAGTGCAGAAAGGTGTAAATGAGCATATCTCTAGATGATCTCTAGATGTGTCATCTCTAGATTACCGACGTGTGTCTTTCCGGGGGCCATCATTTCGAGGCCGAACATATGTTTTTAACTGCCGTGATTACTTCCGGTAATTACGGCGGTAATACGACACGCATGCATGATTATGGTATTAATTGCGTAAAAGTGGCCGGTCTTACCGCTCATGTATCATTCGCATGTATTATATCACAAGTATAAATAAATACGACCGATGCTGAAAGTTTAGCCGTAATATTAGCACGTGCGAATAATACAGTGGAATACCCGAAGATGTCGCACTCATCTACACTGGCTTGCACTCAAAAAGAACTCAATTAACGCGCGTTCGTATACAGTTCGTTAGAACTTTGATCGATGTGCTGCGATATTATCGGAATTTAGACGAAGATAAGGGGAAAATTGTTTGCGCCAAAATTGATCGTGATATTGAGCGATCTTCAAGAGATGCATGTTTATAATTTTAATTCGAAATTTTTATGATTATGAATAAAAATATAAATAAACATACTTACGCAATTATGAAGTTTATAATTCATTAGTTTTCGTATCAGAATTTGAATCTTGTCAGAATATGTGGAATTGAAGCCATATATCTTTTCAAGTTGCCACACCACTATTCTGCAATGTTTTCACACTTAAATAAACATTGGTTAAGTGACTTGTTGTTTTTCAAGGTCAGATCATGACTTCAATAGATGATAAGTTTATACAATACATTATAAATAGTTTCTAACAAAGATATTATTTTGATTGACTCATTTTATAAGACGAACTCTAAATCTTACTGAACAAATGAAGTGATGAAATAATGAATCTTCTTATTGGACATAAATTTATGGCTGCACTCAACAGAAGCCAACACTTAATAATTATTATTTGAATAATAAACGGAGTATATGTTTAAATTATTGGTAAATTCAGAAAAATATAATAATCAGAGGCGATAATTATTAAGCTACGATGATAATAAGTAACCTTATATTTATAATGTGAAACATATAGGTCAATTAACCATTTTACTTCAAGGATAAAGATAGAAGACAAATAGTATGTTCTTCTTCAAAAGACTTCCTGAACTGGTGCACGTTGATGCAACAAATTAAAATGAAACAGAATATATATGACAACTAACCACACGTGTGATGCAGGAAAATTTACGATTTTCTTATTCCTCACTCGAAATTAGCTCAATTCCTCTACACACGCCAGATAAACAACAATAGAATGGAAATCCTGAGCTTCAAATCGCGCGCGTGAAGGTAGTTATTTCCAGTTGTTTGTTGATTGGTGTCGCTGGAAGACCAATTTGAGATTTGAACGTAGCGAAGCAAACTTTATTCGCTGATTGGTGTATGTTATGGCTTCTACACACAGACGCGGCAGCGTGGCAACGCGTCAACGCGTTGACCAATCACAGTCTTTCTTTTACAGTTATATAACTCATATCTCTGGAAAAGGAAGACTGTGATTGGTCAACGCGTTGCCGCGTTGCCGCGTCCTGTGTGTAGAAGCCATTAACCTCGTGTCGAAGCCGTATATACAAACAAAACGTCTAACCAAACGAACTTGAAGGGCGATCAACTTTTGAGGAACGAGGAAAGAGTGACGCCTTTACATTAAAAAAGAAAGAAAAGCTGAGACATTCGGTAGTAAATATCACCTCGATTTTCACAGGATTTTTCACAAGTTTCACACGACAGAACTTTCCGGCAAACGGGAACACTGGCGGACTCTGCTGGTGATTGTTATCAAACGCCGTCGCCATATTCGATTTGAATTTTAACAGCCGCAAGGCGGTCACTCATAATGAGTCGAACCGCGGTCTTCCACTACGCCCTCTGTGCCCGTGAAATTACAGCAAGCGTGGCTAATCAAAGCACGAAAAGGTAAGCCGCGAGGTGCTGTTTATTTTTGGGTTTTTCACCGAGCCACCGGGCCCCGCGTCGGCAATTCGCACGAGCGATGCGCTTCCTAGCCGCGTCGGACTGTACGTCGTGCTCGCAAAACAGCTGACGAAGCAGCGATGACCACGGAAACGTAGGTGTGAACGCGCCGGAACGGGCCGTAACTTGTCGGGCATCTTGCCTAGTAAAACGAGCTCCATTCGAGCACACCCCCGCGCTACCCCAGTCAGGCGACCGTTGCTCCTACCCCTTCGTTTCTCTCCCCCCTCTCCTCACCTCGATCTTCTCTTGCTGCGGAATTCGTGCTCTAACTCTAACCAACCAAGCAACCAACTAACCAAGCAAGCAAGCAACCAACCAACCAACCAACCAACCAACCAACCAACCAATCAACCAACCAACCAACCAACCAACTGCTCATTCCGTTCGACGTGTGAGCGTTGAGTTCGTGTCGACGACACGTTTTTCCCGTACGTTGCTACTTTATATGAGCGAGAGAGCACGCGAAACTTTCGCCACGGCAGTATCGCACCTACACTCGCCGACGCCTAGCTCTCATCCGCTGCTAATTTAGCGTGGCCACAGTACTAACGGGATTCCTCTCGTGGTTTCTTCTGCCGCAGAAAGATGAGCAGCTCCGAGGAGGTATCCTGGATTTCGTGGTTCTGCGGTCTGCGTGGGAATGAGTTCTTTTGCGAGGTGAGTGCAGTCAGGATATATTACTAGCCTATTCGCGTTACTCTGGTGATACGTTTTTCAAGCATTCGTATATACTATATATATATATATATATATATATATATATATATATATATATATATATATATATATCTGTACACTCAAAGTTCAGAGAAACATTTAACGTATTAGAACGCTGGGAACGATGGGTATTCAGAGTAGATAATACATCTCATATCTCATACGGAAGTACGTGCTGTTTCCTAACCTCGAGAAGAACATTCTTGATTATTTGCTAATCTGTGTTTTTGTGCAGTATTGACTGTCTTAATTATGTGAATCTTTTTCTATGCATCGAGAAATGTTAAACAAGTACACTTCCGTCGAAATTTATAATGAAATCTTCGCTTCAAGCATTTATGAAATTGAAATGACATTAAAGCAATGAGATAAGAATAACAATTAAGGAAAATTTGTCTCTGTATGTGATATTGTGACATATGTATTTCTTTCTTCTGAAGTGGAAAACTACTTGTTTTTCACCTAATAAGATGCTCTGGAATTTTCAAATTTCTTAACTTGATTCCTATCTTATTTTGTAGCGCAACATAATTAATAACAGTTATGTTTTATGTTATGTTTGATAAATATTTACGATCTTGTTATCATTGTTTGAATATATGAACATTGTTAATTTGTTTGCTGTTATATATCCAGGTGGACGAGGATTATATTCAAGACAAGTTTAATTTAACAGGATTAAATGAACAAGTACCACATTACCGTCAAGCATTAGACATGATTCTTGATCTTGAGCCAGGTAAGTAGCCTCCAATGGCAATAAAGATCTAATTATTATTAAGTATATTGCTTGTAAAATCTTTTGGATTATTCTTTCTAAGATAGGAAATTATTTAAACTGATCTTTCACCTTTGTTTACTAGATGATGATCTGGATGACAATCCAAATCAGTCTGACCTGATTGAACAAGCTGCAGAAATGCTGTATGGTCTTATTCACGCGCGCTATATACTTACTAATCGTGGCATCGCTCAGATGATTGAGAAATATCAAGCGGGTGATTTTGGTCATTGCCCACGTGTTTACTGTGAATCCCAACCAATGTTGCCGCTAGGTCTTAGTGATGTTCCTGGAGAGGCAATGGTTAAAAGCTACTGTCCCAAATGCATGGATGTTTACACACCGAAAAGCTCAAGACATCATCATACCGATGGAGCATATTTTGGGACAGGATTTCCACACATGTTATTCATGGTTCATCCTGAATATAGACCGAAACGTGCACAAAATCAATTTATACCCAGGCAAGTATTGGGTGTTTCACGTCGATCAAAACGTAAGAGGTATTAAGATAAGGGAGCCAGAAGGCAATGGAGGATAAAATACAACAATCACTCACCAAGAAAATTAAGCTGAATTCTGCAATATTTTTATTTACACACGACTTGATTTTGGAGATTTCTAGGTGTTATCTAATTAAAATTGAATAAGAAATTTTATGACACAATTCACTGCATTTAGCATGACGATACATACATTGAGTGATGTTGAATCTTAGGTAACATTTAATAAAAGATTCATCCAAATATAAGCATGATAAAAACATCTTCCTTCGAGTGACTACTTTTAAATATAAAGCACAAAGAGATATCCTACATAACTGTAAAACTTGGTTGGTTTAAGTTACTTTTGCACATATATCTAAATTATGGAAATGAAATTAAAAGACGAATTTTCATTTTCAGATTATACGGTTTTAAAATTCATCCTCTAGCATATCAAATCCAACAGCAGTCTGCGTCTACGTTTAAAGCACCTTTACGAGCTCTCAACTACAATAATGGGAAACGTTAAGGACACTTTGGCATAGCTTAGAATACTTCCTTCTATACACATATTGCAATTCCTAATTTCGTCCTTAAGACTAAAAATAAAATATTATTTTTTATATCTCTGTTTCTCTCTTTCTTTCTCTCTCTTTATCTCTAACTCTTTTCTCTTCAACACGCCTTCGAGCAAAAATGTCACTCTTTTCGTCGTGGCTCTCTCTATTCGTTCGTAATCTAACCGTTTTGCAATTGTAACTTCTGAACTTCAGATTGTACAAAATATTAATAAAAGGAGAGGGAGAGAGAGAAAGAGAGAGAGAAAAGAGGAGGAGGAGTGAATTATTGTGTTAATTCAAATTATAACAATCTTTGTTCTCATTTGAGATCCGACATGTTTATATCAAGACTTCGTATTTTATTCATCATGAGATAAAAGAGAAAGGAGGATATGAGAATACGCTTAGGATAATTCCTAGATCATAAGTGAGGAAAAGAAGACGATATTATAAATAGGACACGCAGCTGTTTTGTACGAGTCGCTCGCGTCACCGTTAATCGCTGCCAAGTAGTTCCTAAATGTGCAGAAGCGAATATTGTGAGCAAATCGAGGAGCTAGTAGCGCCGGTTTTACACCGATTTTTTTCAAGACGACAAATGATGTATAGAGAGGTGGATAACACTGTTAAGAATTATAATTTAATTTAATCATCGAGTAATTCACGCGCGAACTGTGACAGAAGCGATTTGTTAATATACAATTGTAGACAGTGCGTATGTAATTTACTTGTACGAAACTACTGATTTTAAGAAACACGGTATAATTTTCAAAAATGAAGATAACGGTGTTTCCTGGTGAAACAAAAAGAAGGAGGAAAAAGCATTTTGGTTTGTACCACGGTTTTTGAGATATTTAAGGGCGGTGATATTGAAGAAATCATGTAAACGGAAATTTCCTGTGTATATTATTTCCAGTAACGGAGGGAAAGTTGTGGCAAATTTTCCTGTTTTCTTACATATTCAATATAACTGCTCTTGCGATACCGAATTGTCTAATTAATTACATTTGGAATTCCAAAATTTGGATGAATTCATATTAAAAAAAAAATCTTGTTATTTTATAATATGTCTAATTTAGATGTGTTATTATCAATACCAGCAATTGAAACCTGTTTAAGGTGAACTTATATAAATATGTAATTTAATAATTTAATTAGTTTATATATTCGAGTATATATAAGTTCAATAAATGCATTTAATAATTGATAAATTAATGACTCCGTCTGTTTTGTGTGTTTATGTTTTTAATTTATAAATATTAATTTTTTAGAGAAGACAGAGGTGATAGATTAATATTATTTGACATTGTCGATTATTATTGATATTAAAAAATATACATATGAAGTATTTTTATATACCGTTGAGGTCTAATTTACACTGATCGTTTAATACATGTATTAACTAATGACTCCATATTAAATTATTTTAATTTTGGCAATGTGTGTAAATGCTGGTGTATTTAATTGGTACGATATATTTTTTTATGCATATTGTATCAATTTAGTACATCGTTGTTTGTATGCTTATACTGTCAATATTTAATTTGATTTAATAGGAAATTATTACTTAGTATGTATATTAAACAGTTAGTGTAAGTGTAGTAAAATAGATCTTCCAAATAAACTTGAAGATCACATACGTTTATCTTTGTATAGATTTGATTAAGTTAACAATTTACAATATTAACTAGCCGTCTGTTATCAGACCTTGTTTAAAGAAAACCTGAGTTGCTGAAATTTATAAAGAAAATAGTTTCATGTAAACTATTATAAATCGCGAACAATTTTATATTCAAATATCCCGCTAATATGACATCAAGATGTTCTCTTGTCATTGCGCGCCGTGCTACGGCAACTTGAAGAACTGTTTTTAATTTCCGACCAATGAACGTTACGCTTATGAATTCAAACGACGTGACGTAACACAAAAACCGGTAGACCCGTGAACACATTCAAGTTCAAAAGTGCACAAAAGTGGGCATAAAGCGTCGAGTCGGTGGTTGAAGTGACTGTCATAAATATATGAATATATAAATAAACATCTTTACACGCCACACACACGCTACTCATGGACGGGTTCGTGATGCTCGTATATAGTGTAACATTCGTGGCTGGCCGATAAATTATTGAACGGGATATTAACACGGACCACTTGGTTTGACAAATGTGCGATTGAGGATGTCGCCTTGATGGTGGTGAAGGTGTACTTTTAAATCATTTTTATAGTTCATCGTGTGCTCGGAAGCGGCGAGACTGAAATAGACTGTGTCGATGAACGTCTAGTGCAATTTCAACTACCTTCTTTCGAATATTTCTTTAGCTGAATGTTTACCTTTGAAAATCCTCAATCGATTGAAGATCCATTTGGGTAGCCTGTACAGAAAAAGCAAGGGAAAGAGAAAGAGAGAGAGAGAGAGAGAGAGAGACAGAACCACAAGTGATCTGTGAGAAATCACATCTTCTATTCTATGTGTTGCAGCTTCCTGGATGATAAACACAGATTCCTTGTTTGTGTAATATTCTTGTGTCAAGCATCAGGTTTTGTATTTATGGAACTTCTCAATATAGTCCAGTGCTGCAACTAGTTACATAAAAAGTTACAGAAAGTTTGTGTATAAGTTTGTTGGAAAAAGTTTCATTAATTCTTTCAAATATCACACAACATAGTAGAACATAAAGTTTATATTAATTTTTGTCTGTAGCTTTTAAATATGCATACTGTATCTATATAATTGTAAATGGATAATTGGAATATTTTATATTAACTTTTATAAATATAACTTATATTACTTATATTTATATAAATATATTTATATAAATATACTTATATTTATATAAATAACTTATATAAATTTATGTTGATCAGATGGAGATGATGTCAGATCCTACAGCAAGATCTGTGGGCAATAAGTCCATTTCTGATAGTATAGACCAACAGAGCGTTACACGGCCAAAGTTTCAGCCGATACGTCTCAAGGCACTTGAACATTTTTGTGAAAGTGATGATGATGATGATGATGATGATGATGATGATGATGATGATGATGATGATAACAACAGTAAAAGGGAACCTCAGGAGTCTGAAGACGAATCGGATGATGATCCACAGCCATTGCCACAAAATGAATCTATTGAAAATGTACAACAATCTCTATCTGAAGAAGTTAACTCTTTGAACATTGATACACAGAATGAAAACAAGTTTTCTATGCACATCTCAGAAGAAAGCCACAAAGTTGCATGTAATATTTCCCACATTGTAGATGAGTTAAGCTGTACAATAAGTAACAAAGAGGAAGATAAAGTTAGCAATGTAAATGTTGAAAACTGTCTTTCGCTTGAAAGATTAAATAAGTTAGAGATTTACACAAGTAAGAATGAAGAGGAAACACAAGGCTGTAATGATGATAAAGCTGTTTCAAAGAACCACCAAGATGACTCTATTCATGAATGTCCAACAAATGTAGCTTTACCTTCTTCATCACTACTATTCTACAAAGGGGATTACAACACAAAGGCCGATGCGAATAGAAGTCTGCAGTCAACAGACAATGGTTATCAGTTGCTTCACGAAAATGCTCACATGTCGAATCTATTAAGCAGAAGGAAAGAAGAGCACATGTACAACATGTTACCAGAGAACAAAAGGCTGTTAGGGACCAGCGATAGTTTTTTATTAAACTTAAACAAAGAAGACAAATGGCACAAAGGTATGCAGAACTTGGCAAGTATTGAGCAGTGCAGTAAGAATCGTGAGGAGGAGTATCATCGCATAATCTCGAATGTTGAACCGGAATCCGTCAGCATGTCGCAGAACACATCTGCGAATTCGACTCATTCTACCGCCAAGTACAGTTCGCAATACAACGTTGCGAAATACGAAGGGAACGAGAAATATGCAGCCTCGGAGAGTAAGCGTGTCGACTTCAGTACGCCATCGTTGAATGACATGGGCAAAACATTTTCCTCCTCGAATCGCTTGATCGTGGAGACCCCGATGAAGCACATGCACGGCACAATGCATCCGAATCCATGCACGTCACATAAGCAGTTGTTCCGCACCCCGCAGAACAAGCTGTCCAGCGATCTCAGCAAAGGTCACATTCAGACTCCGTCCACAATATTATCCAGCTGGTGTCACAATACGTGTCACAATACGAGACACACGCCGATGGATGGTAAAAGCCATTCAACGAAGGACTGTTTGCAAACATCGAAGAATACAGTTTATGCGCCGGTCATAGGGAGAGGAGAATCGTCCAGGTTATAGCCTTTGTTTTTTCTTCGATATTGCTTACAGTTCGATTGAAGTTATTAACAGGATTGGGAAATTATTAGTTAATTAGTTAAAAGTCGAGTTAAAATGTTAACTTTTAACAAACTAATTATTTCCAAATGCATTAATGTTGATTTTTTAACTTTTTTATATAAGTTAAAATAGTTCATTAATATTAAAATCATTGCAGACTATATACAAGATAGAAAAAGGAAAATCGAAAATAATATCAGCAGAATATTTTTTTTTTCAATAGTGTTCTTTTTTTAGAATGAAATCCTGAGTATAAAACAGTCAATATTTTCTATAAGATTATTCTATAAGTAAAAGATTTAATTATCTCACATAAGTTCAACATATAATTAAAAAGTGAATTATGTAAAAAAAAAGTGAATTATGTAAAAAGAAAAACAAATATTGCTTTGATAAATAGATTTTAACTTTAAGAAGCTGATTTAATTTTAACTTTTAATTGAGTTAGTTTTTAGTTGAGTTTTCGTTTAAGTCATTTTTAATTTAATTAAGTTCTTAATGTTAAACTAAAGTAAAAAAAATATGTATTAATTTATCGAATTCTGATTATCAGCTTGTTCTTTGTTTTCATAAATATAATATATTTCGAAAGTTTGATATAATCTTTATAATCCAATTAAAATGATGAAACTGAATTGCATTTTGTTACAGATGCTTCGGACCAGACATGAAAAGTGCAAGGCGACCTTTAACAGACGCCAAACTGACGCACAGCGATTCCTCGACGTATCCTCTGGAAGTGAGGCCGCTCATATTACAGAAACTTTCTGAGACCAAGCGCGTTACATCTGAAGTACAACAAGATGATAGAAGCAAGAAGACGGTAGGACTGTCGGAAGTGAAGTTAACGCAGAGAGAAGTGAATTATGATAAAGGTAAGTAATACAACACATGAAATTGTGTCACATACTCATTCATTGGTCTCGGTCCAATGAAATCGTCTGCTGCGTTCAGATTTAAAGTCGACCAACCTCGTCGAGGAAACGAAGGAAAACAAACAGCCCAATTTACCGGAAGCTCTGCTGGGAAACGATAGGAAAATCATGCAAGAAAGCAACCAAGTGATCATCGGTTCTAGCATGGGCTTGAAAGTGGTGCAAGAACCTGCATGTAAGTACAACATCGAAGACAACGTCGTCCCGAATACAGAGTGCAGAGACTCGCAGGATCATCTAAGGCAGCGCGAGGGATCGCGGCAGATCGTGGACAAAGTAGGGAACGTGCAGTTCTCTGTGCCGTCGAATATTCCACAGCAACGTCAACGTAAGACGCTGTTCGTGAAGGACAGGGAATATTTAATCTTAGGCTCCTTGGGCCAAGGGATGAGCGGCGAGGTGTTGCGGGTGCAGGATTTGTCCTGCGGCGAGTTGCGCGCTATCAAGTGCGTGAACTTGAATAAAATGGATAAGGAGTCTGCACAGGGCTGCTTGGACGAGATCTCCTTGCTGCATAAGTTACAGGCGCCCTGCGTCGTTAGAATGTTCGACTAGTGAGTATAGCTGGAGTTTTAATAAGAATATCCGAGGTGATAGCTTGTCGCGAAAATCAGTCATACATCACTCATACTAATAGTCATCATTACTTTGTATCAACGAATACTGCTGACCAGAACTAAATGAATTCGTTAATTCGTCACTTTAGCCAGATCAGAGAGTCTATGGTTCACGTAGTGATGGAGATGGGTGATACCGATCTCAGTCGGCTCCTGAAATCCATGTCCCAGGAGAAGCAGATTCCTCTCACGATGATTCTGTATTACTGGACCGAAATGCTCACCGCTGTAAAACACATACACAATAACGGTAAATCTACTGTAACATGCACTCCATATTAAACGATCGCGCATGCTTGTTCTTCAGCAAATGCATATAATACATGTGTTCTTTGCGCTTAGGAGTCATACATTCGGACTTGAAACCAGCGAATTTCTTATTGGTACGAGGTCGACTCAAGCTGATAGATTTCGGTATTGCCTCTAATATAAATTCGGACATGACGTCCGTCTTGAAGAATAATCCAATCGGCACATTAAATTACATTAGCCCGGAAGCCCTGATGGACATTGGCGGGAGCGCGGACTCGCCCACTCAAAACGTTAAGTACAAGGTGAGACGAGAGTAAGGCGACCGCAACGTTAACTCGATCAATAAATAAATACTTTGATTTCTGTGAATGTTAATTAGAGAAATATTTTGAGTGTGTGACTATAAATTCGAAAGTTGTTGGAGAAAATTGTTCTGGAAAATTAACAAGTCAAAGGATGGATAGAGGATTCATAGGTTTAGCAGCAAGTAGGGAAATAACGAGTCTTCTGTTTTTTCCCTCAACAGATAAGCTTCAAGTCGGACGTTTGGTCATTGGGATGCATCTTGTACAGTCTGGTGTACGGTCATACACCTTTCCACCATATACGTTCCCAATGGGCAAAAGTGAACGCCATAACCAACCCGAAGCCAAACATCTCGTTCCCGGCTGCGACGTTCTCGAACGAGTTCCAGGATTGTGAGCGCGCACCGCCCGTCTTGATCGACGTCATGCGAAAGTGTCTTCAGCATGACCCGAAGGCGAGACCTACGGTGTCGCAATTGTTGCAGGTGCAATACGTACCCACCAAGCAGAATGTCGCAGCGATGGTGCCCGACATCCCGGCGAATATCCTCATAAAAATAAGACATACTCTGAACGAGGAAGAGTGGCGGCACTTGATTCAGGTGGGTGCTTTTTGATTATCAATTCAAAGACTATTTAAAAAAAGTATGGAGAGAGAGAGAGAGAGAGAGAGAGAGAGAGAGAGAGAGAGAGAGAGAGAGAGAGAGAGAGAGAGAGAGAGAGAGAGAGAGAAATTCGCGACTTCAGCAGAGTGAGGATTTAAAACCGAATATATGAGAAACTATGTAAAAGATTATAAAGAAAAAATGAGATACCTCTAATATTTATAAATGAAGAGAAAACGACTTTCATTGTTTGAAACAAAATAGGTCAATATAAGTTAAAATTGAGGTAAAGTTAAATACTAAGCGATCGACCGTTAATTTTTATATTTAATCTTCAAATAATTCTGGTCAGAAAAACGATATTCTGTGTGTGTGTATATAGAATTTAAAGGACTGTTTTTATATGAGATAATACGTTAATTCCATAGTTAAAATATTAAACACAGAGGTCGTTTATCTTTCAATTCTCACTTTCGAGATTCTTCCCACAAGAACTGCATACAGAAACGAGTGAGTGCAGTCGCACGAATGAGTGGAATTTTAATTGTTCACGTCGATTCAACATACAAACCTAATTGAATGAAAATTAATAATCCGTTTTATTATTTCTTTTCTCAGATACTGGACACAAAGCGACATCATACATAATATTATGGAAATAATAACTTATACATTTATACTGGTGTACATAAAAGTATTTGTATATACATACAAGAGACAATTTGCAGCGAGGCGCAAATATATAGAATATTTGATGACACATGTTAAGGAAGCTGATGGTGAAAATAACATAGATATATATATATAGTATAGATATACGCGTGTAGAAAAAGGAAAGAGAGAGAGAGAGAGAGAGAGAGAGAGAGAGAGAGAGAGAGAGAGAGAGAAAAGATAGATAGTATGGTAGATAGATGGTAAAGAAATCTAAGGTCAGAATAGTGTTCATAAATAAAATTGCAATAGAATTATGCTTACCTATGTCGCGCGAACACGAAGCTTCGTGTATATCAATAACAATTGCATTATGAAAGTAAAATTTTATAAGACTATCTATTAAATTAAAATAATTTCTTCTCGATCTTTTTCTTTTTTATTATCTGATATTCGCGCATATAAATACATCTGCTACACTTTTGCGACGGCTAACACTATAACGATAACCGGCGTCTCCAGCGATATTATTTTGCGAAATTCCGTATTCTATAATTCGGACTAAGTTTCCCGTTTCGGCTACCGAGCGCCATTGTTTGTCTCGCCGCTTGGAAGAGTCGATGGATCTCGACTCTTTCACTGCGTCATATACACTGCACGGAACTTCCTCGATTCATCTATCCGAAGACTCAAAATCAACGAATGAACAAGTTTACGTCACATATGGCAGATAGTTTATTTCAAGCTTCGCAAGTCTCGATTAAAAAGCATCAGTGCAAACACGCATATATGTTTCTTCATCGTCATCATTAGGTATAATCGTTGAAAGAAAAAGCTGCGTTCAAAAGACATAACAATTGAATGAACAATCACTGTCATGGCGGAAAGTTTGATATAGCATTCTTAGTTTGTATTTACATCCATATTTGATTGTATGGTTACACTAAAAACGTTTACATCCTAAATTAAAAAAAGAAAAAAAGACGAACACATGAAAACGTTAGGAATTGGTAACAGTGATGAATATCTAGCATTTTGTTTTTACTAATTATCCACACCGACATAAAAATAGATACAGATGTAGACGTGAAAATTCGTATCTGTGTACACTTCTCATGTAGAGAAGGCCAACTGATTACTCGACGATTAATCGACGTTTATGCAATCGAGCTCCGAAGATGCTTTCGTTTCCGATGTCTTCCATTTATGTCGGTACACATAAACTTCATGCGCGATGTCTTTGAAACAGGAAGAAGAAAAGAAGAAACAAAGAAGAGAAAGGACAAATCTTGTCTTCTTACTTCTTCTTCGTCCAAGTCAATGCAATGCGGAAACTTAGCGCCAAGCGCGACAAAGTTTCCCGACCCGGCCAAGCTTCAGCGCGCAGCGAAAGAGTTCAAGATGATTTGAAGGTGTCGGCGTTGCGCATCTACGTGACGCGGAATATCTTAGCCACGTTGCTCCGCATATAACTCAAATAAAATATCAATAAAATAGGCAAGTGCTAGTTGCTTTTTATTGTGTCTAATATTCCATTTGATATTCTGCGCGAGAATGAAGTGGTTAGAATCATGTGCAACCTTTGTTGTCTGAGCACACCTCTGTAAATGCTCAACGCCGAATATGACAGACGTGTGCGCGTTGCCATACGTCCCTCGTCTTGGATATGCAGTATAAAACGCAAGAGTTTTTCTCCTTCGTCCCTCGATCGTGGCGAACGTCGTTGTCCTTTTCCCTCTTTCTCATTGAACTTTTGCCGGTAACAAAGAATTCCTCACTGTCCTGGCGACGTTTTATTGCACTCCCGGCGATCCGGATCAATGCGTACTCGTGAGCTGCCAATATTGCAGCAGCTTCTCACCTTTCGGCAGCGCCATACAATTCGGCCTCTCGAACGTCAGCATGATATCCTTGATCTTGTTTCTCAGCTCGCGATCGAACAAGTGGCCGCCAGTGCGTTCCAACGCCGAAGCCATATCGTACTCGACGGAAGGTAATGGCTCATGAATAAAGCGCGCCGCACTGGCGATGCTGGGCAGGATGTGCCACTGCAGCGCTCGGATCTCCCAGAGACTGCTGAGCATCGCGTTGCTGAGCAACGGGTCGCGCTCCTCCATGAGGAAGGGATCGCCTGCGCCGGTACACGCATCTGAGACGATCTCACCCTCGCCTTGCGGATGGTCGATCAGTCGTTTGAGACCCGGGTGCCGCAGCAGCAGATTGCCCACGAACAGCAGGATTATCAGGATGTCCTCTGGCGGCGCGACCAACGTCAGACGCGCAAGTCGCTTCGCGAACGCCGCCACCAATGACTCCGGAAGATGCCTGGGAAGAAGGACAAGAGTTATATATATATATATTTGCGCAACATCGGTCATTCTTGTACGCAGTCAACAGCACAACGAGCCTACCAGAGGAAGGTACTTACGTCGAGCTGAGAAACAAGTCTGACAAGTAGAACAAACGAGCCTTATACTTCGTGTGGAAAATCTCGGGCTCGAACATCGAGTACAGCTTGGTGAAGATGTTCGGATATTCTAAGTTGTGCTTGGTGACCAATATGAATACACCATGCAGCGCGAGCAAGCCGATAGGCCCGTCTGAGTCCAAGGAGTCCATCAGGAAATCGCATAGCAGCACGGGCTTTTCTAAATGCGGCATCACCCGTTCTAATAAGACTAGCAGTAGCTGTTTATGCAGTTGCGGCGTCAGTTCCCAGTGCATGACGCAGGCCCAGACTTTGTTCAGCGCGCGTCTAACCGTCGACTGATCCCACGTGAATGCGACGCCTAGTCGAAAAGATTTACAACGCTGTTAAAGCAAACGTTAACGACGTCGGAAATATATGCAATTGTAATGTAAAAAGTACCTTGCGGTCCGCACAGAAGTTCTTTATTGTCCGATATTTTGGATTCTGAAATGTTATTCAATTATGCCGTTATATTTTTGTAAAGATCTATAAAACTATGAAAAATATATTCATAGTAATTTATATATAAAATTACAAATTTAAAGTTAATAAAATTGTTAATACTCTTAAAAGTGTAATATTGAGAGAGAGAGAGAGAGGAGAGAGAGAGAGAGAGAGAGAGAGAGAGAGAAAGAGAGAGAGAATGAAACAAACCAAAAAGTGTCAATTTTTAATTTAAACCTTAAATAAATACTATACCTTCTCCATCCTTTGGCAGTGATATTTTATTTATAAGTTCCAAAAGATTCTTAATATAAATTTCCTGTGGCTGCCTCTTCGGAGTGAGAGAGGGAAGACACCTCCATATATAATACAAAGCATCAGGGTAACTAGTGATTTCTTGGAATCTTGCTATTAAGTTAGTATTGTCTTTCTCAGGTGAAAGCAATGTCATGAGGATGGGTTTCAGACGAAGAAGGGGAAAGTGATAGCCTAGATTGTCACTTGGCTCCAGTGGAGCCTTACCCTCCTCTGCCATCAACTTGATCGCAGTAGTGAGAGCTTGCAGTTGTGTGGTCATCCGGCAGTTTTCCATAGATGTGAGTATCTTTTTCCATACTTCCTCGTAGCAACTCCTCAGCCAGCTGGTATAGCGTGATTCAGGACTGGGTTCTGTTTCAGGTACCATGTTAGTAGAAACTATTCTACCTGTTGTGAAGCTCATACAAAAATTGTCTGCCAAAGATAACGATTTAGACTTACCAGAGATAGCAAGAGTTATCGTAGGCTCTAGATACATGTCACCGCGCCTCAGCACCTCCGTAAATATTGTCTCTATCGTAAGTAGACACTGAATAGTGAATTCCTATAACAGGAAGAAAGCGGAATTATCATGGCTATCATGCGGAATTTCGACGTCAACCAACAAACAGATCCACGTGTCGAGGTGACTTTACTTACGTCCCATTGATCCATTATATCCACCAAATTGTTCGCGTGCTTCCTCGAAGCGAGGAATTCTTGGGCTCGCTGTCGTAGCAGCCTCGACATCGTCCGTTGACTCGTAGAAATGGCGGGTGAATCCGTTGCATCCGCCATCGCCCGTGTTTTTATGAAGACTTTGTTAGTGGCAGCGAATTAGCCGAAAACGACAGGTATACCTATACTATCCTAGAATCGCTACTCTCACAGAGTATCGTGCTCCTTCGACACAACAGCTACTGCAAATGACGCCATGTTCGATTTTGTCGGTTTAGTTAGGTAAGGTTGAGTTACGTTAGGTTAGGTTAAGTTAGGTTAGGGTTGGGTTAGATTACATTAGCATAGAAAAACATAACAGTAAAATTTAAGCGAAACGTCCGATTAAATTATCAAAAATTATTGAAAATGTAACGAGCATGTTGAAACTCTCAATCGTAATTGGCTAATTCTCTTAATATCAAAGCTTTCCCGCCCGAACCTTATTTAACACGGTTATCCTGTTAAAATTTCATTATTTCAAATTTCATTTATAACATAGTATTAAAGGACATATTATAGCCTAATCAACATATTTTTTATAAAATTCTTCACTACATTCTTAGATTGTAAGGTATCTTATTACAGTTCTTTTTAGAAGTTGAATTGTTTTCATTTTCAATGGAAAATATTATATATATAATTAAAGTAAAAAACATCTTTATTTTAACAATAGCTTTATTTATAAACCAATAAAACAAAAAGACTATCATTTACAAAAATAATTAAGGTTTATGTATTAATTGCAACAATATTTCCAGAATCTCCTGTTTTTGCTTTGACACAGCAATTCTCTGTCTTCTTTCTTCAATTTCTAATTCCAGTCTAGCTTCACGTTCTCTTCTCTCCATTCTGAATTTTTCCTCCTCAAGTTGTATTCTCCTTTCTTCCAAATGGAATTGTTTCTCTTGAAATTCTACCTCTTTCTTGTGTCTCTCTTGCAGAAATTGTAATGTTGACTTTCTCAATCCATCACGTCGTGTCTTGTTTCTAATCGGTCCACCAGTTCTAGATGGTGATGTATTTGGCGATCGCAATGGGCTGGCTGAGGTTAATGGGTTCGACGAGGATGACGACGACGATAAGGTTGGTGATGGCAATGCGACTGGTAAAAACGTCGATGATGGAAGCGACGAAGATATGGACATTCCTACTGCTGGTTCTTCTATTATCACCTCCAAATTGTCAAAAATGTTCTCCACTTCAAATGTGACATCCCTTGCTTGTGACGCAGACTTCTGTGCATTAGAGTTGCCACTCTTGCTGGTACGTCTGAACTCCTTTTGCAAATCTTGCACTTGTTGAAGAAGTTGCTCCTTCTCATTGTATTGTTCCTCAGTGCCTGACCTGTGAATCAATGCAGTGTCATATATTTACAATTACTTGAACATTATTCAAATAGCATATAGTCTCACATAAGACATTCAATATACCTTATTTCATCAATTGATAAGCATTTGCACTCACTTCCTCAGGTGTGCGCGGCCTTCTCTAGCCCAAATCTTCAAAAGATGATCGACATGCTCTTTAACGCAGCGTAAACTGAAGTTCTTTTGTGTTGCCTTCACAACTCGCTCCGCGACGATCTTCCACCTGTCGCTCTCCTCGTACGGGTTTTGTCCCGAGACCTCCCGCAGCAGTATCAAGTCATCTAAAATTGTGAAGCGGAGCCGCTCCGGTTTTGCCATTGGGCTTGATGACGCGCACTCTCATACAGATATCTCACGATACATACCACTCGCCGCGCAATAACGTTTACCGTATCGGAAAGCGAGGACGCTCTAACATGTTTCTCGCAATAACATAGCAACATGGCATTATGGAGTAGAGATATCGTCTCACCAAAGTGTACAACATAGCTAACCTCTCTGACAGATGAAATATGGCGGATTCGAAATGACTCGAAGTGCTCTATATATTTAGCAACTCTACATTGACAAGCATTCAATAGTGAAAAGAACGATAAGTGAGACATTTTTGAAAAAAAAGAAGCAATTTTTTCCAAACTGTCGCTCAATTATGTTACTTGAAAATGAAAAGGCCTTTGGTTTTGCCGTTGATTCCTATTTGAAAATAAAAAGTCCTTTTTAATCCATTATTGAGCCGTATAAAGCCAGCGGCTAACGGTGCTTGTTTTTGTGCTGGATTGCTTGCTGAATGAAAATACTGCGTTCTGATTGGTGCATTTCCATCCATTTTCAGAAATATACCAATCAGAACACAGTATTTTCATCCAGCACGAAAACAAGCACCGTGTGCCGCTGGCTTTATTCAAGAAACAAGCTAGTTTGATTTGTCACGTGTACTACAAGTCGATTCTTGGACCGTGTTCCAAAATTCACTGCCAGCGCTGAAAAGTTATAGTTTGCGTGACACAAACTATGACAGCTTTCAGTAAAACAAAGTGATCAGAGAGCGCTTAGTGATTATCGTCTGTAATTGGAGCATTCTTTTAGATTCTTCATAGACCCTGAAGTATTTACCAATCAGGAGTGAGATTCAGTGGAAAATCTAGTAATGTTGTCCAACTGTTGAGTCTGCTGAATGAAGCCTATATGTTTTCAGTACTGGCAGTGAATTTTGAAACACGTCCTTCGTTGGTAATGATGATGATTTGTAGCAGATATTTTCCAATCAGTGCGACTTATATTTTTTAAATAAAAGTACATATTTCAACGACTATCGCGGGTATTTTTAATTCTCAATGACAAATCATACAAATCACAAATCACTTTCTATTTTCAAAGAGCACGATTGAAATTACGTTCCGATATATTCATTACTAGTATTATAAATTTATAATTCATGACGCATACCATTGACGAAGTAATATAAAGACTGACAGCTCTTATAAATTTCATGGGCCTATAAAAATGAAAATCTAAACTAGGCACTTTTTGTGAACTTTTAAAATTGCATTCGTTAATATTTGTCGAGACAAAACACGGTGTAGCACAGTATAATTTAGCGTCTCATAGCTGGAAAACGGTTATAGTAACGATATATTTATACGATATTTTTATATTGTTAGTAATCTGTATCGCGATAGCAATCGCGATACAGATAGAAGAGGTATAGTATGGAGTACATTTCTTCATCATAGTTAAAATATTCGGTATTATCGCTTCATAATTCGGTATCATTGCTTTATAATTACCTCCGGGCCTCTCGGGGCCTCCTTGATCAATACGAAAATTTACCTAGGACTGTCAGTTTTTCACCCATATTTATAGTCAGGCCTTATATTTAAGACGTCCTTAAGTTTATATTCAGTCTGTAGCCAATAAAATAATCCGTGCAGCATCTGAAGATGGATATAAGGAGGTCTCAAATATAAGGCCTGACTATGAATACGGGTATTTATATTACCAGCAAGTCTGTTCTTTTTAGCTGCATTGCTGAACTAATGCAATAAATTAGGATGAGACAACTATATTTTTTCTTAGACTTATTCATAGTCAGGCCTTATATTTAAGACTTCCTTAGTTAAGTTTATCTTCAGACGGTTTGTAGCCAATAAAATAATCCGTATAGCATCTAAAGATGGATATAAAGGCCCATCTACAATGGCTGCAGGAATAAGGTTCTAAGCGTAAGTAGTAAGGGCCCATCTACAATGACTGCAAGAATAAGGTTCTAAGCGTAAGCAGTAAGAAATAGACCAATCACAATCGATTATTATAAGAATAATCGATTATGGTTGGTCCATTTCTTACCGCTTACGCTTACAACCTTATTCTTGCAGCCATTGTAGATGGGCCTTAAGAAATAGACCAACCACAATCGATTATTATAAGAATAATCGATTATGGTTGGTCCATTTTTTAAGGCTTGTCTACAATAGCTATAAGGGTAAGGCTGTAAGGCTGTAACGTAAGCTGTCAGCGAATGAAAATATTTCATTTTGTGTCTTGCAATCTTACAGCCTTACTCTTACAGCTAATGTAGACGAGCCTTTAGACCTGACTATGAGGCTGCGTTCCGATATTCACAGTCAGCACTGAAAATCTATAGTATACGTGACGTAAACTATGTATTTTCAGTACTGGCAGTGAATATCGGAACGCAGCCTGAATACAGTGGTCTGTTCTTTGTAGCTGCACTGGTGCAAAAAGCTAGAATGAAAAAACCTATATTTGTCTCACTTTAACTTATTGCACCAGTTCAACAGTGCAGCTACAAAGAACAGACTACAGGAATTACTCCAATTTATTACACCAGTTCAGCAGTGCAGCTAAAAAGAACAGATCCTCTGATGTTACCTCGCCGGTGCGCATACTATAGATTTTCAGTACTAAAGCCAGCGGCACACGGTGCTTGTTTTCGTGCTGGATTGCTTGCTGGATGAAAATACTGCGTTCTGATTGGTGCATTTCCATCCATCTTCGGAAAAGTACCAATCAGAACGCAGTATTTTCATCCAGCAAGCAACCCAGCACGAAAACAAGCACCGTGTGCCGCTGGCTTAACAGTGAATATTGAAACGTAGTTGGCTGATTAGATGGGCTTTTATTAATTCTTTTAAACCCCACTATGAGCCGCCACTGACGCTATTAACCTCAAAAAGACAGAGCTAGTACTTGTTATTAATTTCTTAATTTGTGAAAAAGAGATTTCAGGAAGGAAATATTTGCTTTTTGTGGGGAAATAGTGAAAATTTATAACATCTCTTGGGTAAATGTAAGCAATTATTAAAACCAGCAATATTCAAATTTTATAGAAATTTTAATTACATTAAGTTGACGTTTGATACTGACGGCGAATAAAAATAAACACATCTTGGAATTGTATTTTAAGTACAATTTTAAATTGTGTAGTGATATTTAATAATGTTTTAATATGTTTTATCCCAAAAAATTCATGTAGCCTTAATATCTAAAAATAATATAGAAATAGACTTGTAAGAGACGCTTATTTTTTGTACTTGCAAAAGATACTTGTCATTGTAATAAACAACTTGTTGTATTACACTATATAGAATAATATAGAATATTATAAAAAACAATTTGCATATTGTTTACTAAAGTTTAAAATTCTGTGGTCAGATACAGTGAAAAATGTTAGAAATAACATGTAACGATCGTCTTGGTAAGAAGGTCAGAGTAAAATGCAATCCAGATGATACAGTAGGCGATTTGAAAAAATTGATAGCTGCTCAAACTGGCACACACTGGGAGAAGATAGTGTTGAAGAAATGGTACACCATATTCAAGGATCACATAAAGCTGCAAGATTGTATCCTTTACTATTAGAATACATTTTAATAATAATACAGTTCAACAGATATTCTACAGAGTCTTTTTCTTAATATGCTATCCTAGATGAAGTACATGATGGCATGAACTTAGAGCTCTACTACCAATAATTTTGTAAAATAAAGTCATGTGTAAGCATCCTGAGTGTTAATGTTAGAACTATCAAACATTTTGTTTTTATTTTGTAACAGATACTTTGATATTATGTAATAGATATCTTGATATTATATCTTAACCATAAGAAAACACCATAAAAGATTAAATATAAAATATTAAATTATCACAAATATTAAAAAGAAATATGAATATATGATTTCTCTATGTTTTATCATCTCATAAATATTGCTGTATTCAAAAACCCCTAAGTGTATCTACAAGTTTGATTAATGGCTATATCATGTGTAACAACACATCTTATTTGATATTAGTGCTCTCTGTTGCATATGTATGTGTATATATATGTATATATATATATATATGTACAAGTACATACACATAAGGTGTAGCTCAAAAAGTACAACAAAGCTGCTACAGAACATGTAGGCCATATTAAAAGAACAAGAAAGAACTAAAACTGATTCTTCTATTTTTTTTTGTGACATGTATGCAATCTTGTCAAATGTAATTTACTTCTGTAGCTTCATAATATTTGAGTCACATATTGTGTATCCTCTATACCTATAGTTATATATATATATATATATATATAACTAAGGTATAGAGAATATATAGTATATATATATATAGGATGTCCCAAAAGTAACGGACCACCCTAATAACTCTTCAGTATTAAAGTTTCAAGGAAAATGATCTGAATAAAAGTTGTAGGGATTTAAGTGAGCTACCTTATGATGAACTTGACTTTGACCTCTATTCTCAAGGTCATTTGAAGGTCAACTTGTATTTTTTAAATAGGAACTCTTATTTTTTATTATACTGTTTTTTTCTACTGGTTAATTTGAACAACTTTTGTCTAAAACATTTTTTTATTTGTCTAATATTTTTTGAGATATTTGAGGAAAACTTGATAACTTTTTCAATATTTAACTTACGATATCTCGCTATTTGTCGGAAGAAAAAGTGGTACTAGACTTTCTTACTTTATTTAGTCTCAAGAATATATTGTTATAATAGCGCCCTGATTTTTGTTAATTTGATAATTTGGAAATTTTCAAAAGTCAGTAAGTTAACAAAAGTCAGGGCGTTATTGTAACAATATATTCTTGAGACTAAATAAAGCAAGAAAGTCTAGTACCATTTTTTCTTCCAACAAATAGTTAGCGAGATATCGTAAATTAACTACTGAAAAAGTAAGTTAAATATTGAAAAAGTTATCGTTTTCCTCAAATATCTCAAAAAATATTAGACAAATAAAAAAATGTTTTAGACGAAAGTTGTACAAATTAACTAGTAGAAAAAAAACAGTATAATAAAAAATAAGGATTCCCATTTAAAAAATGCAAGTTGACCTTCAAATGACCTTGAAAATAGAGGTCAAAGTCAAGGTCATCAGAAGTAGAAGGTAGCTCACTTAAATTCCAACTTTTATTCAGATCATTTTCTTGAAACTTCAATACTGAAGAGTTATTAGAGTGTGCCGTTACTTTTGGGACACCCTGTATATATATATATAATCTTGGTTACACGGAGTGATAATTAAGCAATTATCACTCCAGTATCATTGCAAAATGCAAATGTTGCTATAAATATTGTTAAAACATAAGGCGGTGATGTCTCCTAAAACATTAATCTCAAGATTTTTGCTCTATATAATCAAATTCAAGGGATTATCAAAAATAAATTGTGCAGAAATAAAAATTAGATAAAGCATAGAATCGTTGGGCCACTCTAAAACATGCTAAAATCTCGAACGTCAATGCGGCCTCTTGAACAATCCTTCTATCTTGCCTACTGGACTTTCAGGTTCCGCCATTTCCCTACCCCGGTTGCTTAAGAAGTCTCTTATGTGCTGCACTATCAGATCTATCGCCACTGCAACAGATCACGAAACGTCAGTATGCAATATCGCGAGTTGGATATACATCGTACATATTGGGGGGTAAATAAATTCCTTTATTTGTGACGTATATCATTATACATCTCGAAATAATATCAAATCGCCTGTAAATCTGGAATTAATCATATAATATATTATCATAAGAATTAATTATAATTATCTTGGGTAACAATTGTAATCACATAATGATTACATGCAATTTATATTATGCGTAAGACACTTGTGTTCATATGTTGACTCGCAAGTACAAAGAGAGAAAGAGAATAGATTTGCTGCTTTCTTTCCCGTTATATATTGTGAATACGTAGGGTATCCCAGAACTAGTACACTCTCCGTCGACCACAGATAGAGAATGGAGATTGAGAAAAATAAATATTGTCTCAAAATCAAGAACTCAACAATGATTGATATACATATATCAATGAAACTAGCAAAGATAATGTAAGAAATTAAAAAATAAGTAGCTTAACAGAGATTTCATCAATATTTTATGTGTGTAGTATAGATCTCATAAAAAAAAAAGTAAAAAATGCTTCTATAGGAGAATGCTTCTTTAAAAGGGTTTTAAAGGAATAATCATTGAAAGGAACTGTCGAAGTTCTACTGCATAACAGTTCTGGTGCACCTTGTAAGTTTGTACATATTAAAGTATGAGAATTGTTGTTATAAGGTGCAATAGGCGAATATGCCGAAGTACAATAAGTCTAATGTGTAAACTAGATACACTACATCTCAGAGATAATTATATTTATGAATATCTTGCATGTGCATTGTACGTTACATGTTATATATAGTATTATGCAAAATGCAAATTATGGTGAAGTGACCAGAAACAAAGTAATACCTTACACAGATACGTTTAAAACATTAACACTAAAATAACTTGTTTAATTATACACAGACGTACATCCATACACACGCGCACACACACAATCACATATCACAGACAATTGCACATGTACACATTATTCATTAGGTCTCTCATTGTTATTCTCGTAATACTTAAGACGTTAACTAAGAAACTTGCGTGGTAATATAGATAATTATATGATGCAAGATTGATCAGTAATTTGCACAGATGACTGGGCAAAAACGAATTGATGGACATTCCATTGAATTGAATTCATCTCTTAATCATTGAGACATTAGTGAATGCCTTTAGAATTTTCTTCAATTTAACCATGAGAAATATAAGGCAGTAGTACTATATTGAGAATACAGAAAAATGTTAAAGAACTGAGCTGAAAAAAAAAACTCAGTTTCACCGACTGCATTTCCGTCATTTAACTCTTTTATTCCACGCAACTTCATGCACTTATTTCATGGTTAAATGTTATAATTTAATTCACGCAAGGATATTCATTCGGGATTAAACACGTATAAAAAGCACCATCCTTCGCCATGTATAAATATAAATATATAACTTTTCGATACAAAATTCCATGACACTATGGCAGTTTGCGGGGAAATGAATGTCCGTTCAACCCTATTTTTGGGATACATGTGTATGTGTGATATGTATGTATATATATACATACATCCATTCACACATATGTATATATATGTATGTATTGAGATTACATAAATTAACATAATTTACGATCGTTGAATTACGATAATTGAGAAAATATCGTTAGCATTTGTAAATATATCACGGTAAAAGAAGAGAAGTGCACATGTCGATCTTTCGGAGTCGAAAAACGGACATCACCTTTTTCATTAATATTAAAAGGAATCGCGAGACATATTATCAGTAGGATCAAGTCATACATGGGAGCATGGTGCGGAAAAAAATGCAGTGCTTGACAGAGTGAGCTTATCATGCTTAAGTCATCTGCTGAGCGTGTCTGATGAGGCCGAGGTACGCCTACGCTGATAGACGAATGGATGCTGCCCGGATGAGTTTTCGGCCTTTTTCAAACGCAAAATATCCCGGATGTGGTGCACTATAAGGTCTATTGCCACTGCAAACATACAACCAGACCAGATGTAGGTATTCCCGTGAAGTATTTTCTCGTAATCTTTTTCGCTTAGTTTAAATAGGTGTAGCTCTGACATCCACAACCACGGCATACCAGGCAGCACCCATAAGGTATAGTTATGTGTGAACGCGATTTAAACAATATATAAAATAAGAAGCAAACCAAAGTAGCATGAAAAAAATATCCCAATGACTGTGACGTGTATATCTGAGTTTTATATTATAGAATCTATTGTGATTATATGATTTTAATAACTATATGCCAATTATTGAACAGTTATTGTTACCATATCTAGATAAATGCAGTCCCGAATAAAAGTACTTCAATGTTAGGTGACCGCATCTCTAATTGTTATTATTAAAATTCGATACGAAATTTTATTTTTTATAAGTTGAATAAACAATATATATTATTACTGTTACTGATTACACGTTTGCACTCTGTCTAGTTCTTTTTCCTTATAAATATATATATCTGGTATTATTGAGCAAGAGAGAAAAGGATACCAAAGATTTAGAGAATCCCTATTTGAAATTTTTTAATAGAGATCAATATATATTTTCATTCTTAATATATTTTTATAACAAATTGATATTAAATCAAACTCATATAGTCATAATTGAAAAATAAATCTGTAATCTATATATTTGGACTACACAAGTTTGATTAATCAAAGATAATCCCTTCCTTTTAGTCATATTAAATTCAAATTATTAATCTTTTATTACAAAAATAGTTTACATATTCTTATTAATATGCTCCCTATGAAATCCGTGATCTCCAATATTTGTAGTTGAGAAAGTAATAAATAGTTCTAGGATACCCTGTGTATACATCTTGTATATTGTAACCAGTAATAATAATAATAATAATAAAATTATATAACCATATTAGATTAAAATTTTCAATTAATTTAGAAAAAGAACTTGGAACGTTTTTTTTTTATCAAAATTATTAACGGAACAGCATTCCAAATATCAATACGTCATAAATAAACAGATAAAACAATACTATAGCAAAATGTTATAAACTAAAAAAAAGAAATTACTTTTATTACATATTTACAAAGCAAATAAAAATTAAACTCATAGAGAAACATAAAATTTCTAAATAAGCTGCAGGAGATATTAAATAATTATAGTAACAATAAATATCACAATTTGTATAATATATTACCTATATTATCTGCTCCTCTTGGTATTATGACATCCGCAAACTTCTTTGTTGGTAAGCAAAATTCCTCAAAAGCTGGTTTTACAAAGTTCATGTATTGATTTAAGACATAATCCAAATCCCGTCCACGTTCTTTAATATCCCTTGGTACTGAAGAGATCAATATTGGTGTTAGGATAGAATAGTGAATCAATGAAGCTATATCACATAAGAGATTACCTCTCCTTGCAAGTCTGGTATCTGAATCAGTATCAACAAACAATTTCATATGAAACAGATCTCGGATTTTAGGGAAATAGAATACTAATATTCCTTCAAAAAGAACCACATCTGCAGGATAGATTGTAGTAAGTTGATCCTTTAGTCTAAAACAAATACAAACGGAACATTATACCAAATCTGACATTTATAATTCTCATTTAAAATTTGCATTTCATAAGTATAAGTTGGAAAACTATCATTAATAAATCAAACATGTTTTAATTATCTTGGGAATGACTCCTTACTTGTTATTAAATATTTTTTATATTGATATTTTATACATAAAACTTAGTAGTAATTAGGTAAATAAAGCTACATACACTCTGTTTGTCCTGTAATCATAAGGTGGTATCTCACACTTAACACCAGCTAATATATCTTGCAATGTTTGTAAAATCAGATCATTGTCAAATGCATCAGGATGATCAAAATTATACTGTCCCTTTTCAGCTTTTACTTTCTCAGCTGCTGTTAAATCGCGATAGAAACTGTCTTGTGATATACAGACCACTTGGCGCTGCTGATGGTCCATATCAACCTGTCCTAATTTCTCCATTATGCGCTTGCATACTGTGGACTGTAACAATGATAAATAGCCAATATGTATTAATAGAACCATTCATTATCATATTCTTTTATTTTTATAATATAAAGAGAGAAACCTTGAATCTACTGAACGTTAAACTTGATTCCAAGATAAAAACACAAAACAGATTGTGTCATTGATACACGTGGTAGTGAAATAAATGGTATCTGAGCATATTGTGTTTAAACTACTATCACCCATACAAATGAAATTGAAGTCAGTTTTCAGTCGTCCGGAATTATAATATAAAGATAAGAAAAATGTCATACCTTTCCACTCGCAGTACCACCTGAAACTCCTATCAAGAAGGGTGTTTTGCCCTCGATGCCGTTCAATTTGCCATTAATGCCGAAGGACATTTTTCGCATGGTGCCGACATTCGCCGGCATATCTGCCATCGTCCAGAAAATAGACTTGGTTAAAATGACCCGACCTAGCTTCGCTAAGGGCAATGCTTCACCTAAAAAATAGAGAACAGGTTTAAAATACGATTGTATATAACAAGAGTTGAATAGGAAAACACACTCCAATTTTCACGTCAGATACTCCACGCGTTGCATCTGTAATGTGTATCACACGCTACAGCAGATCAACCGCAGACGAGGTACTTATGAATATCTCTCTCTCTCTCTCTCTCTCTCTCTCTCTCTCCCCCCTCTCCCTCAATGGGTGCATTCAGTACTACAACCAGAGAGTAAAGCTAAGACTCCATGCATGCGGTGAGCTTCGGCAAACGGCTGCGGTGACCAATCAGGAGACAGACGCATGCCGGAGCTTGCCGCAACCGGACTTGCGCCTCCCTCCTGATTGGTCACCGCAACCGTTTGCCGCAGCTCACCGCATGCATGGAGTCTTAGCTTAACTTATTGCACTAGTTCAGAAGTTCTTCAAAAACGAGTAGATCTCTCGTTGTCGCGTTCTAAATGCGTAGCGCGCGTATTTTATACGATTTCATAGAAGAGACTTCTTAATTATTATAACTTATAATATAAAAACTTATGATATAAAGTTATCATAAAGATGAAAACGTGTTGTGCTTGTGGGTTTCGGGAAAAACGCGACACAATTGGCAATAACGAAAGAGTGTCCTATCATTCGTACGTAGATATTCTAACCTCTGATTATGATTTTCAATATTATTTATTGATGTATTCAAAATTATGTATATATATATAAATTATAATTTGTTATAATAATTGTAACTAGAAAAAAGTAATTATATTCCCTTACATTTTAGATTTCCAAAGAAGAAAGATATGCGTCAAGCATGGGTTAGTGCGATAGGAAAGAAGGGTTTTGTCCCAACCAAGAGCAGCATTCTGTGTAGCCAGCATTTTTCTAAAGATTGTCTGTATTACCCTAATAAGGGAAGAGAGAAACAGCGGATACGTTTAAGACCAGATTCTGTACCAACTTTGTTTAATGCAAGTTTCTGGTAAGAGAATAAATTAGGTAATTATTTATATATTAATACAATGTATAGGCTTATTTATTTGTAAGATATAAACATAATGCATAATTATACTTTTATATAATGGAGAATAAATCAGCGATATAACTTTTGAGGTTGTTTTACAGGAAAAGAAGGAATAGAAAATCAGGAATACAATCAAAACAAACTCAACATATTGGTAATTCTGTACAAGATGTGAAAGGTCATAAGGAAGAGAATTTTGCTGAATCAAAATCAGCACTGTTTGTTAATAATGCAGCAACATGTAGTAGTCTAAATGAATGTCAGTTAGAATCTGAAAATACCAGCAGGTACAGTATAAAATTATGTTATATATGTATATTATATACATGTACACGCATTTGTATGTAACTATACACTATTACATATGCAGGGAATATTCTGCAACTTCAAGAAGTAAGCGGAATTATCGCACAGTATATCCAAAATATATTGGTTTTTGCACTCTCAGTGATCTGAAGTCTCCTATAAAAGTTGTACAAAATTGGAAAATGGCTATGAGTTGTATTACCTCACAACGGAAGGAGATTGCAATACTAAGAAGAAAAAATTATTGTCTAAACACAAAAGTGGCAATTCTTGAAATGTTACTAGCTGGTTTGAAAAATACTTAAATGTGCATGAACAAAGTTTATTTTAAAGTTTTGTGTTAACATTTTGCGCTGATATCTGAACGATATGAATGTGGTATGTAAGAGTATTATTATACTACTTATATTACCATAATATTAACCTGATAAACTATTAGGTGTAAATTGTTATAAAAATGAAATAGCAATTGTATATGTATATTTAACTCTTGAATCAGATATAAGTGTTAGAGTAAAGTAAGTTAATTATCATAAATGTCGATTATCCTTGTATTTATGAATATTTTTATAAAACAATTATAATTTTTGAGTTACAAATGTCTTACAAAGGTCCCACAGAAGTAATAATTCCTATAAGTAATTAAGCGTTGATCACAAGAACAATCGGTATTGAGATACAAAAGTCTAGGTACGAGTGTTTCGACCAGGGTACCTATTATGGAATTCGTCGGAATCGATTCCGATCGGAATCATTCCGTTTTTAGATAGCTACCTTATTATGGATGCTCGGATTGTTTCTGAATCGATCGGAAAGTTTCCGATACGTCAGGAGCAGGCGGAAAGTCAATTCCGATCGGAATATGAGAAACAATAAGCTGACATTTCTAAAGCAATAGCCACTTTTAGGGAGGTTAGTTTTATTCTTCGTTACACCATATTTTAAACATTATAATGGTAAGTATAAAAAGTATTTGTGATATTATTCTTACATATACAGATAATTCGTTTTAAATTATAAATGTAGTTTTCTCTCTAAATAAATGTTTTCTGAAAAAAATAATTGAAATAGAAGTTTGACTTAGGAAAAAATAAAATTACAATGTTATTTCGATTGCTGTGCTAAGCAATTCAAAATTTTTTTCTTGGAATAAAAGAACTTCCATGTCAAGATTTTTTTTTCTAGAAACGTTTATTTCAAAAGAAATGTAAAAAGATTTTTTATCAATATTTAATTACAGATAAATCAAGATTTCTTAACTTAATACTTAAAATTAATTATCTTGTATATTTGTATACTATTCTAAAAATAATATATATTTATATTTTCATTTCATAGCTGCCTGTCTTACGACGCGAAAGAGAAAGACAACGCCTTCAAGCGATACAGGCAAATAAAATTATGAGAAGGAGAATAAGATATATGCTTGACCCATTTAGTCTGTCTGAGAACCAATTCGTTGGGTTGTATCGTCTCACAAAAAATCTGACAAGTTCTCATACAAGCACTGGAACCACATCTTCCTCTACGCAGAAGCCCTCTAGCAATTCCAAATGAGTAAGTATATAACTGTAATATTAAAAGTTGTAATTAGGAGCAGTTAAAATAAAATTAATATTATTTTATAATGATATATAATTAAAATTTATTTCAAAACAATTTTTTTGTTTCCACCTTTCCAGATCCAGATCTCACTCGCTCCACTCTCGTTATCGTAAGCACCCTCTGTTAAGCCAGCGGCACACGGTGCTTGTTTTCGTGCTGGATTGCTTGCTGAATGAAAATACTGTGTTCTGATTGGTGTATTTCCATCTTCGAAAATGTACCAATCAGAACGCAATATTTTCATCCAGTAAGCAATCCAGCACGAAAACAAGCACCGTGTGCCGCTGGCTTTATATACGTATGAATTCTGTATTACTCTATTCTTTTTATTCATGTATATCTGTCGGTCATTTCTCTTATCTGCTGTATTCACAACTCGAGTCTTCTGTATATAGTATATAATTTCTCGTATATGAGGTATGTGTATATATATATATATATGTAACTAATAATATGTAAAAAAGATTTTAAACTTGTCGCTTTTTCTTAAATTTAAAATATGTAATAAATTATAACAGTTGATAACATTCATAAATGTACATTGCTTCATGAAAAAGAACAAAATTATATATTATATAAGCGGGTTGAATAATGTACATGACATGTATAAACATTTATTAAACATGATTAATCATATACTACTGTGTACATATTAATATACTGGTTACATCAAAAGTGCAGAGTAATGTTTAAAGTATGTCATGCTTATTTTGCATTTTGGGCTTAGAAAGCTCAAATAAATGACTCCACTTTCAATATTTGGTCAAGACGATATTCTTTATAATATTTTAGGATAAAAAGCGGAAGTTATTTTGTTATTTTTAATCAACCTTAATATATTATGGTAATTTATAGACACTAATTTGAGAGGGTTTGAGAATGATATTTAAATTTTATATTTATGTTTACATAGACACAGAATTTCAATTTTAGTAAAAAAGAAATTTTTTTACTTGTATTGCATTAATATATTTATTTTATGTAATAGAAGCATTATTGCTTATATACTTTAATGTTAATTGTGATAATGTATTTTATTCTAGGTTATCAAGTTACTGATTTGATAAGATCAAGTAGTTGTTACATAATTATAAAAAAATATGAGTGATTTCAAAATGTTGCAAATTAAGGAAGTAAATAAAGAAGAAAAAGTAAAACAAATACAAGAAAAAGAAGAGGAGGAGGAAGAAGAAAATATTGATGATGCTAGAAGTATTGTGACTTTAAAAAATATAATCTATACACCAAATTTGAAAGCCAAGCATATTCTTCATAGTAGCATTTTTCATCCTCTGCTACAAGAATGGCAATCTAAGAGTTCAAATAATTATGATGCTTTTAATCTTATGTATCCTATATTTGTGACGTAAGTATAACATCTGACAGTTATGTATAAAATATTTTTTATTATGAACACTCATACTTATATGTACTATTGTGAAACAGACAAATATGAAAGATGTATTTCATAAAGATGTATAAATTTTATATTTAGTTATAACAGTATAATAATTTTATAAAATATAGTTTTGCAAATATATCCAAGGTAATTATATACCAATTAACGAATTCCTTTCCAGTAATCTTCATCTTGACATATGTTATTAAAAATATAATGCTACATAAAATAATATACAATATTTCAACCATCAGACTAGGTTTATTACAAAGTTACAGGCCAAAGAAATTTCCTAACTTATCTTTATGATTATTCTAATAAAATTAATCAATTTTCATAATATTTGATGAAGAATATAAATTATATCAGAGATGAATAAATAAACTTATGTACATAAATGTCACAATAACAGATTAGGATTAAGTTCTGTTATATTTTTTCAAACTTTTGTTAATAATATAATAAATAATGTTCAATGGCTGGAATCTCTTATATATTATATAGTATAGTATATTATTGATAATATGTCATAGTCAAGGTCATTGGAAAATAATTATATAATTATCTATTTTAAAAGCATAAACAAAGATCAAAATTATTTTTGAGGATATATATTGCTTCAAATGTTATGATTTTTTAAATAATAAAGATCAGATAGAAATACAAAATATGTATGTATATATGATATATAATATCAAATAAAAATTTTGTGTATGTGATTCAGTGATGCAGAAAATATTGAAATAGTTAAAAGTATGCCTGGTGTATATCGCTTGCCACTTTGCTGGATAGTATCCTTTTTAGAACCTTTAGTTAAGGAAGGATTAAAGTCTATTTTAGTATTTGGTGTACTGAAGAATCTATCAAAGGTATATATAGTAATATTTATTGATTAAAAAATATATAGCTTTTTCGAAATTTATGCAAATATATATCGTAAATCTTATTTATTTCTATTTCTTCTATCTAAATTTGAAATTTGTATATCTTAATTGAGATATACAAATTTTTGATTTTAGATAAGATAGAAAATGTTTAGTGGAATAGGAGAGAGGTATAATGATCATTAGTTTTACAAATATGTAATATTAGTAAAACTAATGATGATGATTAGTTTAAATTTTAATTAAGTACTCTATACATAATAAAGATCTATATAATTTTAAACAATTTTTAATTACAGGATGTGGATGGTTACCATGCTGATAGTAAATACAGTCCTGTTATTCAAGCTATAGGCATAATCAAGGATTATTTCCCTAATTTAGTAATAGCCTGTGATGTTTGTTTATGTTCATACACATCTTTGGGACATTGTGGTCTTGTCAGAGGTGATGGTTCTATAGATAACAACGCCAGTATTAAAAGAATCGCTCAAATTGCTCTTGCCTATGCTAATGCTGGTAAGAAATTGTATATTCTTAAAAATTATCTATAAAGTATACATCTATAATTTGCCCTATGTTTAAAATATCAATTATCAACGTCAACAATTGTTATTATAAATATGAAATAATATATAAAAACTATAATTCCATTCAGAAGTCTAATTTTAACTCAAATGCGATCATTACCAGTCTTTCGTTATCTTTTCCAATTATGTCGATACACGCGATTATCTCTATCATAGCTATATTTGTATAAAACATAAATGTTCATAAATGTGCTTTACAGGCGCGCATATTGTTGCACCATCTGATATGATGGATGGTAGAGTGGGTGCAATAAAAAATATTCTGATGGATAACGATTTGTCGCATAAGGTAGCAGTCTTATCTTATTCTGCAAAATTTGCGTCGTCATTTTACGGGCCATTCCGGAAGGTATCCAACAGCGCGCCATTAATGGGCGATCGCAAACGTTATCAGTTGCCTCCCGGTAGCACCGGATTGGCACTCAGAGCAGCCGTAAGTTTTATTTTATTATCGTTGATCTATTTGTTTATTCTATTATTGTCGATTATATCACTCTTCTACAATGTTATATCACATAGGATTATCAAGTCTGATTTCATTGATAGTATAGTTCTAAGATATCTTATATGTAAGAAAAAAATTATAACTGAATATAGTACATTTATTTTAAAAATCAAAAATTAAAGTAGAATACAGGATATATTGTGTACTTGTTATGCAAAATTCAGGTACTTAATTCAGATATGGGTCATATTGATAATAGTTGTTTGAAACTTATTTTACATGAGATACTTAGATTTAAATTTAGAGTTAGATCAGAGTTTTGCAGTTGAATTAAATAATATATATGTAATATTTGTAATAGCGATTTAACTAAACAAAGTCCAATATAAATTCAAACCCGAATATCTCATCTCGAACAAGTTTCAAACAAGTAATGACACTAATACAAATCTCAAAATTGCATCAACATTTTTCTTTTTGTTCTACACTCTCCCGTGACTATTTGTCACAGATGTGAAATCGATTTTTTAAGTTCTATGTATTTCTGAATATGTCCTTTTTCTTTAAAGGCAAGAGATGTAGAGGAAGGAGCGGACATGCTAATGGTGAAGCCAGGATTACCTTACTTGGATATAATCAAACGTATAAAGGATGCCCATCCTGAATATCCTCTATTTGTATACCAAGTCTCAGGAGAATACGCCATGTTGCGACATGCTGCGGATAAAAATATAATCAAATTGCTGGAAACAGTGCATGAAACAATATCCTGTATGAGAAGAGCCGGCGCAGATTGCATCATAACGTACTTCACTCCTCTACTTTTGAAAGCATGGCTTAATAAACCAGCCAAATATTAGAATCCAATCATTAGAATTTTGCACGAGAATTTTGCTATGTCCTACTTGATCGTTTGGTAACTGGGAGAAGTGCTCGAAAAGAAATAGCTAGAGATGTAAAAAATAATTTTTCTTCTAACAAGTCAGGGATTCACTGCACACTTTTATATACCGTGATTTTTATAATGTATGAAAACAGCAATAGTTAACATGTCATACAAGATTATGAGTCAATCATTGGTATCGATTGTTTGCGAAAATTTGTACAAATTCTGTTACGCACGTGTATTTGTTATAAGTTAAATTAACAAACTTTGAGTGTTTCGTCGAGATCAGCGCGTGTAGATAATTGTAAATACTTGGGTTCAAAGGGAGCAGTGAGATAATAATGCGAGAGCCGATGCAGTGAATAATACGTGTTCCGTTTAACTCACTACTTGAAATAACGGACACGTACCGTTAGACGGGAAAGGTGTTACGGATGTGGTGTGTTTGTGCACATGCATGAAGCATGACTGGATTGAAGTAAAGCGTAAAATGTTATCTTTAAGTACGTCCAATCGGGAGCATTTTCTTACTTGTGAATGTGTGTCAAAAGGTACTGATTATAAAACAAATTATTGCATAATCGTTAGTGGAACACACGCCAATGGATAAAAGTTGTAAAAAAACTTAGCATTTAGGTTGCTATTCGTAACATGACTCCTCATTATCAAGTGATACAAAAATTAAAAGAAGCAACAGTAATCGTAGTTTTTTAGTAAATATTTTTACCAATTAGTTTTTATAACATTTACAATATTGCGTACAGATTATATTTAAGCATGTATGACCATATATGTACATATGCATAATGGATATCAGATTTATGTATATATATATGTACTAAATTTTTTTGGATAATCAGCTGGATCATAGTATCTTTAAAGATGCAGTAGAGAGAGTACTGATTCTTTTAATAATTATTTTCTATATATACTTATGTGATAGATGTGTATTTAGTAAGTTTTAATAAAATTTCATGATGGTCTGTATGCAAACATTAAGAAATGATCCTTGCGCCTAGAATGCCTAATCCCAGAATGTAACCCGCTAATTTCAAGAAAAATTATATCGAACATCGCGTGTGAGCGTTATCCTCGATATGACCATTCTAGCCATTTTTTCATGATGAATTTCAGTTCAGCTTTCAACTAACTCGACATCGTCTCGCGATTGCGTATTATATTCTCATGGTATTCGTGTGTCCATATCTCATTCGATAGCCGCACGATACCATTCCTGTCTGCGCACCCTTGAACCTTCCGCTGGGCTGGTCACCACGTGTACCCCGTATCATATCTAATCGGTCGCATGCCAATCGCGACCGCCCGCAAAGGTTCTGGAAGTGGTTCACCGTGACGTGGGCCAACGTACTGCGGCCAGCAGTGTGCGCGTTAGCCAATCAGCGTGCCGGCATTCCGCGAGCGCCGCTCTCGCGCCGCCAATCGGCATCGGCCACGACGAACGCTCCCGTTAATATCCCGGCCTTAGGTCCGTTGTAGAGATCAGTCATCGCTGTACCGTTTTCGAGTGAGACTGGCAACGTACATACCGGTGTGGAAGAATAGAGAGAAAAGCGATCTGCAACGATCGACGTATCTGCTTGAGACATAATTTCGACTGGTGAGTGAACGATAATTTGATTTTCCCGATCTCTCTCGCTCACCCTGAGAGGTTCGAAATCTCACGTCTCGCCGCCGCTAGATGTTCCATTCCGCCGAATCACTGCCTGTCGGCGACGTGCAAGCCGAACGACCCGATCATCATCTTCGTCCAAACGGGATTTTCCTTCTCGGAAAAGCCCCGGGCGGGTTGACGGAATATTCCAGTCGTTAGTCGCGGCCGACGCAAATCGGCGAGCTCGATGCGTTTCTCCTCATTCGCGCTTGTTCAAATTCGTCAGTTCGAGTTTTTTTTATGGCTGGACGTCGCACGGCGTCTTCTGCCACGTTTGATCGTGATTCGTTCGATATGCTCGCGGTCGAAGCGGTTATCGGGTACGTTTACGAGCGTATCTCCCTCGTCAGCACGCTCGCGGATATGTTCATTGGATCGCAATAATTGCCGCACCTGATCGGCTCCGACGTGTCGAGATACCTCGAAGTCGCGGAATCTTCCCGGAATGGAGAGATGACGTGTGACACGTTTATCAAGCCGGAGCTCGACGTTGCTCCGATAGATCCCTCGTGTCGTGGCGATATTAACGGCTCGTGGCGTTAATTTTTCGTTGGTTCGTCGTCGATTTGTTGCTGTTGAATTAGTTTAAATTTGCAATGCTGGAAGGAATATTGCATTCAAGCATTATGAGATATGACTGGTGCCAGATGTAAAAAAATGACATAAATTGCTGAGTATGATCGTGATGATGATGTACCGAGCCCTCGAGATCAATTCCTGCATAATACAATTTACGGAGATGTCCTCCGAAGGAAGTTAATTCAGACGGAGAGTCTATTTTTATAATGTTAATTTATCGTCGACTCATGTTGATTGTTATCTCAATGTAACAAGAAACTGTATGTTGAGATTTCTCTACATAACTTACCACCTATTGACATGATAGCTAACATGTAAAATTACAATATGTAATTAATTACGTACCAATTCACAAAATCACAAAATGATAATTTATACCATACAACACGTATTATATTTAGTATATTAACAGATGTATTCCATAGTCCTATCAAATCACGATAGAATTATCAGAAAGAGTCCCAATCATGTGTTAATTTTATCATTATTTGTAATTTAGGTGAAGTTCATAGAACACGCAATATGAAGGAAGCAACAGCTTTGTTGATGCTGGGACTGTTAGCAGTCACCACGTTTGCGAAGGAGGACAAGGAAAAGGAAGACATTGGTACGGTGATAGGAATTGATTTGGGTACAACCTACTCCTGGTGAGTACGCATTATCTGAAGACATGATACAATGTTGCATCGCGTTCACATCTGGAACAGACCGATCTCTGACCTCACGTGCATGCGTTTTCCAGCGTTGGCGTATACAAGAACGGCCGTGTGGAGATCATAGCCAATGACCAGGGTAACAGAATCACTCCTTCCTACGTGGCATTCACCGCCGACGGCGAGCGCCTGATCGGCGACGCCGCGAAGAATCAGCTGACGACAAATCCGGAAAACACTGTGTTTGACGCGAAGCGACTGATCGGTCGCGAGTGGTCGGATCCCACCGTGCAGCACGACGTGAAGTTCTTCCCGTTCCCAGTGATTGAGAAGAACAACAAGCCACATATCAAGGTCGACACTAGCCAAGGCGAGAAGGTGTTCGCACCGGAAGAGATCTCCGCTATGGTACTAGGCAAGATGAAGGAGACCGCCGAGGCGTATCTCGGCAAGAAGGTCACTCACGCGGTGGTTACCGTCCCGGCATACTTCAATGACGCGCAGAGACAGGTGAGGTATACCTCGCGATAAGCGAGATATGCTTTATGCTCGGATTTGTTGCATAAGGATTTGACTGCGTGCTTCAAGTACAATACAAGTCATGAATGCTGTGAGCTTCTGATTAATGTTCCATTGAAGTATTTGAGTTATTCTTTTTGCTCTTTATCTTTAGTATTTGCGTTCAGACAAAAATCTAATGATTGGTCTTTTTCTTTAACTAAGTTATGCTTCTTAACATTAGGGTAACAAATATATAAACTAACGTTCAAAGGAACAAGATTCCAGCATAGTTTGGCTAAAAAGAACAAGCCTGCCACTGAGATGTCACACATAATATACATTATAACGAGGAAACAATGTTACGACGTAATAAGTTGTTTTTCTTCCTGCTTTCGAAGTGTAGGAAACTGCTGGGTTTGACTTCCGGGCTGACGTAAGCTTCCTTCGACTTGGGTCTGTTTTCGACGTTTCGTCAGACGTTCAGTTCACCTCTTCAAGAAAAGCAACAACTTGAGACTCTTAAAGATCGAAGTTGCTTCTCTCCTTGAAAATATGAACTCAAGCGTTCGCGAGTTGTTGAAATCGAATTTTCCACGAAGAACACGCCAGCAACTCGGCAACCAAACTGAGCTAATCGATTAGTACATTTTTTCAGTTTTAATTTTCTAATCTCACGTTCTGGTGTTCCCTTTATCGTTACAGGCAACTAAGGATGCTGGGACTATTTCTGGTCTGGTCGTAATGAGGATCATCAACGAACCGACTGCCGCCGCGATCGCGTACGGTTTGGACAAGAAGGACGGTGAGAAGAACGTGCTGGTGTTCGATCTGGGCGGTGGTACCTTCGACGTCAGCCTGCTCACTATCGACAACGGTGTGTTCGAGGTCGTTGCCACGAACGGAGACACTCATCTGGGAGGCGAGGACTTCGATCAGCGCGTAATGGATCACTTCATCAAGCTGTACAAGAAGAAGAAGGGCAAGGACATTCGCAAGGACAATCGAGCTGTACAGAAACTGCGTCGTGAAGTTGAAAAGGCTAAGCGAGCACTCAGCGCCAGCCACCAAGTGTGTATATGTTCTCTTCTACCTGACGTGACCTTTGAATCTTTAAATGCTCCAATATTGTATCTCTTCAAGTCAAGCGATTATTACGTGCTCGTTATTTTTTATGAATTTAATCCGATATTTTGCTGCAGGTAAGGATCGAGATCGAATCGTTCTTCGAGGGCGAAGACTTCTCTGAGACCTTGACTCGTGCCAAATTCGAGGAGCTGAACATGGACCTCTTCCGCAGTACTCTGAAGCCTGTGCAGAAGGTCTTGGAAGATTCTGACATGAGCAAGAAAGACGTGGACGAGATTGTCTTGGTTGGTGGCTCGACTAGGATCCCGAAAGTTCAGCAATTGGTGAAGGAATTCTTCGGTGGCAAGGAACCGTCGCGAGGCATCAATCCTGATGAGGCTGTCGCTTATGGCGCTGCCGTACAGGCAGGAGTGCTATCTGGAGAACAAGACACGGATGCGATCGTACTTCTTGACGTTAATCCTCTTACTATGGGTATTGAGACTGTTGGAGGTGTGATGACCAAACTTATTCCAAGGTGAGCACCAAACATTTTCTTCTGTTACACAGCTGTGTAGTTACTCATTGTAGCAAGCCGAAGTCGGTTTTGAGCGCGCCTTAATTGAGGAGAACTCGACGAATCTTAAATTCTTTGCGCTCTCAAGTAAATAAAATTTTTGCATATTATGTATGTGTCGCAATTTTGACGTTCTTGGAACTTTTAATCTTCAGAAAACCTTTGACTTTTATACACTTTTGCATTTCTACTTGTATTCTGATGTTATGTTTTTAGATTCTTGAGTTATTAGAGTCCTCATTAAATTCATCGTAGATAATTAGATTCTCGGTTACTTCATCTGATCAATTCTTAGACTAGTTGAATTTTCTTTGATGTCTTCTTGGACTTTATAATTATTTCGCACATGTAATCATTAAATAACATCGTTCCTTTATTTTTCCAGGAATACCGTCATTCCCACGAAGAAATCCCAGATCTTCTCTACGGCGTCCGACAGCCAACATACCGTCACGATCCAGGTGTATGAAGGCGAGCGTCCGATGACCAAGGACAACCATCTGCTCGGCAAGTTCGACCTCACTGGCATCCCACCGGCGCCGCGTGGCATACCGCAGATCGAGGTAACCTTCGAGATCGACGCGAACGGTATCCTGCAAGTGTCGGCCGAGGACAAAGGCACCGGTAACCGTGAGAAGATCGTCATCACAAATGACCAGAATCGCTTGACACCCGACGACATCGAGCGGATGATCAAGGACGCGGAGAAGTTCGCCGATGACGACAAGAAGCTGAAGGAACGCGTGGAGGCGCGTAACGATCTCGAGTCGTACACGTACTCGTTGAAGAACCAGCTGGCTGACAAGGAGAAGCTCGGCTCGAAGGTGAGCGACGAGGACAGGACCACGATGGAGGAGGCGATCGAGGAGAAGATCAAGTGGCTGGAGGACAACCAGGACACTGAGCCGGAGGAATACAAAAAACAGAAGAAGGAGTTGACTGACATCGTTCAACCGATCATCACCAAACTCTACCAAGGGGCAGGTGGTGGCGTGCCACCGACTGGCGGCGACGAAGAGGATCTCAAAGACGAGCTTTAACTGCAAGCTAACGACTCGCCCGTTTCGGCTCGCGATATAGACTGATTAACTTCACCTCCCGAGCAAATACTTTACAGAAATACTGTTGAGACGTACGAGAGGTTGGAGTACATTCACGAGACACGCCGCGTTCTCGCTGTGCATTCAGTTGAAATACGACTGTCTGGTTCTAACTTTCATTTAAGTAACCTTTGTAGTGTACGATAAACGTTATAAGATAAAGGATATATATAGGTCGTTCATGGCGTCCGTTCTCCACTTGGATCTATCTAACGCGTCGAAAGTGAACGAGCAAACGCCACTCCACTCTGATAGTGTAAGAGACGACAGGAGCTAAATGTACAGTGAGAACGAAAGTCTTCGCCACGTTAAGTCTGCGTGCGTTCAAGGAAAGTGCGAGCGAGGATGTCGAAAAGAAATCAATCGGGTTTTTTAAATATCTATCATTCATAGCATTACGTAGGGAAGAATATTAGTTAGTTATGATTGACCTATAATTATGTAAAAATACTAACTCTTTATCTGTTGTACCCTCTTGCATTTTCCTTAGTCGAGGAAAGTAGTCTTGTGGAAAGTGCTAGTCACTCGTGTGTGCTGTAGAATGTATTTAATGATGTGTCGGCAAAATTCTGCGCCCGGCTGAGCCAAAAAAAACATTTTATGAAATCGCGGAGTACGGTTTACAACAAATGCAACAAAATATAACCGAGATTTTATCTCGTAGTTCAGTCGGTCGCGGGACAAGTGCTCGTTGAGTGTTCGGAATCGGTCGTGTTCACGAGGCGAATTTCGGACGTCGTATCTACAACACCGTGTGTTCTTTATTACGAAATTGCGACGAGTCGCGAAGTACGACCCGCATTTTTTCCGTGACGCTTTCTTCATCTCACATTGGTTTTCGAATATTTTTATGAGAGAAGGGGCGACGGAGAGACGACGACGTGAAATGTCTGGGAATTGTCTCGTAAACGCAATTAGCTAATTCCAAGCACTGTGGATTACTGGAGATCCACCAGGAGATCGTACGGTGACTACAATATACGGTGACATCATTCTGTATCGTGTTTGCCAGGAGGAATCACTTTGATCCTCTCGAGATCCATCCGTCGGGAGGAGTCCGGAAGAGGGAGATTTTCCCGACGCTCTTCTCGTTCTCCTTCTCCTAAAAACACACACATACACAAACACATATACACACACACACACACATCCAATATCGCGTCGTTAATTTATTTTGAATTGTTTTATATGTTCCATTAAGTCCAATAATCAATAATAAAACTCGTTACAAGTTTATTCGAGTGTATGCGTTTGGAAATGGGAATGAATGATATGCGCGCGAGTATTGCGGTATTTACCATGTAAACTCGTAAACTGCCGCCGGGCTACATTGTACCGTGTACCGTGTAGCCGTATATGCGTATGTGCGTGAATGTTGCAATATGTATCGGTATCACAAAAATAAAGATTTTTTCAGTAAACGAAAACTTGCGAAAGCTCAATATAGCGGTAGCCCGTTCGACCCGTCGAGCGAGAGGGGTGACGTTACATTAACAAATTCGCACTGGGTTTTGAAAAATTTATTCAAGGATCCAGTTGATACTGTAACAAAAACAGCAGGGGATTCATAGACGTGGTATACAATTAATTCCCTATTATAATATTTTTCTCATCCGCCTGTTGGTTTCTTTTCTCGCCGAAATACAAACGTTTTAACGACGATAGTAACACAATTCGCGCTCCTACGTGGAGTTTACTGACGTTCTCGCTTACACAGAGCAGTCCAATCGCAATTACGCTCTCACGTAACGTTTCGCGAATTTACTTAGGTATAAAAATAATAATATCGAAATCGGGCACTTTTTTTTCTGCGCATATGTCGGTAGAATGAAAAGCTTGTGGGCTGTGTCGGAGATTATAGCTCTACAAGACGCCGCAAATCTGAGACCAATTTTCGCAAGAATCGCCGCTCAACTTCAAGCTTCTTCCACTTCACCGAGAACAATGTATCATACGAAATATTCTATCCTTTCGATGAGCGTCATTAGAAAGAGAGTAGTAATCGTTAATTTCACTAATAATAAACACACGCTGATAATTGAGGCACACGCGTGCGCGTAACGTTATCTTCAGTCGTGTCGCGAATATGAATTACACAAGAGACTGTTCTCGGCTGTTTTATGTTTTAATTTTTACGATGTGTTAATGAAAAAGCAGCGAATGTGACGAGTGATTTTCTCGAGCGATTTTCAATTCGCCGTCCGTCAATTCCGTAGCTTTTCCGACGCAGCCTCACGAACGCCACGATCGCGTTCCCAATGTGATTTCCATTGTGAATTCCGATGCACGTATTATAACGAATCGTATCGAGTCGTACGCTTCACAAAAATATGATCTACGAATAATAATACTATGTCCTTATCGGGAAACAGAAAGTACCAATTCGCAGCGATGTAGAATTCCGAGCGATCGGTACAAAACGCCGAAACGGGCAGCGGAGCGAGTGAACGGTGCTATTGTTGGTCTGCGAATCAATCACGTTTCACCTCGCCCACTCACAGCAGATTTCTGTATGTATAAAAAAGTAAGGCCAAACGATAGGCATTCAGTGCGTGAATCACGAACCAGAAGGACAATTTTCGTTGTAACTCACAGAGTTAGTACAATTCGCTTTGCTATTTTACACTGTGAACAAGTAACGAGGTATTTCATTGCGGTTTGTACAATAGAGTTGCATATACATCGTTTTCCTTCTACACTGTTTTACTTTCTTCTCTTCATTTTTGTATGCACGTATGTGTGTGTATGTGTGTGTGTGTTTTTTTTCGTCTTCCGTACTTTTTTTTGGCATTTGCTTCGAAAAGAGACTTCGAACAACGAGAGCGTTTGAGCACATTTTCTGGCTGATTTCTTTTTTCTTAGATCGTCGAAGCGACAGTGTACTAATTATGGAATTATTTATCTCGTCTCATTTATATGCAATCCCTAAGGAACATGAGGTGCGCTATCTCGTACTCGTGTGTACTTAGCCAGATGTAAGTCTGCATACGACTAAGACAGAGAAACGCAAGAAAGACGGATAAGAGAACGACAATAATATACTTTGATCGGGTAATATCGATCTCCGAAATCTCATCTTTCCTTCGAGAAGGAGAAACTCAATTAACTTGCACAATTAAACTCCGTTTATTAGGGATCGAGACAAGCAACTTGGATTGACGTATGCATAGATTAATTAAGCGCGAAATAGCTCATTAGGATTATTTTTGTGGCTAAATGAAGGGGATCCTAATCAAATTACACGACTATACACTAAAGGCTATAGGACTATAGTTTGCAGACTATAGGACTATAGTTTATAGACTACAGGGCTATAGTTTGTAGACTATAGAACTATATTCTAAAGAATCCCCTTGTGTATAGTCTAAAATAATTTCCGTTTATACCGATCGTTCGATACGTGCATGGAATAATTTTCCATGAAATTATCTCAATTTTGACGGTGCATGCAAACGACGGCGTGCTGATAAGCAGACACGACACGCATCGAGAGAAGATACCGCAGTAATTTAATACACCATCGTTTTCACACCGCATCTCATCGCACAAAAGAAAATAATTTAGTATAAAAGATTGGTTTTATTCATTTAGAGTATAAAATCTCTAACTTGTGTGTATTAAACGATCGGTATAAACGAGACCATATTCTACAGTGATGGTTAAATCACAACAGCAAGCCGCAAATGTAAGTATTCCCACAGCAAGACGCACTTTCCTGGTCCCTAATCTAATACACGTGAGGGGGGAGTCCCCCCCTCCGAGAGCACCGTAATTTGGACAGAAATTTTATAATTCGCATAACGCTACAACGCTACAACGAAGTGCCTTCTTTCCAGGGCACATCGCGTTGTTCCCTCTGACCGTAACGAAGGATCAAGCAGGATCAATCAAGTGGGACATCACTTGATTAACCCTGCTTCATTCTATCCGACGCGGTCGCAATCAAGTACTTAGCCCTATGCAGACCCCGCGAATGAATTGCGAATTGCTCCGAGACAGTCAATGATCGATGAGTGCCCGAGTGGCGCGTGAAACGCTACGTACGAGTCGAATGAACAAGTTTTTCGCACGCTTCCCGGTCAAAATCAACGGTCGAAAACCTGGAATCTCGGCGAAGGAGTTGATTTTGCGTCCCCCGCTTACCGTTAGTATCGCGAAATTCCAGAATGTAGCGCGATCGAGTCGCCATGTGTGACACGTGGGCACTTGGTGCTCACGTGTCCTGAATCTTCCGCTATCTCTGTCTCTCGATTCCCCGTTATTCTCCTGTCTTCCCTCCACGTTAATAACTATGTAGTAATGTGGAATTTTTACTCCCTCCTGCTCCTCCATCTCCTCTGTTTCGCTTTACGCGGTAAATATTAATTTTTTTTGTTTTCTTTCTCTAGCATGAACACATTCAACATATTGTTTCGTTTTTCTTTTATTCCATTCTTTTTCTTCTTCTTCTTCTTCTTCTTCTTCTTCTTCTTCTTCTTCTTCTGCTTCTCATTCAATCATACAGTGCATTCTGAAATCAACCGACTGTGAAATAACAGAGCGTGGAGAAGTGTACGGTTCTCTTCAGATTTTGCCTGTATACTGATCTTGCACTGTTTTCTTTTCATCGACTTCTGCTTCATTCTCCTCTTCTCTTTCATTTTCTCTTTCGTCTGCCAGTCTATACGTGTACTTCGGATGTATTTTTATATAATCGTTAGTGAATACATAGATCTATTGTGCGTCACAACCCGAGAGGATCCTAAATTTGAAACGCTTCTCGAATCTCCTAGTCTTCGCATTATATATTTAGTGTTGCTTGAAAAGTAAGACTTCTGTTTCCTTTTTGCGATCATTTTGACTAATTTTATCGTTCAGAAGCAATAAAGCACACTCAAAATTTTTACAAAATATATCTGATTAGAATGATATGTCTAAAAAGTGACATTTATGATCGATTGATCAAACTTGTGCAATAGTCGAAAAATTCGCTCTTTTTCAATGATCAATAATCAAAATTAACATGACAAAATCACGCATTTGAAAGACAGGTGACATGTTATATTAATTTTACAATTTTTATTAATTTTTAATGCCAAAATAAAACTTTCGGCATATCCGTTCAATCCGCTCAATCGATTGCAAATGTCACTTTCTGTATCGTTTCGTCTCATTGTATTTTGCTGGAATTTTTAACATATATCTTCTCGCTTCTGACATCAATCAGATGACCGCGGCGAAGAATCAGCAGTCTTCATCCTCGTGACACGAATATTTTTACGTTGACAAGGATATAATATTAGTATCGACTGAGTTTATAGAATCAAGTCGATCGATTGTTGCAAATGACTGAAGAAAGCTTTTCTTCAACAAATCCTCTCTGATTGTAACGCATTTCCATACATATAGAAATACTTGTAATGCCTACTTGCTAATGCCAGCGAATACATTGAGCTACTAGTATAATCGTAGCATATATATTCTTAAATTCTCGGGTTAGTAATTAAACTATATCTTTCGTTTCCCGAAGAAGTTCCGTCCTTGTGTCGGAGATTTTCGCGTAAAAAAAATGTGACGTGACTCTACTGACGCCAAACGATGTGAACATGAGATGTGTGTGTGTGTGTACATGTTTGTGTCATCAAGTATATGTTTTGTGTAACGAATATATAAATAATTTCCCTAAGCGTAATATTTGCGAAACATGAAGTTCGATTAGGAACAGTCCGTTTAACAGATACTGTTACATCTGATAAATTATAGTTCATATAAAATTTTCTAAATAGAGAGAAAGAGAGAGAGAGAGAGAGAGAGAGAGAGAAAGAGAGAGAGAGAGAGAGAAAAAGGCGCCGCACAAACGAGACTATAAAAATCATTCGTGTGAATTCCCTTTTAAAATGCAATTGCAATTCTTACACTCTAACTTACGCCGGTAATAAAACGCATTACAACTCTGCTTGGAATTTCTGTACAAGAAGTTTGCTGCAATCGCTTTACATATAATGCGCCTCGAAATAGATACGTATCTCTTCTGTTAAACACGGAATCGGACTCTACTTTGAGAAAATTCAACTTATCTCTAATTGTTTTCTAACAATCGAACAATAAAAAAATCAATTTCTTCGTAAGATCAATTTGCCAACAGTAGTATGACTGTACTTTTTAGTAACTAGTTCGACTTTATAATCGTTAAGAGTATATCGAAGGTAGGTTGATTTAAAGAATAGCCTACTTATATACTTTTCTTTTTCGGAACACGTATTGAAGTAGAATTCACATTGATAACTTTCGACCCACAGATTACCAAGTAGAAAACAGTATTCTTTCCTATACGATATTTTAGGTCATCTCTTTTTCAACAATTAGTCAATTGCTTCATAATAAATGAAATTTCAAAATGGATTTCTAAGAAAATATAAACATACAATATATGGTCTAAAAAATATTAAAATTGAATAAATTATTGTGAATATTCTTACCCTTTAAATCGTTTTCAATTTACTGGCAATTAGTATTCTCGAGTGAAAGAAAAAAAAAAACAAAACTATACATGCAATAGTTTTGTAAAAAAAAAAAAAAAAAAAGAGGTTATAGGTAAGATATAAGTTTCTTAAAACAATCCATTTGATTGTTGACATACTATAACAAAGATATGTGCATGTAGCGAGCGTTCGTAATTACAATACAGAAGGAGAATGTCGAAGATAGTAGCCTGTGGATCGAAAAATTACATTTTCCTTCGAAACATACATTAGCAGAATTTTCAACGGAAAATTCACGCGCTAACTCTCGCGCGGAGACTAATTTAACAAATATTATAAACGCGGTGCGCTTCTGGTCGCGTCGCTTAAATACCATTTCCCTAGTTTGAACAACAACAATGTATCTCGTATCACAGTATTATTCAGTAGTGTATTTAATATTTGTCTCGCATTCACTTTGGATATGGCAAATATGAGATAGTAACAGTAAAATTATACTAATGTAAGTCTATAACTCTTTGGGGCTAAATGCATATCACAGTGGGAGAATTTTCAACGTTCCTATGTTCATCGTCTTCCTCGTCGTCCACTTTCTTTCTTTCTTCTTCTTTTTTTTGTCTTTTTCCTTTTACTTATTTTAGATTATTATTTAACCGTCCAGAAGCGCACCACCGTTTCAGAGAAGTGTGTTGCCTTTTTAAGGTCACGTTAAAAATCTATTACGCGCTATATTACGAAGAAGCATCGCCGTCAACCAGTGGAAACAAGCAAGCAATATAATATTAGGTAAGACCTTTTTCACCATTAGTCAAAAAATGCATCGTTAGATTATTTGAGACCGTATTCCCGTATCCGTCCCGTTATGCAGTCTTGTCCTAACTTTTTTTTTTCTTTTGCTGCGTAGTGCGTAATATGGACTATTGAAACACAGGACTATTGAATTGTACTCTTCTTTTTTGTAGTTTTTGAAACGCGAGGGGTTATTACGCAGTTGCATATGATACCTCGGCTTCCTGAAGTTTCAACTCTCATATAAGTACTTCGAAATCTAAAGAAATAATACATTATCAATTTGTTTATTTGTCTAAATATTTAACGGAAGTTTGACTTCTCTTACACGATTATATTTAGAGAAATTTTATTTTGAAGAATTATAAGTTTCAACTAAAAAGTTAAAATCTATAATTCTTGAAAATTGAAGAGAAGAGAAGGAGTCAACACAAGTTTCATTGAGATAAATATTCAACGTAACGACTTTCAAGACTCCATATACGAGAACTCATATGCAACAACTTAACAAAGAGTGGTCCATATCAACTAATCTATATTGCTTATATGATGAGGTCGACGCAATACTGTGCTATAACGTTTCGTTGAAAAAATAAGATCGTCGAGTTACGTTTTAAGTAGTATCGTCGAAAGTCCAAACCGGAGTAAAAAAATACCCGTTCCTTTTTATACGCTGTTAACAAATAAAAGGAAAATGCTACACAGCTCTTCCCTAACGCTAAGAACATGCAGTAAATATTAATATTAATTGTCGATGTGCCAATAATAATGCACAATCACTTACATTACGTTCTCGATAATGATCTTCACCGTCGTCTATCTACCGTATGTTCTAAAAATGTCTCTCTGTTACTGACCTTAACATGATCAGAGAGATGCAGCGAAGTTAAATAATTTGATTCAGTCATGAGTGTGCAAACGAGCCGACGTTCGGAACTGATAAAAAAAGAAAACGACAGTTTGAATTCCAAAATTCGGCACTGTTTTAAGTAATTTGCAAAAGCTCTCCGTTAACTTTCCTCCAAATGTACTCGTGCTCACTGCATTATATAATTTAATTCCGTTGAATACATTTCTTTTTTCCTCCTGCAAGAAAATCCATAATCCCATTGTCGGCTTCCTGAACTGGCCGTGTGTTTTCACTTTCACTTTCGGTAGAAATCCGTTTCAACAAGATTAATTTCTTTCCCGATCGCGAGTGCTTCTGTCCTTCTGAGAAAAAATATGTCGAGGAAAGTCTCCTGTGATAATAGAAATCAAAACCGTTAACATCACAGAGATGCGATCGTCCATAATAGCGATACTGCTTACCAGTAGATAGGTACGGGTACGCGTACCCGTGTTTAAAATAGAGACTTAGCGAACGCCTGGATGACAGTAGGCACAGTAGCGTCGAAACCGTTGATCGATAGGATATTTTTGTCGGGATTCGCTTTATAATACGTCGAACAAGAGCACACGGCACAATTGATCAACCTGCAGGAGGAACGATATATTTAACTTCACAAAAGTTAAATAAAAAAAAGCTGCGCGACATACAATTAAAAAGTAAAAATTAGAAGGTCTGTAAGAGCTAACGTTGGATTGAGGTACGTAAATAAATAATCGTAAATAGCAACCGCGGGTTGCGGATGCTGGAAATAATTGTGTTGACATAAAATGAGTACATAAACAATACTTAATAAAGATAAAAAATAAATTCGCTTAAACCACACATTTATTGGAATATTATCAGCTCCACCGTAAATAAACAATAGCCTATTTACGTACCACAACCTAACATTAGTTTTTAATAAACCTCTTTTTTATTTTTCGATCATATAAAAATATACGTGTAATATTAATTTTTATAACTATACTTGCTAAACTATCTGTCTTTTTCTCCTTCTATTTCAAGTATCGAATAAACATCTGCTATTTTATGGAGATTGTGCAACTATAAAGAACATACTTACATTTCAAGCTAAGTTAATAACTCCAAATTAGAACGACTAAAGTTACATTATGTTTCTGACTTTATACTTTTACTCGTCACCTTTATTGAACTTTTAAAATCGTGGTAATATAGAAACGAGTACTTACTTCGCGTGTGGGAGTTTCAGTTTCGTTCTGTACGCTATCAGAGCTTCTTCGGACGTATCGGATTTGGCGTACACTTGATCTACAATGTTGATGAAGACATCGTATTTGTTATTCTGATGCGCGGCCCACGACATCGGTTTAGCCAGATTGACATTTCCGACCGGCATCTGCGATAGTCTTCGCATGGTTTGGCCAAAGGATGCTGTCTTGTCGATGTTCACAGTGTGTACTCCGACGTTCTTGAATGTCGCCACGGTGACGTTCTTCTCGCATCGAACGAGCGACAGCACGATCATACAGCCGGCCTCGGCACCGGTCATGTTGGCGTTGCGCCAAGCACGTGAATCCAACATCACCTTGTTCATATCGATCGTCACCATGTAACGCAAGCCGGTAGGTTGCAGATGCTGAAAATAATCGCAGAATATAATATGCATACATAGAAAAAAATATATATTTGGAACACATTTATTTATTGAAGTATTATCAACTCCGTTGTGAAATATATTTGAATATTTTAGCAGATCGTATGTGTATGATGCATTGAAATGAGATGACCGAAAAATCATAATTAAATTTAATTCATAACTGTCAAGTCGACGTGCGCAAGGGATCGACTTACGCAAAATGACAAGTTCAACGCCTTGTACAAAGCGTCAATTATTCTGGAATTCGGTTTAGGCGGTGGTGGAGGAGGTTTCTTCGCTTGTTCTTTGACCTTTCGTTTTTCGTAGCTCAGAGGTCTTGAAAACGTATTACAATCGTTATAAGCGATAATCCTTCCGTGATTCAGAACTATGTACGCATAATCGCATACTTACTTTCCAGAATTTTCGTAATTCCTGATAGTGATCAGAACCAACGCCGGATGGACTTTATCGCGCGCTAAACGCTCCTCGTTGACCAGCTGTTCTGTTATCATCGCAACCGCTGGAGCGTCTGGTTTGAGTATTTCGAGATTATGAATTCTTTGCAAGTTGTTCAGAAGCGTGACGATATCCATTGACGATATCAATGCGTTCCAAACCTATGTAGAAAATCGAACGTTATTATTAAAGAAACCATTTCAGATTCTATCGCATGAATGATTAAATTTATTGCAATTTCAATGACTTTAAACTCACTTGTGCACATACTTACCATAAATTATCATTTTTAACAAATAATGGCGCAGCGTTTATCGCCTTATTATTTTTGCAATCAGGAAAGCTCATACATAAATTATAATAAGAGATAGTTCTGTATGTGCATTTTTATTTTTATGTTTACCTCCTTGGATGTCAACAAATGTCCGGGTACATGATCCAGCGATAATTGGTATTCTTCTAGCAAGGCAGCAGCACGGACCTCGTCTTCACAGTGTTTAAAATCTTCGACTTTTTGTATATATTCCATGATTTCAGTAATTTTCGGATTGTCAGCTACCTTTTCCAAAGAAGCTTTGGTATGCTTCATACCGTGTATTATGTATTGCAACACTATTCCCATTTCTATTAAATAATTAACTGTCTAAGTAACATTTCCATCATTAATTAATAATTACGGTTATCAGTAGCAGTGTACCATAAATCCACTATAAGATTTATATTCTAATTATTTAAATTTTATGAATTATGTATCGCTTAATCATTAATTTCTCGACAATTCAATTATTGATATTATCCTAAAAACTTACAAACTAAGAAGCTTGGTGAATTTCGAATAAAGTAGATTTATGCTTTCCCCCATAGCTTGGTATGTTTACCTGAACTATTAGTTATAGGATGAGATAGTTTGATGATATCTTTGTGTTTCCAACCATATCTACTCCTGCATCTTGTGACATACTTCGCCAAATCTAATGGTTCTTTGGACAAGTACCATTGATTAACGGCCTTTCTGAGGCCATTGCCCCATCCACTTTTAGCATTATCATCCGCAGCCAACTCCTTCTGTTTGCTCAGTTTTGAGGCAAACTTAACAAACAGCATAAAGTGCTGCTGCGATGCGCAGATCTTTCCCACACTTTTATATGCTGCATGACGTAATTTCTCACTTTGCATTTGTCTGCAGCAAACAGCAAGAGCAAATACCAAGGTTTCTGGACATGGGACAAGACCACTGTCAAATGCCTGCAAATACCTTTACCTTAGGAACAATAGCAACAAAAAGCTCCACAATATATTGGACAATTTATGCTGATATTACCTTTGTAATTAATTCAATGGGTACCAATTGTTTCTTCGGATTTTCAGCTAGTTCTAATATGGACATGATATTAACGGCTCGAAAGTAATCATGGACGAACCAATTTCCAGGATGATAATCAGCATATTCTTTTCCAACATACAAAAACTGTGACAAACGTACTTCAGGATCCCTGATACAATTATTGGGCGTATCTTCTGCTGCCATTTCTTAACAATAATATGCCTGAAACAAGATAAATTATAGTTAACATATGTCAGAAGGAGAAATATAACAAAGAATTTAGAATCTGTTGGGCCAAGAATTCCATTGAAAAATATTTCAAATGCCTAGTTCCTTACTTAAGGAAACAAGCAAACTTTGATTTTAACAATCAACCATTAAATTTTCTAATCAATTAATTTCTCTCAATTTCCAATTTGTTCAATCTATTCCTATCTGTATTTATTCATAAACATCGATTTCAATAACAAGCAATTATTTGCAATATTTAACTTATTTTCATTCACAGTTATTTACAATTTTAGAAAACAAGGATCTTGTGATTTTGATAACAATAAAAAATACTTCAAAATATTGTTAGAAAAATCGTTTATGATGAAAACACAAGCACCTTCGTCACAATGATACATAATTTTTCTAACGCTTGCTTATTTCGAAGCATTTCCATTACTGTACACAAAACGGGAATATCAGCTTCACATTATTTACATGGTCCGTTAATAGGACTGCCAGTTGACACGCATCTCGCGGATACACAAGCACACAATCATACCCACACATATTCGCACGCGCGCGCGACCATAGACACACATACACGCGCATGGGAACGAATTCCTTCGCGAGAATCACCTGGTTACCGGATAAGGTAACGCGGTGATACAGCTTGCGAACTCAAGTACGTCGTCGGAGGCGAATTTCGTCCGTGAACGTGCCACGGTCTCTCTAGCATGCCCTCGTCCAGAGGTTTATTACCTTGCGTCAATGTGGTCCAACGTCGAGAACGGTCATACACTGCGGAGAAATAGAGACGACTGTCCACGGTGACTGACGTTCCAAGACTTGTGGAGCAAAGCGCACTGACTGACGCAGGTGGTGACCTGGTGCGACGACGAGCCGCGTTTGACGTGTTGGTAATCGCCATTGCCGTTAGATGGCGCTATATTGACATCTACACGCTTCACGGTAGTGATGGCGCCGACGAGCGAACTGTACGAACAATAAATCGAAAAATCTTTTCAAACTGCGATATCATATTACCCGAACAGTAATTTGTAAAATATCCGAATTACACGTTTGCACATACAACATGAACACTAACGATCCAGTGTATTTATAAATTTATTTTTTTTGACTGTTGCTACTTTGGCGACATGTCGAAGGAAAATTCGATCGGGATTAACACTCGTCGCGGGCAACGGACAAGTGTCCTCATCATTAATCGTTGCTTGACAATCGAAGAAGAATAAGTGAAATTCCTTCTTCTCCGCCGCTGATAAGCGACATCACATTCCCATTGATTGTCAGGAGAGAGTTAAAGAAAGATATTCTGAAGTCGAATAACAGAATGACGTAAATTTGCGCGAAGTTGCTCGTCGACGAGACTGATTTCTCTCTACGTAAATGCACGTATCTCTACGATTTCCTTTGGGCGTTCTACACACAGTGTCGTCTCACTATCGACTCGATACAAATAAACGCCAAACACGCGGATAATTTAAAAAAATCGCCTTCCACATTCCAAACAATCAATCGTAGTGGGCGATTAATTCGGAGATGTATACATTTTTGCGAGCCGAACACGAGAGATAACTCGCCAAAACATAAAGCGTACGTTTGGCAAGGAGATAAATATAGAACGAGGGAGATACATACACTATGAGAGAAATATTCGACACCTCAACCTCAAGTATATTCCCCAACGATCCTACGATTGTTTCAAGCAGGGTGTCTTGTACTATCGATCCGAGGAGTCTCACCGTAACTGTAATGCATAACGTATTCGCGTACTCACCGCGTTCATCGATTATTATTCAGTATTCTCTGAATGTGCAACGGCCAGCAGTTTCTCCGTTCATTGTCCATTGGCCTTTAAGTGCACACATGCCGAGCAAAGCGAGCAAAATAATTCCCCCCCTCGGCCACCACTATGCGTCGATCCCCCTCCATCGTTGTGGCTAAGGTCAATTGCACAAAGATCCAGATAAGTTTAATGACAATAAATCGAGGATCTTGACGGTCGATCGATCAATTCCAGAATTAACCGGTCGCTGTGTTTGAGTCGATATCGTTACAGCTCCGCTTCGATCTCGTGCGCAACCGCTGCAACAAAATAAGGTCGAAATGTTATCGTTAATTGATCTCTAATGAAATCCTTAAATAGCTCCTTGCGATTCACTCTTGCGAGAATTATGTAAACACTAAGAAGCGTACGCTGTTGTGCTTCAAGCGGAAAAACGTATCGCTCGTCGCGGCTCGAGATGCCGTTGGCTTACGATTTTATTCGGAGTATCCTCTGCTATTTCATCCCTAATCTATGCGACACGTGTCATGTCGCGATGATTAGCCGGCGCTGATAGCGACAATCGAATAACAGAATGACGTAAATTTTCGTCAAGTTGCCGTTCGATAACAGACAGCTTCTCCGAAAGAGAGAGAGAGAGAGAGAGAGAGAGAGAGAGAGAGAGAGAGAGAGAGAGAGAGAGAGAGAAAGAGAGAGAGAGAGAGAGAGAGCGGAGTGTGGTGGCACAATATCACTTCTCAGGACGTTCGCTGTAGTCACGCAACAGCGCGGTCTCTAAGGACTTATCGAGTGTATTTAAGTAATTTCAATAAAAAGAAAAAAAAGGAAAACCACTTCACGAGTCATTAATCGCGCCTTACCTCGCTCGTTCGACAGGATACACGCGTTCTCCCGCTGGAGCAAATTAATTTTTAGAGATCGTCTATTTCTCACGATAAGCTCAACTGCGCGTTTTCGCGGCGAACACGCGAGCGTTTCGCATTCTCCTCCTTTTTCTCGTGTTATTCTTGCCGATCCAGCGAGTCCGATGATCGAGTCTCTCTAGTAGAGATACGCGCGTAAAAAGAATCTATAAAAGTACAAATGTGCAGTCACATGTACACATACGCACGCGCGCGCGCGCACACACACACACACACACACATACACACACGTGCATATATATGCGGTGAACCGCTTTATCGCTGAAAAAAATCGTATGACGCATGTGTGCGCACGTGTGCGTACGCGCGACCGCTCCGCGTGTGTGCGAGATTTTACGAGCGCATATTTACGGCCCGACGTTTCTCGCCGCAGCGCAGCGCAACGCGGCGCAGGGCGGCGCGGGGCGGCGCGACGCGTTGCGATTCTGTATCCTACAAGCGCTTCTTCAGACTCGTCATTTTCCAATTGCCTTTTTATCGCCTTGTTCATTGACTCACCCGGTTCTGTAATATGGGAGCTTCGGGATGAGCGCGGGTGACCTACGACGGTGATGACGTGTCTTTCTTTCTCTGTTCCTCTCTCTTTTCTTTTCTTTCTTTCTCCTCAGTCACCGAGACTCATCGCTAATTGGGATTTTGTAACTCTTGGCAGAGGGTCCCCTTTGTTCCTTTCACTCCTTTTAATATTCCCCTCCATTCCGGGCGATCCGTTAATTTCGCCTCAACGTCGAGCCCGTCCGAATGTTGATAATTGTTTTAATTTATATCCGTCACGCGCTCACGGAGACGTTTATCCTTCGCTCTGCAAAGAAATTATTACTGCCGCATGATGCTGTCTTCTATATTCAGCGGACTCTGGTAGATAAAAGTTTCCGCGCGTTCGTACCTGAAATATCCATGTTATTGTCGAAGATATTTCAGGTACGAACGTCAGAGAGACCGGTCAGAGCCTGCATAAACTCGAAAAGATTCGCGCGGACGAGAAAATCCACGAATCTCCGAGAGAGGCCGTGTGTCGGAGGGATTGCGCAATCGGACAGATCCTTGCAGCCAATCGAGCCGGCCACGTGCACAATATCAAAGGCTCCGGCGAGCAAGAATCTCGCAAGCCGTGTTTCTGCAGATAAGTGCTTACCCCACCCAGTCGCACAATTATTCAATGCGAGTCGTTGTACATACGCTTGTCGTCGTCGTCGTATGACGTGTGCGTGTGTATCTATGTGTGTACATATGTGTATGCGTCACGCGCGAGCATGTGTGTATGTGTGTGCGCGTGCGTGTGTGCGTGTGCGTGTGTGTGTGTGTCGAAACGAGCGACCGGTCGCTTTATTTGCGATTACGCACACGTAAAAGCGCTAAACCAACTGGTCGCATTATTCGCGCTTCCGCACACATCTGCAAGTTAGTTGTAATTGTTGCCGACCCTCCCCGTTCACTCCCCCCTTCCTTCCCTCGGTCACCCGGTCCCGTCTCACATCGCAAGGGGCGGCGAGAGGCAAGGGGGAAAAGCTGTAGGAGAGCGCCCATGTGGTCGGTCGCGTACCGAAGCCAGCAACTCGCGATGCCAAACGCGAGTTTCTCTACTTATTATACGTATATATTTATAACTTATGCGAGTCACACACGCGTGAATTACACGCGTTTGCACGCGGATGCGATACGATCGATTTTTTCTGGATCTCCGCGCAACGACGATTATGTTGCACGCTCGTTCGCTCGTTCGCTCGTTCGCTAGCCGGCGCGTTATGTAACACGCCGCCGCGCGTTTACTATACACGTCGCGTGTGTGTATCGCGTTTCTATTAATGTTGCTAATCGGCCGGCTGTATTAATCACGATATCGTATTTATCGACTACCGTTCCCCGGATCGAACCGCCTACCACCGTCGCCACAGCTGTCGATCTTTATCCTCCCTTGGGCGCGTCGAGTCAACGTCGGACACACTACGTTATTTTTTCGAATTCCTTCCTCCCCTTTCCTTTCTCTCCGGGATGTCCTCTTCTGGAGTTGTCAAGCGTCCACATTTCAGCTGGATACACTCAGATCTTGCCGGCGATGTCTAGCTGTCCAGCTAAAATAAAAAATGACCAGGTTATCGGACACTCCTTATTTTACATGTGCATTCCTCGGAAAATATATTTTTACAAGTTACACTTCCGGATTCTCTTTTTCTCTTTTTCAAGCCTATCCAGTTTTTTCAATTTTCAAATCCAGCGACCTCACTTTCCCTCCTTATCCTTTCTTCTTCTTCTTCTGCCTGCGCACAAGGGGTGCCGTTTAAGACGGCGCGCGTGTATTCACCCTGAGGTAAAGGGTGAAGCTTCCGCTTCTCCCCTCCCTCCTCTCTTACACATCGCAGATTTGGGCGATAAATCTTTACCCGATGTACCGGATTTCTGTCACGTGCGTTACGAAAGTGCATATCCATCGAACAACACGTGTCGGCGATTTGAAACGGCACGCTCTGCATTCGCCTCTTAATGACGATCGAGGGCGATAAGATGTCAGCAAACTCGTGTTATCTTCGCGCAGCGCGTAACTCACTCTTGAAAGGCGCCTCCGCACAATGGATGAGTACATAATGAAGATTATGCGTTGCCTCACGGGTTACCTATAACCCGCCGACACTCTCGCGCGTTTTGCCTTATTTTCCATAATTTCTCGAGTAATCCTGCGGAATTAATGTGTTCTGTATGCATGCACGCGCTCGTTCGCTCGCTCGCTCGCCCGAAACTTGTCCCGTATAATTGTTAAACAGCAAAGTAACGCTGATCACACGCAAAATGACGAGCCGAGAGGTCTCGCGGTGCATTTTGACGATTACCTCGGGCCCGTCACTTTTTGCTAGTCGCGAACCGGTTTTTAATAAAATTCAGCTCTTCGATTATGTCGTCGCTCGTACGATGCAATCCGAGAGCGCATCGTCCGACGAGTTTTCAGAAGGGGAAGAGAAGAATGGGAGAGGGAGAGAGAGAGAGAGAGAGGGGGGAGGAAAAAGGAAGGAGAAACGAACAGAGAGAAGTAACATGAAAAAGAGAAGCGAAGAAACGAGCGAGACAGCACGAACGTCATGTTATTCGCGATCACGTACTCGCCTCCACGTAAGCGAAACAAAGAGATCGATCGTCCGACTTGCGCGAGGAGCGACGACCATAGCTGACGGACTACTCTCTCTCTCTCTCTCTCTCTCTCTCTCTCTCTCTCTCTCTCTCTCTCTCTCTCTCTCTCTCTCTCTCTCTCTCTCTCTCTCTCCTCTCTCCTCTCTCCTCTCTCTCTCTCTCTCTCTCTCTCTCTCTCCTCCTCTTTCTCTTTCTCCCTTTTCTGTCTCTATTTCGCGATTCGAGAAAACGTGCGACTCGTGCGACTGGATGTCTCTCTCTTTCTCTCTTGCGTGACACGCGAAATTAATGTGTTTTGATTGACGCGTGAATAAGCCGCTAAGCGTGGAAGCTGATGTTGCGGGGGCTGTGCGTTTATCGCGCACGCTTGTTTGTACGAGAGCGATTTGCGAGTCCGGCCGCAGATAAAACGGCACTTCCGATAGAGAGATGCTATTCTCTGCGGACGTGTTGTTCCATCCGGCCTTCGTTTCATGAAATCGCTCGGCCCGGATTTATGGATTCCTTTCGTTCGCGGGTCCCGCGGACGTAACACACCGGTGGATTCACGTGCACACGCCCGCTCCTCGGCGGAGATTCTCGTCGATTAATCGCAGGCTTCCACCTGTGCGCGAAGACTTCCGACGCTAAGCGCGATCGTGGGATTCTCTCTTATTTCGCTCCCGACTCCGACTCGGTCGCCCCTCCTGCAACACACAGATAGCGATATTTAAACGCGCGATAAGCGCTTAGCGCGTGAGAGAATCGAAAGAATATACGTAATATCGCGGCTTATAGCGATCCATCGGCGATATGCTTTGTTGGATTTATAGATCGTGGACTAGCGAGCATTTCGTTCGAGGGACTCTTGGATCTTTATGGATCGTTGCACGCGCAGATCTTTTGGATTTGTAGACCGTTACTTTCACAGATTCCCAGATGCACCGATCCTTCGTTGTTGCGGACTTCTAGTACGGATCTCTGGTATTCTACGGGTCGTTGGGTCCCCACGCATACATGCACACACACACACACTGTTTCTTGAATCCGCAGACCCTCGGATCAATCTAGGTCTACGTGTCACATATACGTCACAGGTATATCACTGCAGAGACATCCTTGTATGAATCCTTTACATTCTTGATCTTGTGTGTGTGTTTGCGTTTGATCGGTGCTCGCAACTTCCCTTCATAATCGTAGACCTGAAATTCGCACAAGCACGCAGGAGTTAACGAGGATAACGATGTAATGAATACTCCTCACGTTTACATTTTAAACGGCTTTGCAAAATTAGCCGCGACTCTTCAAAGCGCCGTTTCAAACCAAGAGAATATGGAACGTGGAAATAAAAAAGAATAAAAGGAAGAAACATGAGAAAGAAACACACTCTCGTTACTTATCCATCTTTCGCTCCATCTTTTATCTCTCTCTCTCTCTCTCTCTCTCTCTCTCTCTCTCTCTCTCTCTCTCTCTCTCTCTCTCTCTCTGCACGTTTCGTCACGCTTGCGTACGTTTATCACATACGAGAGTTTCATATTCGCGGCGAATATTTGCGAAGCGAGCGCGGAGCTTTCGCCGTGCATCGAAACATCTATGTCGGACAAATCCGCTAATTATCCGAAGGCGCGACCCCCTTCGTATTAAAACTAACGGCACATATAAACGGAGGCGGGAGCGCATATATAATCTCACGACGTCCATTACATAAATTCTCCTCTCGCGCGATACCCTAACGTCTCCTCGTCGCGCTGGTTAGACCGATAAAAGTATCGCTATTTCATGCGCGAGCTATTTATCAACAACGAGAAAGTAATTCCCGTCGATGAGGGCGAACGACATCTCCTCCGTTTCGTAACGGGTAAAGACGTAGTGGACTTATTACAGATGGAGAGACAGAGAGCGGGTTGTAGAAATAAATTCGAGACAAACGACATGTCAGAGTGAATATTGCACGTCCGCGGAGCGATGAAAAGTAGCCGCGTTGCTTTTTTGCATCTCACGACCGGTCGTGCCGTTTGCACCGGCTATATGTATCGACGACGTGTCATTAAGTGGTACAAGCCGCGAATTTCAGACGAGAATGGCCGGGAATTAAATATCAAATCATTGTGTTCTTACGCGTGCACATGGAAGAGAAGGGAACGATCCGCAGTGCGCCTCCCAGTAGAATTCGCATCCAGCCTCGATTTTTCCTTCGCGGAGAAAACAGTTTGGAAAACTAGTCGCGGCAACGAACGGCGCCAAACGCGCTTTGGCTGAGGGAAACAGAGTTTCAGTTTCTCCAGAGGCGAAGAAGCAGAAATTCTGTCGCCTTCGACCAAAACGCCCTTGGTGCGGTCGTCGTCAATGCTAATTCGTCCGATCTTTCTTCTTTGTGTTCGTTTCTAGAGATCACAGTCACGACGGCGATTTGCACGACCAATTTTGCCGGACTGTTTGTCTCGTAGACACACTGGAGCAACGTAAAATTGCGCTGCTCAAATAGTACGTATCAAAGCGTACTTAAAGTCATTTCTCCTGACAATACGCATCTCGAAAGCGTGCTCGAGTGTGTTGTGCGTCCACACATGCGGGCGCGAGATGATTACCTAAACGAGTTATTTATAGCACATCTGTGTCCTTTCTGTACGTACACACATGGAATCATAAGCGTCACAGGCAAATCCTGCTCGCCGAGGACTCCCCTTGCGCGCTCTCGACGTATCCCTACGTCGTAACGTCGCAGGAGGAGCCGCAGCAACAGCGGGACCTCAAGATGCGCCGAGCCGGACGGTCGCGCTGTAAAATCCGGGTGCCCTTTCCGTAGTTAAAACATACGAGCCGAAGTTTAAAATGTCTTTTGTACGACCGGCATAGGAGGGAAGTCGACTCAATCGCGCTCGCTCGCTCGTTCGTGCGTGCGTGCGCGCACGCATGCACGCACGTACGCGTTGCCGTGAGCTTTCTAAGTAACTAACACCGAGACCTTTTATGCTTTACGCAATACGCTCGATCCTTTTAATCAGCTTCTACGGGATTTTACATTTTTGGACGGCGACTCGTCGCGGTTGCGCTGTGTTTCTTCCTTGTATACGTGTGTGTATACACGTAGCGGTTCCTCAGCGATATTCTTATGAAAATACTTCCGTGATTTTTGTCACGCCTCGACTTTTTATCGTAACTCTCGGCTACAGTCAGGGTCAGCTGATCGCGCGAGCGCGACAGCTCTCGGCAAAACACGGCATCGTGTTCTGAATTTTTGGGAGACAAGTCGAAGAGACAAAGCTACAGGGGCAAGTGCCTCCCGACTCTTCCACCGCCTGATTCTGATTGAAGTAACCAATAAGTCGCCTATCCACTTAAAATCGCTACTGACGAAGGGCCTCGATGACGATCCCACCTGTGGCCGACATAATACACGCATCTCGTGCCGCGTTAAAAGCCACGATAAAAGGCTGGTGCGACGTAACGCACGTAGGCACCGGGAGATGAGAAGAGAAAGAGGATGCGGCGGTGGCGGAGGAGGAAGAGGAGGAGAAGAAACAAAACGAGCGTCGTGGGTGAAAAAAAACCGGTGTGCCGCCGGCAACAGCGATAGGTCCTCTCTGGAGGATCGCCTCGCATGCTCGCTTGTATATCGGCGAGCCGAACACAGCCGAAGGCCGGCGCGACCGCGGCCGGAGACTACCGAAGCGCGGACACTGTGTCGAACTCACGTAGGCGGTGTTGCTAGGCGGTCGTGCGGTGGCGGTGCGGGCGACGGGGATGCCGGGCTCACGCGAAGGGGGTCGCGTGTATATAAGTCGCGTCAGCGGCCGGCCGCCGATCAGTCGAGCGAGTGACGTTCGCGCGTTTGCATCGCTTTGATCTTGTCCTTTTGCACATAGCTGAAAGGTGAAAGTCTCTGACGGAACGGTCGCTCGTGCACGTAGCCCCGTCGATCGTAGTTGTCGTTGCACCTCGTATCACTCAGCCGGGGTTCTTTTCCGACGCCGCGAGCAGTATATATATCTCGTTTCCTCGTTTCACATCCGTTGTCGTCATTTTTCTCGAGATCTTTCGCATCGTCGCCGGCGAAGCAAGAGCAGCAGCAGCTGACGACACGACGAACACAACGACGACGACGACGACGACGACGACCAGGACCGTGTCAGTGTACGTCCATCGCCGGGCGTTCTCGCGAAATCATGGAGGTCCTGTCGTGCCCTGTCAATGTGGACTTCAGCAACACCAGAGGTAAGCGTTTGATGCTCTCTCTTTCTCCCTCGGCCTCACCGGCTTACCTTCGATTGTTCGCTCTCGCCCGTCAAGCGTTTCGATCCTGCTCACCCACCGATCGAGCGAGCGAGCGAGCGAGCCCGTTGTTCTCAGCTGAGAACGCCGGCTGGAGTCAGCTGATTTTTGTTCGCAACGCGACGTCTCGTCGGTCTGCGGTCCTGTAGAAATACATTTTGTCATTTTCAATCGAACCGAACGAGCAGCAGCGGTTTTGCGGGACACACCGCGATTTTACCGGCGAAATGTGAAATATAGGTGCGTCAGCATCGGCCTGCCAATCATACGAGGAACGAAAGGGGGGGATGCCCTTCGCTGTCATTTTTCCTTTCCGTATTCTTCGATTGTCGCGACACGTTTATTCCTCGCCCCGGATTGTCCCCGTTGTGTTTGTAAATGCAAATTTCTTCAAAATTCGGCATTCTCGACTCTGCAGTAAATAAATGCGGTTAGTAGATATGCTCGAAAGCGAACGGCTTCGGCTAATTGTTCCTCCAAAAGGAGCGTAAGTTTGATTTTGAGGCCTAACGATCCGGAGAATGATCGAATTTGATGTTTTCCACGAATATGGTCGCAAACCGATAAATATTCGATTTATGATACTTTGATGTAAAAATTGAGAATTATTTTCAGAAACGTTCATTCGTTAGAGACACGATATTTTTTTGTTAACAAACATATCAAACGATACGAAAGGACCTTTGGAATTTTCGATGCGCGAATTTTACGACAAAGATAAAATATCGAGGTCAAACAAGTTTATACGTTTCCGGCGACTTCACCTGGTCCGCGCCGATTGCTAGGAACAATGGGTGAATCAAGCTCGAAATTGATGACTAAGTAATTAAATATGACGGAAATCAAATATATTAATAGTTTAGATATCATCTCTTGAATGCGATCGCGGATTAAATGATATCAAAAAAGTGGAAACGTCCATTGTGAGCGCTGAGCAGTCGGCATACATGTGCGAGTGTGTGTTGCGTCAGCGTTTTTTTTTTTCCGACGATACTTCTTTGTTACGTTACACTTACAAGGCGTTCGGTTTTAATGGTGGATAAAATGATGAGCTCAGCGCTCGATTTATCGTGGTTCACAGCTGCGACAAAATTAACACGAATTCGAGATTGAGTGACACTTCGAATTTGGTTGGAGAGGCGCTGCGCGTCCAACCAGTCTAGATGAAATTGAAATTGTGAAATTGAAACGATATGCTCGCGCGCAAGTCAGGCAGAATTTAGAAGATATAATTAATCGTCGCGTAACAAAACATGTTTTCCATCTTTCGCTGAAACTTCTGATTACTTTCGCATTCCCAAGATACTCGTTGATAAATGTTGTTCTAAGATTACGTCAGGTTCACACTTCATACATTTGTGTATCTTACGAGATAGTACATACGAGGCGTTCCAGACTCACCGGCGCGTATGTTTCGATTATCGCGAAATCGACATCCCTGAGCGAAGATTTTCGACAAAAAGTTTAATTCGATTACGACGATAAATTCCAATTGCTGCGATAAATTACATATATTAAGTTACTAATTAAATGCAATTTGCATTGATTAATTAATTTGATCATTTAGCAGCACCTTAATTACGAGAATAGCTTTGCTAAAGTATCTAAAGTCGAAGATGATAAAAAAATCGACTCGCAACTTTCTCTTCAACTTACCGCTTACCAGACAGCGTTCGTTTGCTCGACGCGGCCAGTTCGTGAGCACGCGCTTAATTCCATTTAATTAATTTTTACAGCTGAAAGCGCGACGGACGAGTTGGACGGTGCTTGCCAGGCGCTGGCCAAGAGGCTGGAAGTAGAGCTTAGGAGGGCTAAACACGCTCAGCTGGCTTGTGGCGAGGTCCTGCTGCCGGCTGACTTGCTACCCAAGATAGCCAAAGATGTACTTAACATGGCAGAGAATGAGCCTTGCGGCCTCCGGTGAGTAGAACTTTCTATTGTCCCATCCCATCAACGAAGCGCCGGTTGAGACCCCGCGACTCGTCGAAATCTGAAAGGTTTAAACAATTTCAGAACACAATTCGCGAGACTCGAGATGGATATTATTTTGCAACAAGTGTCCATTTGGAAGCTATTGTAGAATTTCTTTTCGAAGTTGTTTTTTAACAAACAACGATGTTCAGTCGCGCGCGACAGATCAGATCTGAGAAATGTTTCCTCGCGCCGAGAACATTAGAGATTCTCTATAAGAAAGATCTACTTGTTCGCGGAATAAATATGTTTTCCATGTTGGATCTCCGAGGTTCCAACTCGTTGCTTAAATTCGGGAAACTCATTAGCGTGGTATGTGTGTTTCATTTGTTACAGAGGCTGCACGCTGTTCATCAGTTTCGAGACGGACAGTGTGTGTCGCAAACTGTCGAAAATACAGTGCGACCCCAGCGCTGTGTCGACCTTCGAGCTTTATCTCACGCTGAAGCAAGACCACACGTCCTGGCATATCCTGCTACCTCAATTCTTAAAGTGAGTGTCTCTCTCGACGGGCTGAAATTTCGCTAGTATTCAGTTTAATTCGTCTGGAAAATTCTCTATAGAAAACTGTCATCAATATATATATATATATATATTCACTATTCTAGACAGTTCTAAGAATGATGTTGCACAATCGGTTGTTATTTCAAATCACTGCAGACCAAAATGACGTATCATTACAAAGTATTATTATTACGATATCGCCTCCCTCATCCTTCAGATCATACGATTAGATTCCACTTGAATGACTCTGCTTCCCTATCTTATCTCTTGTTTCCACGAGCACATCGCGTTGCAATATGTTGCAGTCTCTACTGAAATTAATCCAAGTACGATTGCAATCGAAGAGGTTCAATGATCGATATGTGCTTCTTCCAGAAATCTCACGCGTGGTGGCACCATCATGATCAGCAGGGACTTCACCCTGCAGAAGAAGAAACTCTACAGGTCCTACCAGCAGTCTCATTGAGAGGTCTCCATATCGCCGGATGCAAACCCGGATGATTTTGTAAGTTCATGAACTCCCGTTTTGCCAATGAGCGTAAACGGCGGTGCACAGCCATTTTTTGTCAGTCTGCCGTCCCATGGGCGTGTCAGTCGAATTTGTACAATACCGGAAAAGACCAGGAGGAAGAATCGGGACAGCGGAAACGACGATGCGAATCCTGAAGATGTGGACACTGTTGCTGTGTCAATGCGGTATGTTGCGTTTAACCCTTTAATCGCGCAAACTTTGCGAACGCGAGCAGTCCATCAGAAGGTGCCCGTAAAAGAGAGGGAAAGTTATGAAGGGAAATTGTGTGTTTAGAATTTAATCGACAAGTAAGGCAACTAAATGTGTAGAGACGTCGATTTACGGTAACACGGTTGCAGTTTGGACGCAACTGTACTTTTTTCGAGGAACAAGGAAAAATGTAGATTCTGTGTCGGTTGTCGACATTTAATAGTATATGTAGACATGATAATTCAAGAACTCGCGTATCCACGGATCCAGTTGTTATTGAAGAAATCGAGGAAGTAAAGAATCTCTGGGTCTAAGAACCTCAAGGATCTTCGACATCTCGAAGAGTTTGAGTACTAGAGTCGGGAGTGCAGCGACGAGTAGAATTCGAGACGTTGAAAATTTTAAGTTCGAACTTCTACGATCTGCACAAGTTCTAAATTTGAGGTATGAGAACAACTAGATACGAGGTGCACGAGAACTCTTGAAGATCTGGAAAGTCAGCTTTTGCGAGACCGAAGATTCGCGTAGAATTTAAGGTAACTAATAATTTCGAGACGTGAGGATTCGCGAAGTTGAAGTTGCGACCGGCAAAGTAAACGGTAAGTCCAGCTCGTCTCCAGTGCTGAACAGCGAATCGATTGAAGGGTTAACGTCAACACGACCGCGATATCGGCTTTTTGGTTTTGTCCTGCTGTCACTTTTGCAATATTATATTCGGGGAGAGGCCTATGCGTTCGATAATTGTGATAGCGCGAGACAAGTTCTGGCAGTAGCAGATCTATCGCGAGGAGAGGCTCGCGCCTTCGTTTTTCGAAGAAGATATGTGATTATAAGACTTTTAACAAATTTCACGTGATACGTAGTGTATATGATTAGTTTTAGAGTGCGCGTTTTACTGATTAATCGTAGTCAGGTAGCTATAGTCGTGTCGAATATTTAGTGATGATCTTTCGAGAGTGTGTCGCTCTCGGCATGAGAGCGAACACGTCTACTTTTTCGTTGAAGGTGGATGATCATATTGGAACAATGTGGCAGCATATTTTCCACTAATGACCCTTTATGGAAATCCCGCAGGCCAGCCCGGAAGAAATGGACATCGGTGAAATTGTTACTTGCAGATTGTAATCGAATTATTTGGAAAATTGGAGTTATATATTCGGAGATTGGACGAGATGAACCAAGCCTTGAAGTTTCGATTCTTTTCTGAATTTCACGCAAAGAATTAAAGAATTTTTGTCGAAAACAGGGCTTTCAAGTTTTCAGTTTTCGGCAAAAAATTCCATTTCTCTCAAATAATTGAAAAATTCAAGACAATTCTGACAGTACGCTCACGGTGCACTCCTTTTTTGGGATGTCCTGTAGATTGATAAATGATGCAAAAGTTCAGCCTATCCCGTCATTCCATCTTACGATCTTCCCCCTCGTTAATTTCTCTCTTCATAATAGTCAATATAAAAAATCTCATTAAATTATAATAATAAAATTATTTTCTCGCGATGTCGCGATATCGGATCCATGAATATATTAGCATTCACGCATAATTGTGTCGAACACGGTTCGTATAAGTTGTAAACTTGTCGCGATAAGGCGCGATAGCGCGCTTTCGGTTTTCAATTCTGCGGGCCGGTTTAATTCTTTTTTCTTGATTCGAAATCCCGTCACTTCGATATCTCGTCGCGTTCGTCGAAATCCTGCTTCACCATGTCTCTTTTCGTGAATATAAATTATTTCAATCAAATTGAACAATTATTCATTTTCGACAAATTTCCCTAAAGTGCGGCAAGCGCGATAGATTTTTCGTTTGTGATATTAACAGAAATATTAAGATTCCTGAACGAAAAATTGACGGAGAGCAAAGTGGTACAACTTCGATTGCTTCGACGCAACGCATTTCAACTCGCTAATAGGCGAACAATAAACAAATCAACGTTATCGCGTAACAGATATATATATATATATATGTATATATATATATATATATATTTGCTAGATTAGATAAGTAAACTCTTAACTCACAATCAGAATCGATCCATCTCGAAACTATACCGCTTTCAATTCCGCTTCGAACAGATTTTCGTAGATCAACAGCGACGAGTCGAACTCAGGCCGGTTGTTTGAAAGCGCTGAAAAGGAGAAAGTCGAGTTATAAAGAAGGGTTAACGCTTCACCGTTGTATTATTATATTATCGTTTTCGTTGCAGTTTATATTGTTTATTGTTATTATCAATATTATTGTAGGTTTTTTGACTATTGTACGTATTACTGCTTCATTACGCGTCGCGGTTAATGGCCGTTCGCGTTCTCCTCTCGTCTGCACGTTTCTTGATTCTCTATTCTATCGCGATCTTACGCTTTGGTGTTTCTCTCTTCCTTTTAATTAGTTCGCTTCTGTCGTCGGTCGCTTTTCGTCGCAATGCGCGACGATCGGAGACTACTGGCGGATATTGTGATATTAAGAATTACGAAATGCTTACGAGAAGGAAGCAAGTGTGTGATTGTCGTTAGAACTTAGATTAAAGATGCTCTCGTGCATCGTGAAGCTTTTCTTTGGACAGTAGAGAGAAGTCGGTAGAGAGTGAGAGAAAGAGAGAGAGAGAGAGAGAGAGAGACAGAGAGACAGAGAGAGAGAGAGAGAGAGAGAGAGAGAGAGAGAGAGAGAGAGAGAGAGAGAGAGAGAGAGAGAGAAATGTTGCACGGGAATATGAGAAATATATGTCCCGTTTTATCTTCGCGCGAAAGTGCACCAGAGTCGAAAATCTCCTCGCGGTTTGCTTACATGAAAGGTGTGTGGCGATCCTTTATAATCGGATGAATTGAATATTTGCGCTGTTGGAAAGTGTGATTATTCCTCCTTGTCGAATTGAATTAAACTCGATTGAATTACAGATTGATTCCGTTTTTCGATAAAGTTTGATAAAACAGAATCGTCTCTTTCTCGATGAGAGCCGGTGGGGCGAATAACTGATACTTTTTTTTTTTACGATAAAATTGGTTATTCAGAGAAATATTTGCCGAAATTTTATACACGTATATAAATATATATTTATATACGCGCATGCGCGATGATACCTTGTGTATTGTAATATAAATTATATGTACGATTTCTCCATTGACGAAAGTTGATTTTGTATATATACATAAACATATAACTTGATACGAAGGAACAAATTCGTTTTTACGAAATTTCGTAAGCTCCGTGCATATTTCATTAATTCTTTTCTCGAAGCAAAGGATCTGAATTAAAATATATTAGCATGTTTACGGTATTGGAGCTCTTATTATTTTGCGTAATCTCGTTACGTCAGAATCTGTGGAACAAGGGATTTTTTAAATTACGGAATGATCTAAGAGTAGAATCGCAAAGTTACTTGATAGAAATACGAAAACTATGGGGAAAAAATCACATGAAATCAAATCTCATTCTATTACAAAAATTCGGACACTGTCCCGAGGTATATAAACTGCTCATCCCACTCCGGTGGCGAAAGAAAAATTCAAACGAAGCACACATCGTCATTTTTCTTGATTCTTTTCTTTTTTAATAAGAGGCGAACTACGACAAGACAAGTTGAACTCGTCCTCGCCTCTTAACAACTTCTTAAATGATGGTATCGAACCGGTTAAAGGTTTAAGGGGGAAGAGACAGAATCCCGTCCAGAAAATTTTCCCACCATCCTCCTCCGAGTCGTGCATCCACCATCCCTCTGCTTCGATGACAAAAAAAAAGGGAGAAGTAGAAGAAGAAAAGAGAAGTAACTGAAGGGTCACGTGAGAATGAGAGACAGCCACGTGTAGAGTTAAACGCGCGGTGTAAATTGTGGGCTATCGCATTTTGCACGAAGGTGTAAGACTGATTTGCTGATGTAACGAACGAATGAACAGACGAACGAACGAACGAACGAAAGAAAAAAAGAAAGGAAATGTTGCCCGTTTCAAGCTAGCCGGCACTTCGCGATACCGGGTGACAAAGTCATTGCCCCGAAAGACACTGAGTTATATCACGAGAAGGATCACGGATAATACTTCGCGATACATGTTTGTCTCTGTGGGTGTGCGTACGTAATCGTGATGAAAGATGACGAAGGGAGACTATTTTTTGCCTTCGACCATTATTATCATTGTCGATGGCTGATTTATAATCGTCGATTCAAGAAAGGTTTCTTATTCGGGGAATGATACTTGGCCCATCCTGTATATTAACGGTGTGATCAGCAATTATTTGTTAATAACAAACGCTACAAACGACGTCGCAAGTCGGAATCATTGTCGCGATTGCAGAGCGACGAGAAGCAATACTCGCGGCCTCGTTTAATTGTTACATTAGTTAATTATGAGAGTGTGTGTGTGTGTGGGTGAGCTGCGAGTGCGCATATACGTTTTACACAAGGAATTAATCCTGAACAGTATAAAACATCCTTCTTTTTATATGGAGAATACGAATCGATATGAATGATGCCCGTGTATACATATATATGTATGTATATATATAATATATATATATATATATATATATGTATGTGTTACATTATCAAAACAAAAAAATTATATATAACATAATTTATATTATATCGCAAATATCGTATATATACATATAATGATACATTTTATAATAAATTCAAGATTATCGCGCGAAACAGAGCTCGCATAATTGCGAATGCGAGACGAAGGAATGAGGCGAGTTTCGAGGTAACTGTTAACAACTGCGAAAATGGCGAAAAAATCTTTTGGCAGGGGGGTTCTTTTCGGGGATCATTTTATTTATATTTAATTTTATAACTATAGAGAGTATATATGTGTGTGAAACGGTCTCGTGCGAAGTTTCGAGAACATATTAGAAGAAGCCCGTCAGACGTTGTTTATACTGTCGAGGGTTAAAAAAGATGTACGGAACAATATGTGTGTTTTCTAAAGTAATATATCGTGATAAAACAATAATGTCGTGTGTGGTAAACGACGATGAGAGATTATCCTCGTTAATCGCGTTTTTACAGTGCGTGGGTGTTTTATTGAAGGTGTTGCAAGAATTTATCTCGTTTTTTCTATAGAACTACGATCTTATTGTGTAAAGTTTGCCTCAGACGATCCGCGAATCGCGATGTAGGGAATTCGGAGCAGAATATCTGCTGTCTATAGGAAAGAAAGAGAGCAGGCAGGCAATAGAGAAAACGTTTGAAGAGAGAAAGGGCTACGCGTTTATCGACGCTGGCATATATACGTTGATACGTTGATAAATCTTCAAATGTTTTCCCAGCCAAATTGCAAGAGCGGAATTCTGTCGCGAATTGCGGACTGTTTGAGGTGGATTCTCAAGAAAAGAGTACAAGTTTTTGTCTAAAGCGAGGAATATAAGAACATTACGAAACAAATATACACATCGTATGTAAAATAGAATAAAGCATCTGACGACGTTCTTGAGATGTATCCCCCCCTGTGGTGGTCCCGCGAGGGGCTGAAAATCGTAGAGAGAAAAACAGAAAAAGTAAACTATGCGAAGATCCAAATGATATATAAACGACATATAATTCAGTTACCGATCAGTTTGCGCCGGCGTACGCGTTCCGTTGCTCTCTCTCGTTTGCGTAACAAAGCGGTACCGGCCGATCCCGGTCGCGGCCGCTTGTGTCTCCCATTGTTTATCGTTTGTAGCGATTGTTCGTTGACAAAAGGAACACGATGCGAGCCTTGGGCAGGATATCGATTCGCGAAAGGACATCGCGCGTTACGCACGACCGCGCCGACGTTGCAAATTGCGTTTTATATATACCGCGGGACGTACTCACGTCGCTCCCATCTGCGAGGCGATTGTTTTTACGAGCCGTCAAAGGAAGAACTTCCTGATCTCATGAGAGCGGGCGGAGCTTTTCCACGTTGTAGGTCGTGAGGGGCGCGAAAAATTGTCTCGTTGAATGCTACTTCTCGTGATGTTGCGGCATCGCGGCGACGGTGACCGATCGAAATTTAGCTGCGAACAGTATGAGATATGCTTGCACAAGCGTGTAAGTTTTTTCTTTTAACCCCGCCCCACATGTGTTTATTCGACGCACATTATTTAGCGTCCACGAATTGCAAGGATCAGTTTGCAGACCGAGATTGCAGCGACAGATCGATCGATCTGTCGCTGTGAGGGCAAAATTTAAGGTAATTTTCCAACCAACTTCTTTCGCGCAGCATCTTCGAAGCGGACAGGCTTGTTTTTCATACTGTTTGGAGTTAAACGAACGGGTCACCGTGAAGTCAAGGGTCGATAAAGTGCGCTCTTCACGGAGGAAAGGGTGGAGATGAGGATAACGGTTTCTCGTATCGTGAAGAGATAGAGAGGAAGCGAAAGAGGGGGTGAGAGAGAAAGAGAGCGAGAGACAGATATTCGTAATGTTGCACAGCAACGATTTGCGCGACGCTCGCTGTGCTTTGGATATTTTTGTACCTTGCGCGATATGAAAGTCCGATTACGTAGTTTTCGCGATAGTTTTGCCGCGGACTAACGCTGCGGCTTTTCGATACGTTAGTGATCCTTTGCGAACGTATTCTCGTATTAAGAAACTACTATGTGATGTTATTTCTAATTTGTAATATCTGCGACAATTTATCTGCGTAAGAGAAATGCAATTAATAAAAAGAGATATATATATCAGAGGATGCTGCTGCTGTTTTGCTTTCTTCCCTGCCGTCCTGAGCGAGAAATTCGTCCTTTCTATCACCGTGAAACTCGACTCCTCGCGAGCTTCTTTGTCGCTTATTGAAAGTAAAATTAGCGCGTGTGGGTAAAGTGTGAAACTGAGATAAGAGTTATTTTTCACAAGACGTTTCTCCCGATAATTCTCTCTAAGATGAGATAAAAACGAGCAAAGCAGAGATCTGCGCGACGAGTATAGTGTTTTACAAAAATGAGATTATGCGAAAGGTAAGATAAGGCAGGCGAGTACATGCGAGATTCAACGATGCGATAAAAATATATAAGCACGAGTGGGGTGAGAGGGTAAAGTTATATTTTGAGAAACTCGTGTTTTCCAGAGGTTCTTGAAAAACATCGAGATCGAGATAAAACGATTATTTCGTTCAGTTTGACGATAATAGCGCAATCGTATGTAAAATACAGATAAACAAGTTGAATACCCCGCGGGGATTCGAAAACAAGAAATATTTGCGAAGAAGCTGTAAATTCCGACGTAGTTGAAACAATCGTCTGCACACACTCGTCGCACGCGTATTTATATATTTATAAAACTCGTTGGAATCAGTTCAAAATCACTGGAACAATCGTACATCCGGCGGACGAATAATTGACGCTAAATTCGTCGGACGGTTTATTATTGAAAAATAATTGCAAACGGTATGCACAAACAGCGGTGTAAATATGCCAGCGCGCAGCGACAAAGGAGCTGTTATCGTATGCGAAAGATATGTTTTCGACACGGATATTTGCGCGCGGAGTTGGCGAGATATAAAATGCAACGCGCGTAAAATTTGATGCCGGTCGGATCGCGGAGTAAATATAAATCGTCGATGAATAAACGATTGTCGACGGCCGGCCGAGGGATATTTCTCGCGCGTGTTTAATAATCCCGGCTATCAAGTGGAATTAATAAATATTAAACGAGCGGAATCTCTAGCCGCGGGAGAGTGCGA